TCTTATTAGAAGATCTAGAGCGCTGTGCTTCTACTCCGCACTAAGGCATCCATTGAGGACCCTGTATACCAAGTTTGAAGGCCCTACGACAAAGTTCATTTTTGGGTCTGAAAATGAAAGAAGGTTAACCCCTTTGAACATTTTTTAAATAATTCGAGATGTCAGAATGGGCTGAAAACTTGTATATAGGATGTCCTCGATGTGCTCAACAAGAATCTGAAGTCTGTTTCCATTTTTCTCGCTTGGTTCCTGAGATATTCGCATTCAAAATCGGAAAAAAATTGTCTGAAAAATCGATGGAATAATGACCATGGCTTCTATCTCTAGCGAATGGAGGTACTAGATCGAGCCATTTCACAACAAAGGTACCGCAAAAAAAGAAAAGCTGGTCAAAAATTGCTTCTTTCTTATTAGAAAATCTAGAGCGCTGTGCTTCTACTCCGCACTAAGGCATCCATTGAGGACCCTGTATAAGTTTGAAGGCCCTACGACAAAGTTAATTTTTTGGTCTGAAAATGAAAGAAGGTTAACCCCTTTGAACATTTTTTCAAATAATTCGAGGCGTCAAAATTGGCTGAAAACTTGTATATAGAATGTCCTCGATGTGCTCAACAAGAATCTGAAGTCTGTTTCCATTTCTCCCGCTTGGTTCCTGAGATATTCGCATTCGAAATCCGAAAAGAATTGTCTGAAAAATCGATGGAATAATGACCATGGCTTCTATCTCTAGCGAATGGAGGTACTAGATCGAGCCATTTCACAACAAAGGTACCGCAAAAAAAGAAAAGCTGGTCAAAAATTGCTTCTTTCTTATTAGAAAATCTAGAGCGCTGTGCTTCTACTCCGCACTAAGGCATCCATTGAGGACCCTGTATAAGTTTGAAGGCCCTACGACAAAGTTAATTTTTTGGTCTGAAAATGAAAGAAGGTTAACCCCTTTGAACATTTTTTCAAATAATTCGAGGCGTCAAAATTGGCTGAAAACTTGTATATAGAATGTCCTCGATGTGCTCAACAAGAATCTGAAGTCTGTTTCCATTTCTCCCGCTTGGTTCCTGAGATATTCGCATTCGAAATCCGAAAAGAATTGTCTGAAAAATCGATGGAATAATGACCATGGCTTCTATCTCCAGCGAATTGAGGTACTAGATCGAGCCATTTTACATCAAAGGTACCGCAAGAAAAGAAAAGCGGGTCAAAAATTGCTACTTTCTTATTAGAAAATCTAGAGCGCTGTGCTTCTACTCCGCACTAAGGCATCCATTGAGGACCCTGTATACCAAGTTTGAAGGCCCTACGACAAAGTTAATTTTTTGGTCTGAAAATGAAAGAAGGTTAACCCCTTTGAACATTTTTTAAATAATTCGAGGCGTCAAAATGGGCTGAAAACTTGTATATAGGATGTCCTCGATGTGCTCAACAAGAATCTGAAGTCTGTTTCCATTTTTCTCGCTTGGTTCCTGAGATATTCGCATTCAAAATTGAAGAAAAATTGTCTGAAAAATCGCTGGAATGATGACCAAGCATTTCTTTTCGTGGGCAAAATACGTGGATGAATTCAGTTCTGCCAAAAATTCAGTAGTTCTCATGGCTTCTATCTCCAGCGAATTGAGGTACTAGATCGAGCCATTTTACAACAAAGGTACCGCAAAAAAAGAAAAGCTGGTCAAAAATTGCTTCTTTCTTATTAGAAAATCTAGAGCGCTGTGCTTCTACTCCGCACTAAGGCATCCATTGAGGACCCTGTATACCGAGTTTGAAGGCCCTACGACAAAGTTCATTTTTTAGTCTGAAAATGAAAGAAGGTTAACCCCTTTGAACATTTTTTAAATAATTCGAGGCGTCAAAATGGGCTGAAAACTTGTATATAGGATGTCCTCGATGTGCTCAACAAGAATCTGAAGTCTGTTTCCATTTTTCTCGCTTGGTTCCTGAGATATTCGCATTCAAAATCGGAAAAAAATTGCCTGAAAAATCGCTGAAATGACCAATAATTTCTTTTCGTAGACAAAATTAATACGTAGATGAATTCAGTTTTGCCGAAAATTCGGTAGTTCTCATGGCTTCTATCTCCAGCGAATTGAGGTACTAGATCGAGCCATTTTACAACAAAGGTACCGCAAAAAAAGAAAAGCTGGTCAAAAATTGCTTTTTTCTTATTAGAAAATCTAGAGCGCTGTGCTTCTACTCCGCACTAAGGCATCCATTGAGGACCCTGTATACCGAGTTTGAAGGCCCTACGACAAAGTTCATTTTTTAGTCTGAAAATGAAAGAAGGTTAACCCCTTTGAACATTTTTTAAATAATTCGAGGCGTCAAAATGGGCTGAAAACTTGTATATAGGATGTCCTCGATGTGCTCAACAAGAATCTGAAGTCTGTTTCCATTTTTCTCGCTTGGTTCCAGAGATATTCGCATTCAAAATCGGGAAAAAATTGCCTGAAAAATCGCTGAAATGACCAATAATTTCTTTTCGTAGACAAAATTAATACGTAGATGAATTCAGTTTTGCCGAAAATTCGGTAGTTCTCATGGCTTCTATCTCCAGCGAATTGAGATACTAGATCGAGCCATTTTACAACAAAGGTACCGCAAAAAAGAAAAGCTGGTCAAAAATGCCTTCTTTCTTATTAAAAAAATCTAGAGTGCTGTGCTTCCACTCCGCACTAAGGCATCCATTGAGGACCCTGTATACCTAGTTTGAAGGCCATACGACAAAGTTCATTTTTTGGTCTGAAATAATTCGAGGCGTCAAAATGGGCTGAAAACTTGTATATACAATGTCCTCGATGTGCTCAACAAGAATCTGAAGTCTGTTTCCATTTTTCTCGCTTGGTTCCTGAGATATTCGCATTCAAAATTGGAGAAAAATTGTCTGAAAAATCTATCTCCAGCGAATTGAGGTACTAGATCGAGCCATTTTACAACAAAGGTACCGCAAAAACAGAAAAGCTGGTCGAAAATTGCTTCTTTCTCATTAGAAAATCTAGAGCGTTGTGCTTCTACTCCGCACTAAGGCATCCATTGAGGACCCTGTATACGAAGTTTGAAGGCCCTACGACAAAGTTCATTTTTTGGTCTGAAAGTGAAAGAAGGTTAACCCCTTTGAACATTTTTTAGTTTATTCGAGGCGTCAAAATGGGCTGAAAACTTGTATATAGGATGTCCTCGATGTGCTCAACAAGAATCTGAAGTCTGTTTCCATTTTTCTCGCTTGGTTCCTGAGATATTCGCATTCAAAATTGAAGAAAAATTGTCTGAAAAATTGTTGGAATAATGTACTATTTTCTTTTCGTGGGCAAAATACGGAGATGAATTTTACAACAAAGGTACCGCAAGAAAAGAAAAGCGGGTCAAAAATTGCTTCTTTTCTATTAGAAAATCTAGAGAGCTGTGCTTCTACTCCGCACTAAGGCATCCATTGAGGACCCTGTATACCGAGTTTGAAGGCCCTACGACAAAGTTCATTTTTTGGTCTGAAAATGAAAGAAGGTTAACCCCTTTGAACATTTTTTCAAATAATTCGAGATGTCAGAATGGACTGAAAACTTGTATATAGGATGTCCTCGATGTGCTCAACAAGAATCTGAAGTCTGTTTCCATTTTTCTCGCTTGGTTCCTGAGAAATTCGCATCCGAAATTGAAGAAAAATTGTCTGAAAAATCGCTGGAATGATGACCAAAAATTTCTTTTCGTAGGCAAAATACGTAGATGAATTCAGTTCTGCCAGAAATTCAGTAGTTCTCATGGCTTCTATCTCCAGCGAATTGAGGTACTAGATCGAGCCATTTTACATCAAAGGTACCGCAAAAAAAGAAAAGCGGGTCAAAAATTGCTTCTTTCTTATTAGAAAATCTAGAGCGCTGTGCTTCTACTCCGCACTAAGGCATCCATTGAGGACCCTGTATACCGAGTTTGAAGGCCCTACGACAAAGTTGATTTTTTGGTCTGAAAATGAAAGAAGGTTAACCCCTTTGAACATTTTTTAGTTCATTCGAGGCGTCAAAATGGGCTGAAAACTTGTATATAGGATGTCCTCGATGTGCTCAACAAGAATCTGAAGTCTGTTTCCATTTTTCTCGCTTGGTTCCTGAGATATTCGCATTCAAAATTGAAGAAAAATTGTCTGAAAAATCGCTGGAATGATGACCAACAATTTCTTTTCGTAGGCAAAATATACGTGGATGAATTCAGTTCTGCCAAAAATTCGGTAGTTCTCATGGCTTCTATCTCCAGCGAATTGAGGTACTAGATCGAGCCATTTTACAACAAAGGTACCGCAAAAAAAGAAAAGTGGGTCAAAAATTGCTTCTTCCTTATTAGGAAAGCTAGAGCGCTGTGCTTCTACTCCGTAGTAGGGCATTCCTTGAGGACCCTGTATACCAAGTTTGAAGGTCCTACGACAATGCAGTGAAATTTGAAGAGGGGATTATTATGTTCTGAAGAAAATCATATTTCTATTGATAATTAGTGATTGAACGTTAGTAGCATGATAAAGCTACTAGAATTGAATAGTTTTGTCAGTGCTAAAGTTCTCTCTAATATTACAGCCATTTCATAGAAATTGAGAAAATATAAAAAATTTAAAGTTGTTATAAAACGGTCAAATTCGAAATTCAAAGAAATAAGCTTATTTCCAGCAATTAATTTGAAAAAAATGTAACTTTTGACATGTATCGAATGTCATGTGACCCCGACCTAGTTGTCCATTTTCCATATTTTTCAAACAAAACTCAACGCCCAAGTGGAATTTCGAAATAAATCATGTTTAATGGTTTTTCTCATGATGCCGCCCTATGAATGACCCTGTATATCTTGTAATTTTTGTAAATCAAAGATATTTAGAAGACGATACCAAAGAGCGAGAAAAAGACTCAATATCACTTGAAGAAAACCATACCTTCATGTCATTCTGAGCAGTGAAATCAAAATTTTTGAAAATATTCACTTCAGTAGAAAAAAATTGAGAGGAAACTGAAAAAGATACAACTTTGATTTTGAAGTTCTATTTATTCAACTATGTAAGTTCCATAAATTAAAATGAAATAATATATACAATACAGTCTTTATAAAAATGTAATACGAAAATAGTACCTAAACTTACTTGGCCTTACTCATCAACTTATTAATAAAGTCCACATGAAAACTACCAAGAGTACATAAATCTAAATTCTCACTGATAAAACTGAACATCTCCACCATCATTTCCTTTCGACTCTCGTCGCTTTGAGCCTCCAAACACACCTGAAACGACCTCAACAGATCTTTCCGTGCCAAAACCTGGCTGTCGCAAAGCGTTTTCATCAACACCTCCGGCGTGAAAGTGTGGTGACTTTTCATGATCCTGCAGAAAAACTCCGCGGCATTTTCGTTCTCCAACCTTTCAACTACCACATCCCCGAAATCCAACACAGACAACGATTTCAGATAGCCAGCAATATCGCTAGGGGTCTGGATAAGAGGTAGAAAGCAGTTTTCGATGATCTCAGTCCTACTGAACAACTTCTGCTCTATGGCCTCCGTGATACCTCTCTTCAAATCTGACACTGGCCTATCCCTCAACAATTTTTCCCACGGTAGATTTTCCCGTTGGGCTTGATTCATGTTTTGATGGATGTTTTCCAACAGTTCAGAGGGGTCTTTTTGGTCCAGAATGCGCTTCAGGACTTGGTTGTGGTTGGTTTCCTCCATGAAATCTTCGACGGTAATTGGAGAGTCCAGATTTTTCACCAGACCTATGATTTTTTGCTTGTCCATGGAGGAGAGCAGGATCTTGGCCAAATCTTCCAGTGTGTTATTCTGAAATAAAAAAAATTCTAGTCTAAAAGTCTAGCACGCATTTATAAGGATTTGTAACAGAACAGTGGAAGTACTGGGTGATTCACCATAAATGTCCCCTCCTCTAGCTTACTCAATTTTTAACCGATTTGAAAATTTAAAAAATCATCCAAAATGATTTTTCAGAAATTTTTTCCCCGTTGCATCAGAAAATACAGGTACCAGATCTAGTAACCCAACCTAAGATATGTTACTAGATCTAGTAACCTAACCTAAGATATGTTACCAGATCTAGTAACCCAACCTAAGATATGTTACCAGATCTAGTAACCAACCTCAGATATGTTACCAGATCTAGTAACCCAGCCTCAGATATGTTACCAGATCTGGTAACCCAACCGAAGATATGTTACTAGATCTAGTAACCTAACCTAAGATATGTTACCAGATCTAGTAACCTAACCTAAGATATGTTACCAGATCTAGTAACCCAACCTAAGATATGTTACCAGATCTAGTAACCCAACCTAAGATATGTTACCAGATCTAGTAACCCAACCTAAGATATGTTACCAGATCTAGTAACCCAACCTCATATATGTTACCAGATCTGGTAACCCAACCTAAGATATGTTACTAGATCTAGTAACCTAACCTAAGATATGTTACCAGATCTAGTAACCCAACCTAAGATATGTTACCATATATAGTAACCTAACTCAAGATATGTTACTAGATGAGGCTCTATTTGGAACTTCTTATTTTTTTCAACTTCATGAAATGTACTATACATTAGTGCAACAATTTATTTTTCTCATTACAGGAATAAGAATAAAATGGTTAGGATCAACAAAAATTTAAATGATTCAACTCCGCGTGATTGTGCCTACTGCATGGAAATTTGAACAGAGGAGATTTGCTACAGTGTAGAACTTTGGGTGAAAAATGGAATCTAACCTCGAATTTTATTTTGATCCCTAAATTTCTTTAATCAATGCCATCACATTACAATGACAGTACACGTCGAGCTTTCTCAGGGTTTGAAATATTTGCACTTATTTAAATACCATCCTGTATTGATATCTCGGCAATTCTTTATTAATAGAATATTAATTTCCTTGTACGACAAGTGTCGCGTAAATTATACAGGGTGCGGCAGCATAACTCCTTTTTTTCAAAACTTGATAAAACCCATTGTATAAGTCAGAACAGTTTTATTTGGTTTTTTCATAATATAGGCCCATACCTAAAGTTTTGTTTTACATAGTTTTGAAGATCAAATCAAATAAGTGAAGTTCCCCATTTTCCATACACTGAGTAAACAGATTTCAGGCTTCTCTCATGACTTGCCAGAATAGCTGGCGTTAAGTTGGCAATTTCTTCCTGGATTTTTTCCTTTGCGGTTTTTTGTAATCCCGTTTTTATGTGAACCGTCCAAGGACCCTACAAGATTTTTGAAGACCAAAATCCAGGAAGAAATTGCCAACTCAACGCCTGCTATTTTAGCAAGTCATGAGAGAAGCTTGAAATCTGTTTACACAGTGTATGGAAAATGGGGAACTTCACTCATCTGATTTGATCTTCAAAACTATGTAAAACAAAACTTTAGGTATAGGCCTATATTATGAAAAAAAGAAATAAAACTGTTCTGATTTATACTATGCTTGTATCATGTTTTGAAAAAAGGAAGTTATGCTGCCGCACCCTGTAAAACCCGGCATAATACCTACTCAATCAAATCCAAAACCCCTCTCAATGGATATTTGGTGTGTGAGATACTCCCAGAAATACAGTCCACTTCCCAGAAAGCAGGAGATTGGTCGTTGCAACCCCGAACAGCTGGAAAAACCTACACAACTTGGGAAAGAACGAAAATCAAGGTAGGCCGTTTCTCGCGCTGTAATTTGACTCTTCGTTTTGTTAACCATACCAATCCCAAATTCAAATTTTGAAACAAGGACTATCGTTGAATTCGTGCCAGACGTTCAAGTACGGATGTTTGCAGTAGGCTGTATAGTGACCACTGTTGATGGTACCGCTGTGGTTCGAAATAGCATAAAGATCGTAGTGGAATGGTACACTTCCATCGGCAGCGTAATAACTCATATCCAGTCTGTCTAAAGGTACATCAACTAAGACGTTCAGTTTTTCTACGAACCGATCCAGCAAGAAACGTTTCAGATGGATCACCTGGATTTCAGGGAATCTCTGAATAGATAATGACTTTTTCTACAAACGCTCAACAAATTCCAGCACAAAGTTGACGTTTTCCCAGAAATGTCATTCTTTGACAGCATTTGCGCTCGTGAGCGGAAATATTGAAAAAACGCTCGCACATCTATGTAACCTATACTTATCTATTCTTGAAAACCCCCAATTCTTTCATGATGGAAAATAGTGACAGTGAATCATCAAACACACCTCCTGATATAGCAGAAAGCGCAAGAGTTTGAATGTCTTACCGGAGAAATCAATGAAAAAATATGAATTACAATATACATTCATGAATTGGTGCCACTCCGAGATGGTAAATAATATGTATCCAGAAAACGTTTTACTGGCTTATTTTGGTAAAAAATCAAAGACTTTGAAGTCATCAACTCATTGGTCTATATATTCGATGGTACGTATACATGCTTGAATGTTGAAGATAATATCGGAATCAATAAGTATCTGAAACTTATCGCATTTCTCAAGAAACAATCTATTGGATATAAAGCGAGAAAAATCCAAAACATTCACCGCTGAAGATATATACCAACAAATTTCTACAAGAAGCTCCCGATGAAGCATGTCTGTTGAGAACGATGAATTATACTTTATATTTAAACTCTTTGTTGTCATCAGAAAGACAGTGTATCTTCATTTTATTGCATCAATGAGTAATGTTCAATGCATTGCAGAGTTTAGCGTACTATGCCTCAGAGGTCTGAAGCTCAGGTTACCACGCTGGTGGTCCAGTTTCAATTCTCGGCAGGCCCGACATTTTTTTCTGGCGTCAGTTATTTCAATTTTTTTTGTTTCCTTTGGACATTTGGATAATATGGATAAGAACTTTTTCAACTATTTCAATCGCTCATACTTTCAGGGCAGTTATTTCCAAAAGCTGCGTTAGTAGAAAAAATCTTGTGTGTATTTCGAGCACAAAGTGTTATTGCCGCTCTCCAAAGAACTTTCTTTGTCGAGCGGCAATCTATCACTTTGCGCTCTAAATACACAAATAGCTATTGTACATTTTCACCTTTCCTTGCATTTGGAGCAAGTAGGCTTGTCTTCGCCATCAATGACTGCTCTCTGGTGAATGAGTCCAAGCACTGAAACAAACTGATTTCGCGCTTTTGCTGTGGTATTGGCAAAGACAAATCCCAAAAGGGATCAAACGTCACTGAGGAATAGCCGCAATACGTGCATTTCAATGAAGACTTGAGCAGACCAACGAAATTATTGATTATCTTCGGATTATCCACTTTCAAGAATCTCGACCATGGTTCCGAAGCCTTTTCGTTGACATCCAAAATTTCATCGATGTCTGTAAACTTAGGATCCGGCTTCTCGATGACCTCATTGAACATATTAACTTTGGAAAATATGTTGCCTATATTTATATACCCTTCAATTTTACAGGGAAGAAATGTAGTATAAATACTTAAGTCTCAATGACGAAGTACCTAGGTCGGCGGTGATAAAATGTCAGTTAGTTGTCATGTCACGTTTGAACTGTATGTCTATGTATTTTTGATATCAGTTTGTAATAAAGCATAAATACCTAATAGTCTGGTATTAGTCTATACAACAGTCTGTATAATACACAACAATTACCTCTTTGCTGGCCTTTTCTACTAAACTCCTCATTTCAGTGGCAACATCTACTTTTTGAACCTCAACAGTTTCCGCTTTTTTCTCGACTTCTCTGATCCCGTTCAACTTCGGAATGGAATTCGGCTCTGTTGCGGTAACCCCGTTCTTCATTTTGTAGTAGCTGTCTAACGCTTTGTAGACGTTAGCGACTACAGGAACTTTGAAGGGGATTCGGTTGATCTCAGATTCAGACTGTTGTGCAAGGTCACCTGTAAGAATCCATGATAAATAAATATCTTTTTCTACAAGCGTGCGTGATTCACCCTATACCCGCACGCAATTTAGTTTGGGAAGTGTCATTTTCCCGCACTAGCGCGGGAAAACAAAGAAATGATAAAATCGCTAATAATATAAGTGGTTGGTGATGGAATATAAAAGTTTAAGTTTGTTTGTTGCAGTATTAAGTATGTATGTTCAGAATCATCCACCAAATTGTACTATTTATTGTAAAAATTAAGAAATATTGAGTAATAAGAATTGATTATTATTAAAATCCCCCTATAGATTTGGATTGACCTGACGGGAAACGATTATTGTTGTCATGCCAATCAAACCTCAAATAAGTTTGAAATTATCGAAGTGACAGACACAGCGTTACTGTCATTATTTTCTATTCAGTGGAAATGCCACAATGTGATCAAAAACTTCTAGCTATAGGGATTTGATACAGATGCGTTATCACCAACGAAGTCTTAAGAAATGTATGAGAAGCTATACACGCGTTTTATTGAATGATGCAACAATAAAGAAATGAAAATAACGAATGAAGAATAGGTATTTTTGGCTCATTTCATAGAAGTGTCTGAGACCTAGAGACCAAACTCCTTATGGGCCTGCTGGCTTCCACAATGAACCAACATAATGCGTCAAACTGTAAGTTCACAATAGCTATTACTAATAATTAGTAGATAGAGAATATATATCTCTTGTTAGTTGTTCCTATTTGCTTGAATAATTAATTGAACGAATCAATCAATTCCCTACGCTTGTAGAAAAAATATTGTTCCTAACTCATGCGGATAGTGTCTTTCCCGCACTCGACTGCTTGCCCGAACTCCGCTTCGCGTCGTTCGTGTCAACGGCAGTCGCGTGCGGGAAAGAATCACTTTCCGCACTTGTTAGGAAAATAAATATTATTTTCCTTTAGACATTCTAAAAAAGTATAGGAATAGTCAGAGGTTGTTACAAATATATAAAAGAGAGAAACATGGTCATTTATGAAAATATTCCTTAAGCGAGTAGAAACACTTTTTTATGAGAAATGATTTCAAGCATTTTTTGAAGATACTTTTTTTGCGTTTTTCAAATATTCAGGTAAGTTATTGAATATTCTAGATAACAATGAGGATATTCTGGGGTTTTGAACCATTCAAACAAACAGAATTTAGATAAAATCAATCTGTATTAGTCCAAGAGCCCGTGGGGGGGGGGCGACCTTCACCTATCTGATAACCAGATGAGACCTATTTTTTATGACATGTTTTTAATTTATAAACACGCCTATGATGCCAATCGAAAAGTGTTCATGGCTATTTTTACTAGGAGATTTTAAGCAGAATGTGGCACAAATTAGAACTAATTCGGGACATCAAATTGTGCATTCTTATATCAGTAACACTTGGGCAACACAATGAAAAAATTCGAAAATGAAATGTCATTCTTAAAGTACGCGTCATTCGAAAATAAAAATTGATATTCGTGTTTGAATAAGTACTTTTATAGAAAAAAAAAAAACATCAATTGATTATAAAATAATAGGTTGTTACTGGACAAAAAGTAAATGTGATTATTCATAATGGGGAAGTTTCCAATATTGAGGTTCTTATCTCACTGTGAAGTTTGTAAAAAACTAATATACCGGGTGACACAGGGTATCGGGCCACCCCTGTAACTTCTGCTTTCGTTATCGGATTTTTCTGAAATTCGGTACAGTTATATAAGCAATTATTTCGGATTTGATCACATTACAATCCAATATGGCGGACTTCCGGTATTTCTGGAAATGCCAGCAACTTTGTTTTTTCAAATGAAACACCCTGTATATTTTTACATATTCAAGTTCAACAGGTCGAAACAAGTGCAATCTTTATTTAAAATGTCATTTTTTCGAAAAAAATTGAATTAAAATTGTTTTTTCATTTTACCTCATGGATAAATGAGATGTGGTCAAGACTATTCACAATTAGTCACACATAACAGAAGAACATAATTTTTTCTGAAAAATTATCATTTGTGTCACTTATCCAGGAATCAATTCAGCCACATCACTTTTTGATTAAAAATTATTTTTTTTCAAATGGAACCCCTATGGGCCACCTAACCGTTTCTCTAGAACATACATCAAAAAACAAAATGAAATAACATTTTCGTTTTTCGGTGCAATAACAAATTGTATACATTCAAAAATCAACAACTAGTTTATGAAATTTCTTGCAGTTAGAATAATTTTTCAACTAGGTAGGCTGTGGAATAAATGACATTTGACATCAAGATTGCACTTGTTTTGACCTGTTGAACTTGAATATGTAAAAATATACAGGGTGTTCCATTTGAAAAAACAAAATTGCTGGCATTTCCAGAAAAACCGGAAGTCCGCCATATTGGATTGTAATGTGATCAAATCCGAAATAGTTGCTTATATAACTGTACCGAATTTCATACAAATCCGTTGACGAATGCAGAAGTTACAGGGGTGGCCCGATAGCCTGTGTCACCCGGTATATGTAAATTTTTCAAAGTTCAAAATCCACTTCAGAAAAAAATAAATAAAAGAGGAACTTGGCTCCTCCACCATTCCTTTGACTTACTTTCTGAAAATCCACATTCACACAGAGTTAAAATACGAATCCCTGTGCCAGTACGACGTTGCCGACATCATCAATATGTCTAGATTTCCGGAAATTGTTCTTTGAATGCATAATACCTATATCTCAACAGCAATGGGATATAATAGGTTCTTCAATCCTACTTTGTCAAGTATTATGAATAATTCCCATAAATCTCTCATTGGCTGAATGAAGTTGATTACTAATAAAGATAAATTATGATATTTTGCGATAGTATCAATAATTTTTCACTATTGTTATATCACAATGTTGTTGATAACTTGTCAGTAAACATTTGCTAATGAATTCGTTCCTGAATAAAACAGATCTATTTTCTAGGAAAGCTGCAGATTATATCTTGCAACAGCGCCTAGTACTTCGAGTCCGTCCACACCACTCAAAATACTGACAGGCACAACAAGAGGAAGGAGCTATGGGTGTCGGCTTCATTCTGTTCTGACCGATGGCAGTAAATTAGAAAGGATAGTATTATTGAATGTAGCCGATAGCGATTCATTGATTCAATGATAGTTTCTTTTAGGATCGAGATCTATTCGGGATATTTCAATGCATAAATAACAAAACCATAACCTGTCAGAATGAAGCCGACTTCCTTCTGCATTCCTGCTCCGTGTGCATTTGTGGTTATGTATGTTTTTGACCATCAGCTATTTTCAGACTAGATTCAGAATGTACGTTACAGTTTGCCTCCCGGAAAATTAGAAATTGCTTTAATTTGACAATGAAAACGACTTGGACTTCATCGCTCGCCATTCTGTACAGTGTGGACATAAAATTGGGGAGTTCCGAACTCATTTTATGAAAATTCATCTGAAGGAAACTTCCCCATTTTCTAACTAACTAACACTTTTCGATAGGCATCATAGGCGTGTTTATAAATCAAAAATATTTCATAAAAAATAAGTCTCAACTGGTTATCAGATGGGCGAAAGTCGACCTCCCTCGGTCTCCTCTACTATGTGTTTTCATATTTTTGGCGAATAAAGTTAACGTGAAATGAACAAATTACCGATAAATTTCGAAGGACTCATGATATAATCCACTCACCTATCGTTTTGATGTTTTTGGTTTTGAGTTTATTCGTCATAGCGGTTATGAATATTGGACTAGTCACCCTCTTCAGAATGACCAACACGTCATCCTTGCAATCCACCAGCTTTGGATAGATCGGCCTGTCCTTCCGCAAGATCATCGGGTTGATGATTTCCAAACTACATAATGATAAATAATGGTAAATATATAAGGATTCGACAACATTTTATATTTTATATATTATTTGGCATTTGAAAAATTGCTATATATTTATAATGGGTAGAAACATGTACAAATAATATATAGATTTAAAAAAAAACATCACATTTGCACTAGGCACTTCTGTAAATGCTGAATGGCTTGAAAGTTGGGTTAAGTGTCATGTCAAATAATCACGAACGTAAGAGTATACAAAGTCGTTTTGAGGACACAGATGAAAGAGTAGTATGAACAATGAACCCAATTTTTTCACCACTAGTTCGAGAACCTACCATTACTCACTACTTCTCGATTCCTGAATTGGTTGGTTGGTATCAATTGTTTGCCTAAATTCGAATATTTTTGATTTCTTTCTGTCAAAATGAATAAAACAACAAAACTTGAGTTTGTATAACGAAATAACATAAATGAATCTTTAGTTTTGTATAGTCTGGATTAGTATTTTCCCAAATTGGTAGTAAATATTGTAAATTTGAGTAAATAAGACAAAGATAAATAATCTTCAAGTATCTAACAGGTATAAAATTTCGAATTTTGAATGGAATACTAGTAAAGAGATTCGATTGTTTTCTCAAATTTTTTTATGGAAATCCATAGAAATCACGATAAGATTTCGAGATATTTATCATTTATTGTACTGGTATTTCACTGAAAGAATAAGCTACTGTTTGTGAAAATCATATCCTTTGTGAAGTATTTTTCCCAATACTGAGGAATTCTTCGTATGCCAAAGAATAGTCGTATCGTCACCGTGAATTGTCCCTGAATATCGATTTGCATCAAGTCATTCACATATAATAAAAATAACAAGGGACCAAGTACAGAGCCTTGCGGAACTCCATGTTTCACAGATAATTAACCTACATCCATCACAGCTACCTCAGTATTTTTTTCTATCACTCACCGATTACTAGCAAGCGACTTACCTGGGTTCCGTCTCCAGACACTCGCTCTCGGAATTAATTTCCTCGGCGCCATTGAAGATGTCCTTGAGCTCGTCCTGGGCGGGCCTCGAAGGCAAGACCGGGTCGAACAGCCGCTTCGCCTCCAAGCTGGGCTTATAGTCGTCCTTGAGGAAGATCTTCTTGGAGGTGAGGCAGGGGTCGCTGAAGTTCACCCGTTTGCGCTGGAACGTGCAACAGTGAGAATTTCCAATTTTCCACGCAGGGATGTGTCGAGAATGCATGGTTTTTCGAAAGGAAAATCGTCAGTCAAAAGTCTTTGCTAGGTAACTATCTGTAGTACTTGAGCTGTCGTTAGGCAAGGGTTGACAAAAATACTTGAGGTTACTTCGGATTGCACATACGGTGTTGGGAGTGGGGAAGGTTTGGAATGAGAGTGAATCTTTGTCAGTTAACATATGGGGTGAATCTAAAAGCAAGGAGTGCCTCGAGTTCTTGAACGACCGGGCTTATAACTCTAGCAGATGTCTGCCTTAGTGCCCCCTTAACCTGCTGGAATCTAAAATGAATATTGATAATATTGTTATTCCTGTCGTCCATTTTGCCAGAGAAGTACTGTACGAGGACGATGATAGAAACATACACGAAAAAGTCGATGACTTTGCTGAGATAACGGTACTAGATATGATAGGTCACCAGTTTCGAATGCATTTTTGAATGCAACCTGAAACTTCCGAAGATCCGGATGTAGTATGATATGAACTTGATAAATTATATAAGATACCGAAAGACATGGTTACAGCGTGGTATATTTGAAATATAGAAAGTATGAGGTAGGTACTCTGAGGATAGGTAGATGTATCTGCAACCAAATCTATTGAAAAAATCCACTGGTAAAGTCTTTTCAAAGTCACTTGAGACAAATTCAGCAAAACACATCGCCGGCGACACGCGGTCCAATGTCTCCATTAATATCATCATTACATTCTGAAGGATCTAGCAACCAATTTTTTCTCACCATTTCCTTGTTCATCCTAACATAGGCATTCTTGAGCTACACAGGCGGTAAGAATTCGAGTGTAATTTCTAGCAAATATTTTTCCAGTTGAATATTTAACAACACACTTTCATTATTTCACTTTCTACTTCTGTTTAGTTTGACTGACTATACAAGCGTGTTTTCTAAGTTTTTCAAACTAAGATTTATTTTCTACTTCTTTTAAGTTTGGCTATCTATGAAAGCTTATTTCATTAGTTTATTACAAAGCTCGTTCGACATATTGAATCCGCCATCTTGAATTTTCTAATTATGACGGAGGAATCATAATCTCCGACCCCGAAAACCCTCAGATACCAATTTCAAATGGAATCGGATCATAATTGATAAACTTGTCCATCTTGAATTTTCTAATTATGACGGAGGAATGAATCATAATCTCCGACCCCGAAAACCCTCAGATACCAATTTCAAATGGAATCGGATCATAATTGATAAACTTGTATGCCAGATTGTATCTGCCATCTTGAATTTCCAAAATTTGACGAAAGAATCATAAATACAAAACACGATCGCCATTTAGGATCCGTCATCTTTCAATTTTGATGAAAGAATCATAATCTTCGAACCAGAAAATCCTTAGATACCAATCTTGGATAGAATCGGATCATAATTACAAAACTTGTCCGCCATATTGAATTTCTTGATTTTTTTCTCTCATAATAACAAACACAAAAAAAAGAATTAGTGAAATCGGTTTAGCCGTTTACAAATCTATATAAAGGATGTACACAAACAAACATTCATTTTTATATATGTATGTATAAATATGTACAGGGTGAGTCAATGGTGTCTATTGAAAAAGTTTGAAGACAACAGTTATAGGGGGGTTCAAGAATTCTGATCACCCTGTATCTGTCCCTATTGAATGTCAGTAGATACTAAATCAAAAGTTAAGATACAGAAAAATCCTGAAGTTGAAAAATATCGATTTTGAACACCCTATATATCTGTAATCATTCCCGCTAGAGATCCTAAAGATGCAATAATATAGCCGATATCTTAGAATCGGAACACCCTATAGAAATGAAAATAATTTTAGGTGATAGTTGTCATAAAACCCTAGAACTATTGTTTCTGACGGTTTCTCTCTCTCTCTCACACACACACACTCTCTGTCTCACTCTCTCTCTTTAACACTCTCTCTCTCTCTCTCCCACTCTCTCTCTCTCTCTCTCTCCCTCTCTTACCTTTGCGCACGGAGAAAACCCGTCCCCGTCACTAACATCCGACAGCTTCCTCTTCAAGATCCCGCTCCTCGGCACCGCCAACGGGCTCGGGATGTCGCGCGTGAACCGCAAGATGTCGCCCTCGTCGATCTCCTCCTCCTCCTCTTCCGCAGGCCCGCCCATCGCCCTCTTCGGCCCGAAGTGCGACATGAGCCGCTTGATACGCCCCGTCGACGGGGAGCAGACCACGCCCACTCCGCCCCCTCTCCGCTTCAGGAACAGCTTGGTCGGCACCGGCGAGACGGCGTTCATTGGCTTCGAGTAGGTGGGGGCGTGGTCTTTGGGCGGGGCGTGGTCTTTGCTTTCGGGTCTGAGGAGGGGGGGTTTGCGCGCGTCTGGTGTTTTGTCGGGTGGGTTCTCGAAGACCAGGGCGTCCTCTGTTTCGCATTCGTCGGAGAACGAAGAGCCTGCAACGTGAATAATGACGTTTGTTTTCACCGGAACATATCGTTTCGGGAAAATAATCGATGAAATTGTTTTGTTCAGAATCAATGAGGGTAGTATTGTTATTGCTGCAAGTAAAGCAGACCACGCCCACTCTGACGTATGTTTTGATCGGAACATATCATTTAGGGACAGTAATCGATACAAATTTTTATTGTTATTGCTGCAAGTAGAACAGACCACGCCCACTCTGCCCCTCTGCTTTAGGAACAGCTTGGTCGACACCGGCGAGACAACGCCCATTGGCTTCGAGTAGGTGGGGGCGTGGTCTTTCGGCGTGCCCTGGTCTTTAGTAGGTAGGTACTATTCGCGGGAATCAATGTTACCAGGTGGGCACTTGGTTTTCATCGTTCCATGTCAAAGCCACGTAAAACCTGGAGGAAAACAAACTCAATCCTCACTCAATCCCATTAGTGCCATTAGCTTGTGTACTGTGTACTGATAAGAGTGATAAGTTTTTAAATTTCCTGACATTAATTGTCAATATTCGATCGAAAACGATAATAATGCCTGTTGTAGATTGTTCTTTTGGCAGATATTTTGCTCTATTTAAACGGGAAATGCCTACCAGTAGTAGAAGGAGAAGCAGTTCTCCATGCTAATCATGTGATTTTGTGTGAGGCAGAAGACTTCAACAAAAGGCACATTTTTGCACTTTTTCTACAAACTTCGGCGATGAAATCTTCCCCACATGAGGTAAAATTGAAGTTGGGGTCCAGAGGAACTCCTGTAGAACAATGGATTTATATTTGTTCATGCAAAGCAGGACAATCTGGGTATTGTAAACACGTTGTAGCTGTTCTTTTATATGTCAATTGATTTGCTCGTCATAATTAGTTTGAATTGTTTGAACTATCTCCAATTCTTCACCCGTTCACTGTTCACTAAACTAATAAAAATGTAATAATGTAAAAAAATTAACCAACTCAACCATCATCATTACCAACAGTGCCAACACTTGATGTCATTGACAAGTTTGACTACAACTACAGCAAGCTGAATGCAATGTAGTCTATGCACTTATCCATAGACAACAGTTTGTTTTCCCCCAGTTTGAAGTTCGTATTATGTAACCTAGATGTCGTCCACTTCGTGAATCTCGCGAATACGTTAGAAAAGATAATGTTATTTGTGATGAAATGGTGAAGTGTCAGCTAAAGATGTTTTTCAACTTTACCAGATAGAAACCATAAAAAGTGTAATAAACTACTAGTTGATAATATTTTATACCCTCAATAATATGAGATTGTATGTATGTATTGGTATCCATCCAGAGAGGATGAGCAAACACTAAAAAAAAATTCAACGATTATCAGTCCAGTGATTCACGAGCACATCTTTCAAATTCGTTTTGAAGTTGAATATAGAGTAATGGCGGAAAGTCGGTTCCAGGTTATTATACAATTTGCAAGCACGATACGAGAATGCAGTGGAATGTTTGGGTATAATGAAGAAATATTTTTTCCTTGTAGTGACTCTATTACTTTCCGTGAGCACTAATTTCTTGAGAAAGTATGGGCGATTTTTGGTTTTCAACATTTTGTGTACGAAACAAAGAGTATGCAAGTCACGTGTTTTGTCCAATCGTAGCCAACCAATTTCATGAATGTGTCTACTTACGCTATGATACTTGCGCAAACCATTACAAAAACATGCACAAGTATTCTGTATAAGTCGAAGTTTTCTTGCGTCAGATGCAAGTAAGGCAGTGCGATAAACAGAGCCACAATAAGCTATCTTGGAGAATATCACAAAGATTAATTTTAATTCGCTTTGGAGATCTGGCACAATCCAAGATTTTTGCATTTATTCACTGTCGGTACCTTCATATTATTCATATAAAAGTCAATTCTTTGGGGAAGCTATCGTTCTTTTGCTCTCGGAGCCAAAAATAGTTATTGTTTGGTACTTTGTACCACTTTGTACATCACTGTAACATGGCAACTTGTTGTGGTGGGGAAACAGTTGGAATAATAAAAAAACTCAATAAAAACCAGAAAGAATTACAATTCTTCTTCAATCATAAAATATCATATCATCAAATCATTCAACCAACCAAATATACAGTCCACTCACACCAAGGCATCGAACAGTTATGGAGGATTGCTTTATTGGCATTCAAGTTCAAATTGTGCGCCTTGGAAATATTGAACAGCGATTCAAAGTCCCTATTAATGCAGCAGCATGCATCATTATAATAGGAAACAAACAGTAATATTGAAAGATGTTATACAATAACTGGGATAAATGAACCTCACCCTCCTCCAAATGATTCTCCACATCCTTCTCCTCACTTTTCTCTTCTACCTCCTCGTCTTCCTCTCTAAAGAAAATCGCGATGGCCTTCGGTATCTCGGCCGAAACCTCAGAAACAGGCGAACTGGTTTTCGAGTTTATGGGAGATATGTCCATCGTATTGTCCAGCAATTCGCTCGTCCTATTGGGTGTGTCTACGGTAACGGGAGAAGAGGGAAGATTCGATGACCTTGGACTCGGAGTACTTGGAGTAGTCGATGATGGGGGACTGGCAGTGCTAGGACTAGCTAAGAATACAAAAAAACTCAGGAATTTCAATAGATCAACTCATTTACTTCACATGTCAAAATATGACATTTTAGTGAATTCAAATAATAGTGTTGCGCGATGGTAACCAATCATAAGATGAATAAATTCGATTACCTCTATGTTAACAGAACAAAATATTTGTAATTTATTAATTGAACAATAACTTTCGGGCAACGTTCGAGTATTATTTTTCTGGTAAATGATATGTATCCACAAACAAAGCGGTTAAACAACGTTTCTTCTACAACCAATCAACGAAGTCTGTGAAATCTTAACACAATTCCTAGGGTGTGTCTTTGAGTCTTCTATTCTCCTATTGCAGGAATTAAGAAGAAATGTGAATTTTAAATTGGGACACTCCAAGGTGAATTGACATTGAGAAAACGTGTAACCTGCTTATTAAGGGAAAAAATTCAAAGATTCTGAAATAATCAGATTAATTTTCAAATATATCTCTTTGTAATCAGAGAAGCAGTATCATCGTTTCTTAGATCGAAAAGATCTTGTGTATATTTTATTCACGAAGTCTTACTGCCGTTTTCTGAAGATAAACACTTTACATGACTCTCTTTGTCAAACGGTAATCTATCAATTTACACTGCTCTAAAATACAAATAGATATGGTAAGAACGATTTTGCTTGAAAAAATAGTGATCATTATTCATAAGTGAGACATTGTATGGATTAGTTTCCTATATTGAGATTTTCATCTCACTGTGAAGTTTGTGAAAAAATAATACATACGTATTTTTTCTTTTTTTCGTATGATCAAATTTCACTTCAGAAAAAAATAAATAAAAGAGGAACTTGGCTCCTCCACCATTCCTATGACGTCCTTTCTGAAAATCCACATTCACACAGAGTTAAAATACGATTCCCTATGCCAGTACGACGTTGCCGACATCATCAATATGTCTAGATTTCTGGAAATTGTTCTTTGAATGCATGATAACTATATCATAAGTTAGATATAATAAGTTCTTCAATTCTACTTTGTCAAAAATTATGAATAATTCCCATAAATCTCACATTGGCTGAATGAAGTTGATTACTAATAAAGATAAATTATGATATTTTGCGATAGTATCTATAACTTTTCACTATCGTTATATTACAATATGTTATTCATAACTAGTCAGTCATTTTCTTGCTATTGAATTCGTTCCTTAATAAAACCGATCTATTTTCTAGGAAAGTTGCAGATTATAATATCATGCAACAGCGCCTAATACTTCGAGTCCGTCCACACCACTCAAAATACTGACAGGCACAACAAGAGGAAGGAGCCATGGGTGTCGGCTTCATTCGGTTCTGACCGATTGCAGTAAATTAGGAACGATATTATCATTGAATGTAGCCGATAGTGATTCATTGATTCAATGATATTTTCGTTTAGGATCGAGCTCTATTCAAGATATTTCAATGCATAAATAACAAAACCATAACCTGTCAGAATGAAGCCAACTACCCTCTGCATTCCTGCTCCGAGTGCATTTGTGGTTATGTTCGTTTCTTTTTACCAGTTTAACTTCTTCTCCCATTTTTTTTTTCATTCGTTAGCTATTCGTTAGCTATTCGCTAACTATATTTTTCACCATCAGCTATTTTCAGACTAGATTCAAAATGTACCTCACAGTTTGCCGCCCCTTAATTTGAAAATGAAAACGACTTTATCGGTCGCCATTCTGTACAGCGTGGACATAAAACTGGAGAGTTCCGAACTTATTTTATGAAAATGCATCTGATTGAAACTTCCCCATTGCCCATTATACATCCTTCCTACAATATCTTTCAGATTCCAAGCTGCTATAAAAATAAATATGAATTGTCACTCACCTAGAATATCCTCAATAGACTCCGCCTCTTTGCCATTGGATGCCATTGTTAGTTCCACCTCCTCTTGGTTCTGCCTACTACCTAACGGTTCTTCGACCGCTGCCGAGTCGTTTGGCAGGCAGATAGACATGGTATCCATTCTGCACATCATTTGCTCTGATTCTGTCAGCTTGGGCTTCTTTGGCAAATCGAAGTACAAGACGGGTGGTCCAGCATCTTCTGAAGAATATATTGCATGGCTATCCTGCGTTGGAGTATCTTGAGTCATCTGAGGTTGAGTTTGAGTGTCTTGTATCCCACTCGGCAAATCATCTTGAGTGGAATCCTGGATTACACTGGAATCTTGGGTGGTTTCATGAGTTAAAGTAGTGTCTTGGGTGGTATTAGCTTCCAATGGTACCTCTGCAACTATCTCTTTATCTACCTCAGAGTCTTCCAGAACTCCGTTCTCATCTTTGACGTCCTTTAATTTCTTTCCTGATTCTTCAATTTCTTTCTCTAAGGTAGCAAATTGCTTCAAGGCAATTTCAAGTGAAGTGACATCTTCTGATTCTTCGTACAACTTCGTCACTTCTTCAGTTTGTTCTTCCTGCATTTCTTTTACTAGATCTTGTGTATTTACTGCTTCATCATATTCTTTGAGCAAATCTTCAGTTTGTGCCTCCATTGTCAATAAAACGTCAACATTTTTAATTACGTCAGTTTTTTCAATAACCACTACTGGTACTTTGATAGAGTCCTGGTTTTCTACTATCGGCACGTCGGAAACGTTTTTTTCGTCCACGACAAAATCTGCTGCTGTGACAGTTTTTTCTTGAACCATGGTACTTTCTTCATTGTTTTGTTCAAGGCTTATTTTCGAAAGTTTTTTCTTTGAGGAATTCAGGAGGGGTGTGAGCTTTGTTGCAGATTCCTGTGAGCTTTGTATGATATCTTCATCATCATCGTCGGTGCTGTATTTCCTCTTTTGTCCCCTTTGTGGTGTGCAGTGAGAAGATTCATCGACTTTCTGTAAAGTTTCATTAGATTCTGGGATATCTTCAATCTTTTTATATAATTCATTGACAATTGCGACAGGTCCTTCAATGTCTATTTTATTTTCTTCTTTCTCATTTTTCCTGGTTGCCTTTCTCTTCACAGAGGATTTTCTATTCCTGTTTCTTATCATTTCAACTTGAGCAACATTTTCTTGAATAAGTTCCTTCTTCAAGCTTTTATCTTCACCAACTTCTATTTCAACAAACAATTGTGAAGATTTCATTGAATTCTTAATTTCATTTGATATTTTTTGAGTTGCTTGCTTTGTTTTACGAACTCTTCTACTGGACACGGGTGTCTCTTTTTTATCATTAATTTCGTTCAAGGCCGATTTGATTTCGACTTGTGGGTTATTATTAAATTGCTTCAAAGACTCATTTATTTCTCCATCGATTTTATTTTCTTGGTGTTGAGTATCATTACTCTCTGGGATGCTCTCACTCTGAGAGGAAGCACTGCCGAGATATGATCCAGTTATTACAGCCCCAACGGACTTTCTTCTATTCATGGCAACTTTCAAGTCATTTCCTCGGTCATTTCTTTCCAGACTAAGAGATTTCCTTCCCTTTTCCGACTTGGGTGAAGTTTTATTTCTCGTGTTTTCTTCAGGCTTCACCAGCCTTTCTTTGAGCCTGGTTCTTCTGCCAGCCCCCACAAACTCGGCAGCTCCTACAATATCCATCTTCAGTTTTGATAATTCAGCTTCCATCTTCCTCTTTTTCTTTTCTTCAGCATCTTCTTCGATTTTCTTCTTCGTTATACCAGTTGTTGCTTTTTTGGTAACTGAACTGGGGAGTGGATTCTCATCACTAAACAAATCAGCTGATATTTTTTGCTCTATTTTTGTCATGTTTGATTCACCCGGCTGACTTGTTGATTCCTCTTCCGGAATTTCATTGTCAGAAGCTGAAATAATGTCACTAGATTGGGACTTGTGCGTTATAGGATCATTTGAAGCATTTGAAAACAAGTCTGGCTCTGAATTTTCTGTACTTTTTGTTAGTTTGGATGCTTCCTGACTTTCCTCAATATTGTCAATGATTTTATTATGTTTTTCTTCTGCCAAGACACCCCAATGTCTGTCATCCTTCTCAGTTGATATTAAAATGGGTTCAACGTACTCCACTACCACTTTTGGTGCTGCTTTTGCTTCTTCTGAGTTCAACTTTGAAAACAAGTCTGGCTCTGAATTTTCTGTACTTTTTGTTAGTTTGGATGCTTCCTGACATTCCTCAATATTGTCAATGATTTTATTATGTTTTTCTTCAGCCATGATACCCCAATGTCTGTCATTCTTCTCAGTTGATATTGAAATAGGTTCAAAGTATTCCACTACCACTTTTGGTGCTGCTATTGCTTCTTTTGAGTTTGACTTAGAACTAAACATATCCTGGCTCATGCTCTGAGACAGATCTTGGTAAAGTGCTGGTATATCTTCTCTTCTCTTCTTCATCACTTCCCGTTGGTGGTCACTCAGTTTCTCTGGTTTCAATTCGATTTCAGTATTAATTTCGACGAATTCTGAAGAGCTTTCATCATTGATAGATGGTTTGGTACTTGATTTGATCGGTCCAGTGTTAGCAATTTTACTTTTTTTAGGAGGAGTGTTATTGAGTTGGCTTCCTTTCAGTTTTAGTGGTGACATAGTATCCAAGTCTTTGCCAAAAAGTCTTAGGGTAGTAGGGGATGCAACGGCTTTAGTTTGTTTGTTAGGTGATTTTGGGGAGTTTTTCGCCAGATTGGCAATACGTGCGGATCTACCAGTAGGTATGACGAAGGTTTTTTTCTCGGTATCTTCTTCTTTTTCACTGAAAACTGCTAGGACTTTAGATAATTCTTTTGCATTATAACTTTTAACGTCTGATTCTTTGTTATAGAGATCCAATAGAAGGTTTTCCAAATGTTTGGAGTACTTGGTACGCATCTCTTTTGGGGACTGTCTAAGGAAATTTGTAAGTGGTTCCAATATTCTGAAGCCTCCATGAATCTTCAGTATATGTTCAATGGACAAACTAACATTTTTAATTACTTCATCATTTTCGGTTTTGTAGCACTCCAATGCTGGTTCAAAATATTGCATTACAAGTGTGGATATTTTGTGCTCATCTTCAGACTTTAGATTCGGAAGTACGAGAATCAGTGAAGACACATTCATCAGTTTGTTAACTAAGAGAGAAAAAACAGATCATACAAGAATAATAACTTTAAAAAAAAACTTACCGAAGTCTTGAGTAAATTTTGTTTCGAATTGTGACATGATATTTAGGAGAGATATGACGTTTGAAGACAAAAGCGGATTGTTTTTGAAAATTTTTTCAAGGTCTTTCATTACTTGCAACTTTTTAACTTCACAGTCTTGACACAGTTTCTTGTAAATCTTCAGCCAGTTAACAGTAATTAGCTGAAACACAAAAAATTTCAACTTGCCAAATAGGTACCAATATGCGGTATCCAAACTTTTTTGCTGGTTTCTTCCATTCGATGCATGTTCAGTGCAGGCCACAGGAAAAACTCGTTCAATTTTGAAAATTCCTCGATTTTTTCAACATTCAAATCGGAAATTAATTCAGAAGCTAAAAATAACCAAATTTTGGCCATGTTAGAAATGTTCTCTTCGTGGGATTTCAAATTTGCAAAGCAATTCATAATGATATTCATCATCTTGACTTTATCTTCCTCTTGAATAATCTTTGAAAACGAATGCATTAGTGCTTGTTTGAAATTTTCCGAAATATTGACAGGGCTGAAATAGAAATATAATTATGAAAAACATCAGAGTTTGGCAAACATGTAGGCTATAATAATGTAAGAAACCTAGGAATAAGTATATATATACAGGGTGGGCCACCAGTAACGCCTCGGTCTCTAGAAGGCTAACCACTTATCTTCTTGGAATTCTTCCTCTCTAGGAAGTTGCATGTCAACATAGGCTACCATTTAAAATTATTTCGAAACATACAGGGTGTCCCCAAAAACCATAAAACACTGAAGTTAAACTTTTTTCTATCGAACACCCTATATATTATTTCATTTTGAGATTCTCCCTGATGAGCTGATTTCAACGACCCATCATACTTGGGGTCTAGCAGTTATAATTACTGAAATATAGGGTGTGAAAAATCTAGATTTTCCAAGTTCAAGAATTTTTTGTGTCGAAACTATTCATAATTGGTCAAAACGGCTTACATGTCCCTATCTCAACTTTTGATTAACTATCTACTGATATTTAATTGGGACATATACCGGGTGATCAAGATTCTGAATTCTGCACCACCCTGTATAAGAGAACATTTTCATAAGGTGACATTCTGGAATTGAAGTAGCTGAAAGGAAAAAGTTCCATGTTTGTTCTTCTGGAAAATATATACTTACATGTTATTGCTGGTGAATAAAATCGTTAAAAGTTGTAATAGTATCAATTTGATACATTCACAAATCAACTCCTTATCAAAAGACATCAAAACCGTGAATACAAGTACGACTAGGTCTTGAAAATAAGGATTCGAAGTACTTTGCTGAAACATAAATATTTGAAGTGAATGGCTGAAGGAATAAAATCAGCACCCACTTACATTTATGAAATTGTCAAGAACACCTGACAAAATCTGAAAATACTTCTCTCTATTTGACTCTGATGCAGGTACAACTAGGTCGAAGACGGTTACCCACATACATTTGATTACCTAAAAAGAATACTTTATAGTGAATATAGACTAAATGGAACCATTAGAGAACATTTTTTTATTTACGTATTACCTCTTCTTGCCAACTAGGTATTTTGATATTGAATTTTGGATAAGATATTTAGATACCATATTGAAAGAGCTAATTTACCTCCATCCTTTTGGAATCCATTTCCACGTCCTTAAGTAATATACAACTTTCTGATACCGAGTTTATTATAATCTTGTAACATGTCTGTATATTTCTATGATTTATAATAGGTTCTTCCAGTTTGATGATATCTTTTGTATTCAGACAATCTATAGAATTGCCATGACTGTGCCCTGAAAAAATGAATTCCCTTTGATTCAGAAAAACAGGTCACATAAAAATTCAACGTCTATTACCTATAATTTCCACTAATACTTTGGTACTTTTGATCCACAACTGTGGAATGCTTCTTCCTTGACCACTTCTAGAACAATTTTTATTGTCTCCAATAGAACCGAAACAGAATTCCAAAAATTCTGGCAAGCAGAGCATGGCTTTCTGTTGAAGTTTTTCTAAGAGATAGACAAAAGTGTCGAATCTTTTGCAGATTACCACTTCCTGTTTGGAAAATTTGGCACGAAGAGGAGTAATTAAAAGTTTGATCTGTTTGGAACTACAAATGTGGTTTTGGTCTAAACTTGCATTGTCAATTAGTTCCTGAAACATACCATAGCAAGATATTTTTCCCCGTAGCCATAAATTTGAGAATCAATTGAAACAGATAAAAACCTTCCAACAATCATATCCTTTGAGTCTCTGTTCAACCGAAGAATTTCTGAATGCGAATTCTACGACTCGTAGCAGGCGATTCGTTAGATCCATTGAATTGTGGATGTTTTTATCGCAAAATCTCACCAAAAATATCCACAATTTGTGCCAATTCAAGAAACCCGAATCACGAAGTTGACTTATGGCACCTATATATCTGAAATGGAATTTAGTTGAAAAAAATAGGTATTTTTCTCCAATTTTTATTTATAAATTACTTCTTTTCATAATCATAATTTTTATTTATATATACCTTACAACAAGTTATACTTCGTAAGGTTTTCATTGTTTATTTAATACCAATATGTACATGGTCATTCCGTATATTTAAACAGCTTCTACAGGGTTCAACATTGAAGATAGAATAAAACTTCAAACACAAAAATTGTTGGGTTTGTTCTAAACCTCCAGAAAATTTTACTAGGTGAAACAAATGAATATCGCTGATATAAGAAATGGAAATAATTGAAGATCTGTCTTTTCAGGTTAGGTTACTAGATTTGGTAACATATCTCAAGTTAGGTTACTAAATCTGGTAACATATCTCAGGTTAGGTTACTAGATCTAGTAACATATCTCAGGTTAGGTTACTAGATCTAGTAACATATCTCAGGTTAGGTTACTAGATCTAGTAACATATCTCAGGTTAGGTTACTAGATCTGGAAACATATCTCAGGTTAGGTTACTAGATTTGGTAACATATCTCAGGTTAGGTTACTAAATCTGGTAACATATCTCAGGTTAGGTTACTAGATCTAGTAACATATCTAAGGTTAGGTTACTAGATTTGGTAACATATCTCAGGTTAGGTTACTAGTTCTAGTAACATATCTCAGGTTAGGTTACTAGATCTAGTAACATATCTCAGGTTAGGTTACTAGATCTGGAAACATATCTCAGGTTAGGTTACTAGATTTGGTAACATATCTCACGTTAGGTTACTAGATCTAGTAACATAATTCAGGTTAGGTTACTGGATCTAGTAACATATCTCAGGTTAGGTTACTAGATCTGGAAACATATCTCAGGTTAGGTTACTAGATTTGGTAACATATCTCAGGTTAGGTTACTAAATCTGGTAACATATCTCAGGTTAGGTTACTAGATCTAGTAACATATCTAAGGTTAGGTTACTAGATTTGGTAACATATCTCAGGTTAGGTTACTAGATCTAGTAACATATCTCAGGTTAGGTTACTAGATCTGGTAACATATCTTAGGTTGGGTTACTAAATCTGGTAACATATCAAGTTCAAAAATATATAGGTCAATCATATTCGGTTCAGCCGTTTAAGCAATATTCGAGGTCGAACATTTTAGAATTGGTTATAGTTTTATTTCACCAAATCGCAATTGCCATGAAGAATCAACAGCACATATGCAGGTTGTTATCAATCAAACTTTCTGTAATTTTCTTTGCGTATGTATTGTTGATTCTTCATGGCATCTGCGATTTGGTAAAACCAAAATTGTAACTAAAATTATTTCAACCTCGATTATTTTGAAAACGGCTGAACCGAATATCAACAACCTATATATAGGGTGTCCGCTAAAAGGAGGTCAATCCATTAACCATATATTCCTTGAACAAAAACAATATGAGTTTCTAAATAACATTTTTCATTTTAGCCCTTCATATTCGATATACAGGGTGTCAAAGTTGGAAATTGAAAACTGTCTTTTTTTAATTACTCGCGTATTTAATAAGATTTCAATCTCAAAATTGGTACATTACTTCAGCACAAAGAGTTACATCGTGTGAGGAAAACAAAACAGGAAATAACTGTCAAATATTCAAAATACTGAGGGTCAAGTACACACTTACCCCCATATTTTTTTTGTACGTGCGCTAATGACTTCCTATCTATTTTCCTTCAAGTGTCCAATCATTTTTGAGTATTTTTCGTATTTTGTAAAATTTCGATGAAATTATTTGTTTTCAAGATAATTCGAAAAGTACTGGTTACTGTTTGATGCCTATGCGGCTTACGGTGAACTCTTAATGTTCACATACTCCTATTTATTTCGTCGAAATTGCACAGACTTTATTGAGCCCTTTCATTTGATACCCGTAGAAGTGGATTAAAAATAACTATTCCGCCATCTTGGATAGTCCGCCATATTGGATTTAGAATGACGTCACATTATTTTTTGACTACTCTCAATGAACCTTTTCATTTGATACCCATATTGTAGAAGTGCATTGAAAATAACTATCAAGTCGTCTTGGATGGTCCGCCATATTGGATTCAAAATGAAGTCACATTATTTTTCGAGTTACTTTCAACAACTCCTTTCATTTGAGACCAATATTGTGGAAGTGCATTAAACATAACTATTTTGCCATCTTGGATGTTCCGCCATATTGGATTCAGAATGACGTCACATTATTTGTCGAGTTGCTCTCAACGACCCCTTTCATTTGATACCCATATTGTAGAAGTACATTAAAAATAACTATTCCGCCATCTTGGATGAACCGACATATTGAATTCAGAATGACGTCGCATTATTTTTCGAGTTACTCCCAACGAGTCATTTGATACCCATATTGTAGAAGTGCATCAAAAATAAGTATTCCGTCATCTTGGATGGTCCGCCATCTTGGATTTAGAATAAATTCACACACCTTATCGTGCATTGTCATGTACAAACTGAACGTGTATAAAAAATATCAGCTCAATCGGTTAAAGAAATCTACTCCAAGATTGAGTTCAAAGATTCCACCCGAACTAACATACATACTTTTTTTTTTACGGTATACCGTAATTTAATGTAGATATTGTGCCTTATTTCCGTAAATTGAGGTTTATCGTACCTGTCCACAGGTAACTAATCCTTCAGGTTGGGAAAGTAAGATATATAAAAGTTAAGCAAGCCAACATTAGTTTAGTTCATTGTACCAGTATATCACCTGACGAAGCTACTGTGTTAGTGAAACATGTGTGTTTGAGAATGTTGTGGAAATTTTATCGTTTGTGAAGTTTTTACATACATACATCCATACATTGAAAGTTAAATAAAAGCTTTAAAAAAATCGGATATGGCGCTGGACAATGAGCGATCACAATGAAGAAATTCTATTAGAAAAGATGTATAAGCCACAAATGATTTGTTTAAATAATGGAATGGCTACCAGGAATCAGGATAGGACCCTCAAAACAAAACATTAGCATTCCAGATGTAGCCAATTTAAAAATGAAATAAAAATGTATGTTCAAGAGGAAGATTGAATGTTTATTATGAGGGATGGGTATTTTAAAATTTGTCAGAGTAAAAACAAAAAATTGATTATGAGTGGATATTATTATGTGTAGGTATTTCAGAAGGTTCAATATGTAGTTAGTTAGATTTGTGACTTTGAACTTGTTAGTTTGAATATGCATTTGTATTGTGTTCCAGGACCAACACTTGGTTTGCTGATTAGAAAACAATTTTTGTTCAAATAATTTCAATGATTATATTGTTTGAATAAAAAGTTATTGAAAAAATAAAGATATGTGTTGAGTGATCATTATTCTTTATTTACAAATCACCTAATAAAAGAAGCTCAATATTACAGAGAAAGAGAGAAAATCTTCATTAGGGATATACCCCAAAAGGCCATTGACCAAAGTCTTTCAGTCCAGTTTACAAAATATAACTATTCCACAATATTGATTTATAAAGCTTTTCAAAAAAGTAATACATAATGCATCCCACTTTAACAATGAAAAAGTGTGCTTTTGTTGATGTTGAAAAAATATATATTGTTTGCACCATTTATTGTTTTTCAATCCAATCAGTCTGTATGATATTTGTTTTCTCTTTTGTTGAAATCCATACAAAAATTAGAAGCTATACAGCTTTTATTTTTAAAGGACATAAATCTTATTTTATACAGAAAACTGACCAAAAAAGGGCCAGTGTTGTATCTTCAGTTCTTTTGAATTTTCAGATTGCCTTGGTAGAATAACCACAGAATTGTTAATTTTGTCATGAAATAAAAGATCCACTGGAATTTCAGAAGTAACCTCAACCTTTGATGTTGATTTAATTTTCAAAGTACTTATCAACAGTTTTATTCAAAAATATGTGCAAAAATCTGATCAAATATTTCCAGGTCTGGAAAACCAATTAAAAAAAGTGCACTATTGAAACCTTTTCAAATACCATAATATGTGAGTCAGAAAGGAAGCAAATGGAAAAAAATCAAAACTCATGAATTTTTCACCTTGATTTTCTCACAAAAATGAGTAGAAATAAGAAAACAAGATTGGATATATTATTTCTTTGTTTTTCAGTTTCATTTCCATCAATATTATCTTGATGGAATGCAATAACTGAGTGAATTTAGATTTGAACATGTTGTTTCTAATACATATTAGTCATGAATACAAAAATCAAAGAGATGTAATAGTTCTAAACAGTCAAATTGGGAAATCCATTTTGCTTTGATATTTGTTTCGAATATTAATTCAATTTTGGGAAATATGAGTCAATAGAGTAATAATATAAAACAAAGCTTGTTGATGTTTTCTTTATTAAGATATGTTCCTAATAGCATTGGGAGTGGATTGCTGACTAACTCATTCATGATTTATTACAAAAGGGTATCCAATTTCAAGAGAATAAATCATTGCAGATATTATATTAGATAGTTCACACATTTTCAATAACAGGTGTTTACACAAACTGTGAACATCTGAGTTGTAGTGAAAAATTATGCATAACTTTTGTGAAGAAAAATCATCAAATTATGTATTTCAAATGTTAATTTATATTGTTTTACTCAAAGTTATATCTAACAAAATTTCAACACATTTCTGATAGATATCTCTGAATGTAAAAAACAATATTAAATTTGTCAACTTGAAATACAATTTTAGAAATAGATTTCAACTAGAGAGGCAACTATAAGTTATAATAATGTTTAGATATTTTGTACATTTAGCTCACATAGATTATTTGTAGAAATTTGACTAGAGTGATTTACTACTTGAAGCGTATATGTCTGAACTATACAGCATATTTGGAGGAATAAAAATAAATTTGTACTGCAAATCCAGCCAAGCTCAAGTTTTCAATTTCATCTATTTACAACAACTCTCCTATCAAAATGGCTGAATTTTCATTCACATGTGAAATTGTGAAATGAAATCACCTACTGAAATGCCAAGTCTATTCACATTTTGCAACTACTCAAGAAGAAAAAGTTTTGAAATATCAAAACTTCTGTTAGTTTCACATTGGAAAAGTATACATACTTGGTATTTATTTCTTTCAAGAACTTCTCCAGTTCCTCTGCTGTTAACTCTGAGATAGGTATGATTCTGGAGAGTAAAAATGCAATTTCAATGTATGTATTCCTCAGTGTTTTCTCTGTATTCAGTAACATCATAGCAGGAATAACTTTGCTCATGAAAAAATACTTGCACTTTTCTTTAGGAAGTTCATTTGAGAATACATCCTCCAACAAACTGTTCAGCTAGAAGAAAATAATATTAGCAATCAGATGTTTCAAGATATTCTGCATTATCCATTCAACTTTGAGAATATCCAATCTTCAACTATGATCAACCAACAATATCATAAGTTATTTTACAAAACAGCAGGGCATTATTTCATTAAAAAAATGGCTCAGCAGATCAGATGCAAATTGATGAAACAAAATACTTCATGAGGCAGCTCATGAGAATCATTATAAAACAACTGGATCAAGAATTGAAGACTTTTTGAGTAAGAGCAAAATTAAATCAGTATTATTTATAGAAAACTGGCTGGTGCAATGAAAAATAATGATAGAATATGTACAGTATTGAAATTATTGCCTACCTTCATTGTATTTAGATTTTGCCAAGGTAAAAGAATATCTGTGAAATTCTGGGCTTTCATGATATTATCAATAATCTCCTTCTTCACAGACTTGCCAATCAAGGAATGAAAGATCTCATTTTCACTGTCTTCATTCAAGAGTTTCACTATTTCAGTCTGCACCTCTAGGGTCTTTTGATTTAACAAAGATTCCAACATATCTAGTGCTCTCTTCCTTATAATTTCGTCTTGAGACATCAAATCAGTTTTTATAAGTATAATCTGATTTGGGATATGTGTCTGGTCGATAGCTGGGTTGTTTTCCAGCATTGTAGGTATTGATGACAGGTCCTCTTTGAACTTTTTTTGTTTTGCCTTCACACTCATTTTGGAAAATCTTCGGAAGTACTAAATAGTGAAATTCGTATCAATAAGATATTTGAGACTTACCGATGATACAATATTAATATAAACTAGTAATCAAAATCTACATGAACATGATATTGAAAATACCCAACAATACATTTTTCCAGTTTAGACAATAATAAACGCGGGAATAATCGAAATGTCAATGTCACGTCACTGTCATGTGATGTCAATTGTCAATGTCTTCAAAATTTCTAGCCATCCACCAAGGTTGCCACTTCATATTTGACTGTGCGGGTAACACCGGAGCTACTCCACAGAGAGCCAATCAGAGAGCATGAAAAATAGGCAGGAACGCGTTCTTCTTGTTAGTGCTTGCAATGACGGCTAGATATCTAGCCGTCATTGGTGCTTGAAGCCCCAGTCAAAGAATATAGGTCCTCTTTGCCCCGGTGCTTCAGCATCTACCTTCCCTTACCCCATTGCAAATGACAAGCTGTGTTTGGTTAGACAATGATGGAAGTAAGATATCTTACTTCCATCATTGGTTAGACCATTTATATTACAAACATCCCTTGCCAGTCATTCAATTAGTAACATGGCTCCTTCCGGAAAATCTCAAGGTTATCAGAAGAGGTTATAAGATCATTTTTATAGGGTATGAGGAAGGAAAATATCGTTTCTGCATGAATGATGTGACTTCTTTTAACCGAACTCGTCCTAAACGATGCTTTTTCTGAAAAGTATTTTTCGAAAAATTACTTGTGAACAAATGAGAAAAAAATAACGCCCCTCAGGGATTTGGACACAAACGACCGCCGTCGAAGTCAGATACACAGACCACTGAGCTCTTTCGCGCTGTAATAAACAATAAAACTGTTTTATAACAGAGATAGGTATATAAAAAATTGAATTTGATCGGAATAATATCATTGTGAAATTAATTTAAACAAATAATAATAAGATGCGTGCCGGAATAGCATGCAACTTATAATAAAGTGTATATGATAAATTAAAGATTAATAATAATATAGATAGTCATAAATTGGTGTCAAATTATTTTCCAGTCTGTTATGAAATGTTTCAGTAGATCGATATGCAAATCAGGAGATCTACTGAAAATTCAGTAGAACCGGCAACCCTGCAGCGGACGAAAAGTTAGTGTCTGCGGACTCGGAAATTAGAACGTAAAATATGTGATTTTTTGTAGAGGTCGACGAAAATGAATATAATATTATATATTACATTATACATTGACTTTCTTTTCACGGACACCCTCTATATATATTTTTGATACAAATATGATTATTGCTTTTGAATATGTCATATAATATAATATGTCACAGATGATTAAATTATTTCATAAACAAAAATCACAAGTTTTGAACTTAGCTCGGCGTTTTTCGTTAGGAAATTTTGGAAATGATAACCTGAAATCAATAGAAGACGCATTTTGCTACGATTTGGCAATAATTGGCGGAGGTATAATTGGTACTTCAATAGCAAGAAAAATCAAAAATGAATCGCCCAATTTGAAAACAATTCTCATCGAAAAAGAAAGCGGTTTAGGGAAACACCAGAGCAGCCACAATAGTGGTGTAATGCATTCAGGAATTTATTATAAACCAGACTCACTCAAAGCGAAATTTTGCGTCAAAGGAAGACGCATGCTGAAAGAATATTGCGATGACAATAATATCCCTTATAAAAATACAGGGAAGATCGTAACAGCCACCGATAGAAACCAGATTGAAATTTTGAAGATTTTACATAGCCAAGGAGTTGAAAACGGGGTTGACGATCTCACGATACTGAAGACTATTGAAGAAATCAATGAAGTCGAACCAAGAGCCAAAGGTTTCCAAGCCCTATATTCTCCAAACACTGGAAACATCGATTTCCAAGTAGTAGCAGACAGTTTTGGCAAAGATTTTAGAAAAAACGGTGGAGACATCTTATTCAGCAACGAAGTAAAATGCATTAAACCGTCTTCGGATTGCGACTTTCCCATTTTGGTCAAATGCAATGAAAATTTGTTTCTGAAAACGAAATATCTGATCATTTCCGGAGGTCTACAGTCTGGAACCTTACTGGATTTGATTGATTGTGCAGCCAAAAAATGTGGTGTTTTCATATCTTTCAGAGTGAATTATCACTTGCTGAAAAATGGTTCAATATCCAGGAATATCTATGCAGTACCGGAGATGGACCTGCCCTTTTTGGGAATCCACCTGAGCCCAAGGTAATTTATTGATAATACAGTGCCGGGCATCATAACAGTACGTGTAACCAAAATCATCAGAGGTTCATTCCAACGGCCTTCGACAAATTTAAAAATTATTTATGTTTCCCAGTTAAGTTTTTCGGAAAAGGTAAATTACTGGAAATTCTATTTCATTTCTACGACGTCATACAGGGCGATCCACGGTGGATGACCTATTAGAATAAGTATCTGGAGAACGAATAGACAGAACATTCTGAAAATTGGGATGCTTTGATAATAGGCCTTTTCATTTAGATGACAAATGACTATCTCTGTTTACATCTCACATCCAACGACAATAATGGCGGCCATTTTGACCGAAACACTTATACCACAGTACCACACTCTTCAGTATAACTAATAAAGTAACGTTTTTTGGAATTAAATTGTTATAATACAATTGATACACACCAGGAATATGAAAACAAAAATACTATGTTGTTATTGCTGTTTCTCAACGACCAATGCCCATGCCATGGTGGTTGACATTTGACAGAACGTCAATAATACCCGCCATATTCGAAATGGCCAATCAGCATTTTGTGTTGGAACTATAGCCAATGAGACTTCACCTTTGCATCACCCAATTAATTATTGGATCTAAAAACCAGCGCATGCGTCTTAAAAATATATCTAGATGAAAAGGCTTATTGAACATTCTCTATCCGTCTAAAATATTTTCATCGATACAGTGTTGCCACTTCTATTAGAAACAACTAGCAACTTCGTTATTTTAAATGGAGCACCCTGTATTTTATTGCATTTTTATATTCTTCCTGAAGAGCTGATTTCATCAATGCATCACACTTGGGGTCTAGCAGGAATGATTAGAGATATAGGGTGTTCAAAATCGAGATTTTTCATAACGGCTTTCATGTCCCTATCCCAACTTTTGATTTACTATCTACTGACATTCATATCAACAGATACAGGGTGATCAGAATTATGAATATTGAATAGTTATTTTTGTATCTAGAGCGCGAAATGCGAGGCGAAATGCTACTTTGGTGATCGAGATCTGATTTTTTTAACAAGGTGTAGCCGAGTTGAAAAAATAGTCGAGATGACCTAAGTATTGAGGTTTGTAGGAAAAAAAATTCTTTCAGACTGGATGGAACTACTCTTCTGGGCCCAACAGCTGTTCCAGCTTACCAAATAGAAGGCTACAAGGCCGACGAACTGAACCTAACCTACCTGAAACACACTTTAACTTCCCCCCATTTCCAGAACATGACAAAACGGCATTTCTCGAAGTGCGTGGATCAAGTAAAAAAACACTTTTTCCCCTCGGTACACCTGAAAGAACTGAAAAAACTGGCAAGGATAGACGAGAAAGATATCACGAAAGGCCCCGTAGGTGTGCAAGTTCAGCTTGTGAACGAAGATGGAGAGTTTGAGGAGGACTTTGTATTCGAAATATTCGAGGGAGATGGAATCCAAAAGCGGATGATAAAATCCGTTTTTGTTCCGAGTCCTGGAGCTACTAGTTGCATGGCTATTGCTGAGTATGTGGCTGAGGAGTTTTTCAAGGAATGCCCCAAATGCGACATTTCCCATAGTTAGTTTTGTGTTATGTAATTTTACTGGACAATATACAAATTTATTTATTTGAGAGAATTGAAAATTATCCAACCAGCAAAACCCCATACACTCAACTTCATTATTTCAAATGGAACATCCTGTATATTATCAAGGTTTTATATTTTACACATGATTCTGAAGATGTTTTATGTATAATGTCCTATACCCAAGTCTAATCATTTTCGAAATATTTCAAATTTCAAGTTGAAAATTGCGTTTCCAGACCGAAAAATATTTTATTTTATTTCTGGATATGATCAATCATTTTCGATTGTGTATCGATTTATTCGTAGGGGAGGACCCAGTTCAGTAGAATTTCGATATCAATTCGATTACAGTTATACAGGGTGTTCACCAGAAAATCATACATAGATCCGGTTGAAAAAAATATTCTAGATCAATTTTTTCATTCGATTCGGCATCTAAAATGAAGCTAACTTTGAAAAAGGTTATTTATGCCTAGCCTCAACAGTTTTCGAAATATTGGCGAATTAGTAAAAAAATATCTCTTATGGAAAAGTCACAAATGATGTCAAGTGATGTAGTGTTGAACACTTTGATTTCATTTGAAAGGAAAACAGGTCTCTGGAAATTAAAATAGAATTTAATAGTATAAATTTATTTGATAATACAGCTGACAAACGGGGAATGTCATCGAAAAAATGAAACTCTTTAAATAAATCACTTATACTGTAACCTTACTCCACTGTTTGTCAAATAAAATTACGTCTCAAAAGATTCCTTTTATAACCGATCATAAGTATGAGTTACAATTTGAGAAAAACAAAGATTATGTACAGTGCAGCACACATAAAATGGACAGAACAACCGATATATTATCATAGATGTTCTGATCTCCAGAAACTATAAAATTCCTCAAGATCAGAATCGAAAATGAGCATGCAGAATTTCGAGATACTGTGCCCATTTCCGTGAGCTGAAAAGTAGATTACCTCAATTAAACAATAAAATACTTCTGAGCTGTGCCCAATTTTTTTAAAACATATCATTTTTTTATTAAATACGAACAGCCTTACCATATGTTACAACGATGCCATTCACTGATCAGAAAGAAGAAAACCCTTCAAATACAAATGTCTACTGTACATTATAACCTATTACAAAAAAGTTATCATACAAAACAAGCCCGCAATCCACCTGAAAAAGAAAATAAATAAATACAAAGGATACTTATATTGGAGTGCAATTTAACGCAGGGCATACCCGGAAGGTACACACGAGGGAGCCGACCCTACTCCCCGGAAAAGCAGGCGCGACCCCCCGAACGCTCTCGCTCGCAACATATGGTACCGATCTCGACGCGACAGTTCATGAACAGGCACCGACCACCCCGGTGCACACACTTTAACCTCCCCCCACTCCCGCCCTAGCGATTGGCGTTCTTCAGCTGATTGGACAGCCAATCGAGGCCCTCGTACAGCCCGTCGCCGCTGGTGGCGCACGTCGCCTGTATGTACCAGTTGCGGTTGCGCAGCGAGTGCAAGCCCAGCTTGTCGGTGATCTCGGCGGCGTTCATAGCGTTGGGCAGGTCCTGCTTGTTGGCGAATATCAGCAGGACGGCGTCCCGCAGCTCGTCCTCGGCGAGCATGCGCATTAGTTCGTCCTTGGCCTCGGTGATGCGCTCCCTGTCGTTGCTGTCCACCACGAAGATCAGGCCCTGCAAATCGGTTAGTTATTGAAGATGTTCCGATATTCCCGAACAGTACTGCCTAGTGTCACTGCCACTAATCTACAAGATGGCTTGTCATTTCCACTTTTCAATATCAAATATTTCACAGCTATGCTTCATTTCTTCATCACTGGAATTAGAGGTTCTAGAGCTTGGTGTTTCTGATGTATCAGAATCACTATCGGATAATAATATGTCTTCTGAGATAATATTATGATTAATCACTTCATCCATAATTTCAACATGAGTAAAGAAAAAATAATAAGAATGATGAAAATATAAACCAACAAAACAAAACATCAAGAATCGAAAGATAGGTTATGGTTATGTTTTGCTGCCAGTTCAACATAATGATAACCAGTTTGAACATTTTAAATTATTATTTCACAGCACATTTTAAAATCACATGTGATGTGACAAATCAAACACTGACGTTCATCCATGTTTATTTTTTCTCAAATAGAAAAAATATTTAAAAACATATTGGGTTTAAAAAAAGTTGACAATCGCTGACATTACAGTTGCACTTTCAACGGATAATGATCGGGGACCCTATTCTCAAATGGTGAGATATTTTGTCGCATGCGAGATTTCTACATTGTCGAACAAAAAACGAAAGTGCTCATTCTCGAATGACGCAATCGAAAATTTTCGATAGACAAATTGTAGAGTGGTCTTAAGCAGTCGACATTTTCATGTCGAATGCGAAATTGAATATTTGACTGATTTCTTCACTTGTTATTTTGAGAATTGTAGCTTCATTAATAGAAATATAAAATTTGGAGAATCAAGAAAATCATCAATTGCCACGAGAGAACGTGTATAAGAAAGCGTTCAGATTTTTATCGGACATAAAATGTATAAAAACATTTAGGTAAGGAATTATAGTGAGAGTTCATTGCACTGCTAGTACCATTTGTGTTACAGGGACATGAGTCTTCTGCATTTTTTTGCCAGAGAAAAGTGGCTCATTCTATTTTTCTTCCATCAAGTTGAGTGTCTCGTTTTGAGATGAAGCACAAAAACTTTTTTCTTTCCACTGTCATTATTATTTCAACATAACATTGACATAACCTCCATCATAACAACAAAGAAACCACAACACATTGGCACAGAACACATTCGAGAATCGTTAATTCGATGTTGCCAGTTCATGCTATTTGGCAAAATTTGTCTCAAGCGAGTTTGAAGTCGAAAGCAATCCAGAATATCACACTTGAACGTTGTCCGAAAATTTCTATCGGCATACAGACAAGTGCACAAAAAACGGCAAAGATTGTAACTTTTGAATTATTCTAGATAGGGTTTTAAAAAATGGTGGGTAGCAAGTATACCAAATTGCTCATTAATTGATGAAACAATTTTTCTTCTATTACTTCCAGTTTCACCGGAAATGACCCCAACTTTCGATTTTTAAATGGGACACCCTGTATTATATTCCATAATCGGTTAGGGATTATCATGATGAATTCAACGATACCGGGTTTGATTGGATAATTTCGAACGATTACAAAGATATTTGCGTTCGAAATTTCCGTATGCTCACTGGGTGTGACATGGACTTGGCAATATCGAAACTTCTTTCACTGTCAGACTCATCGAGCATATTGAAACTTAGAACGCGAGTATCTTCGGAATCGTTTGAAATGACCCTATCAAACCCGGAATCGATGAATTCGTTATGACAATCCCTAACCGATTATGGAATACAATACAGGGTGTCCAATTTGTCCAAGTTGGTGTGTTTCCAGTAAAACCAGGAGTGGTAGAACAAAAATTGTTCCGTTGATTAATGAGCAATTTGGTATACTAGCTGCCCACCAATTTTCAAAACCCTATCTCGAATAAGTACAGTCCTGGCTGTATTTCGTTCGATATTTGTGAATGGGCCCCCAGAGCCTACTCATAGGATCTGATGAGTTATTTGTTTACCTACCCGTGAAAGACCCTTACTGCACAGTCAATGTCTGGTTGAGTTCACATGTTGATCCTAATCTTAAATTACTTAATCACTCAACTATACTATATTATGGAACAGGTTCTTTATTCTTATTCATAAGTATATTTCTATTCTCAACTAATTCCAAGCCAGTCTATATGTATGTAATTTTCTAACATCATCAACTTGTTGGACCAAGTTGAGGTTATTCATTGTGATATGTACACTTGATTCATCAAATAGAACCATATTTCAAATGTTTGAGGTGTTCTTTGATCCTTGTTTTTATGGGTCGCCTTTTTTGGCCTATAGAGCCTGTCTCCCATTAACGCCCCCCTTCTATATCTCAGCTATTAGTCGTGTGATTTTTAAATTTTGACCATGAATATGACCAATTCTTCAGGGAAGAACATCCTTTTGGACAGTGCAGTGCGTTTTCATTGAAATAAAAAGAAGTCGATTTTATATGAAAACATATTAGGATTTTTTTGCAGGAAAACTAATTTCATATTATTCATATATTGTTCCCCATATGCTTTCAAATTATTTAATATATTGTACAGGGTATGTCACGACGAGCTTATACTATCTCTATATGGAGATATATATATATATATATATATTGAAATACGCTCTCTTTATTCAACGTATTTTCAGCAATGCAGTGTTGCCGCTTCTATCAAAAAGTAGCAACAACTTTGTTATTTCAAATAGAATACCCTGTATTTAATTTAATTTTTAGATTCTCTCTGAAGAGCTGATTTCATCAAACATCACACTTGGGGACTATCGGGAATGATAACAGAGGAATAGGGTGTTCAAAATCGAGATTCTTCAACTTTAGGATTTGTTTGTGTCGAAACTATTTTATTATCGTCCAAAACGGTTCACATGTCCCTATCTCAACTTTTGATTGACTATTTACTGATACTTAATCGGAACAGATACAAGATGATCAGAATTCTGAATCTTGAAACACCCTGTATCTGTTCCGATTGAATATCAGTGACTTGGAATCAAAAGTTGAGATTGGGACATGTGAGCCGTTTTGACCGATAATAAATAGTTTCGACACAAAAAATCCTAAAGTTGAAAAATCTCGATTTTGAACACCCTATATCTCTGTAATATTTTTCGATAGACCCCAAGTGTGATACATCGATGAAATCAGGTTTTCAGGGAAAATATAAAAATGCGATAAAATACAGGGTGTTCCATTCGAAATATTAATGTTGCTACTACTTTCTACTTTCTAGTAGAAGCGGCAACACTGCATTTTCGAAAATATTTTAAATGAAGAGAGCGTCTTCTAAAATATAAGCATGCACATTTTCATGGATTTCTCCCGACTGACTCCCGATATAAAGATAGTGTAAGCTCGTCGTGACATACCCTGTATATTATGCAAAAATCACCTTATTCCGAATTAACAAGATTCACTTTTTTCATTTCCTGCCTCGCAAAAAATAGTGGATCCAAATTAAATGCGAATTTTGAAACGTTCAATAGCTCCGCTAGGTAGAAAATTATGATATGAAAGAAAAAAAAAATCAGGATATACTGTTTTTGGTTGAACTCAACATCTCCGAGTAAATAAATATTTACGTTTGCAAAACTGCTGTTTAGATGTGCCTGTGTTTTTTGTTGAAATCTTCATAGAAATTATATGAAAATTCACACATGGGGGTTTGAAACCACAAAGAACAATATTATGAGGCGAGACCCCTTTTCATTAAAATAAAAACTAATTTCATAATTTTCCGATTTGCGTCCACTCCATTTTTTATACTTAGTATTGACCAAGAAGGTGATTCTTCTCGAATTTCTGACTGTTTATAATAACAAATTATCAAAGCCTAAACATTAGGTAATGGTCTGATGGTCACAATAATTTATTAAATTTGTTCACTATAACCAAAATATTCAGATTGGTTTATTTTTATGAGTTAAAACTGTAAGTGAATGTGAATATGCTAATATAGTATTCAATTAAATACAGCTACTCTATTGAAAAGGAATATTCTCAGATATATTATAAACATGAAAAAATGGATACATTTGAATAAATACATTGAGAATTCGCATTCTCTATGTGATGAAATTATTAATTCTTTCTCGGCATATTCAACAGAAAACAACTACTTTCCTGGCTATATGCCACGACGAACATTGAATTATATCAATTGAACATACACGATAGGAATTTGAGCATAAAATGAATATCGTCTGAAATTGAGAATTGACATTCTCTTCCCTGTATGATAAATGTCAGTTTGTCATACATCTAAAACAACAGCTACTCTAGTTGTAATATTATCAAATTTTTCACTACTAATGATATCATCATAAGCTATTATTTGTAATGGTAATACTAAGTTGATGATTTTTGATTTTGAAATAGCTATCAAGTTTGATTAATTATTTTGAAGACAAAAATATTTGAACAAAACAGCTTCATCAAATAGGTCTATCTGAATGGTTATTTAAGCAAAAAAACATATTATTGTGAAATGTACAGAGTATGTGATGTGAAAACATGAAAATAGTCATAATATTTGAATATTGAATGTTGATAAATTCAGTTGGTTTTGCATTATATGCTGAGGTCAATCTTTATTCAAGTCTATAAATAAGTTTTTATAACACTCTAATTACCATTTTTAGTTCTATGATCTAGTCAAATGATATTTAACAAAAGTTATTGTTGAAATTGTTGAGAATAATTAATGATTTTTCTAGATTACTTGGGATTTTCTCTCCATGTTTCTATAAATGAAAAAATGAATATAAAATAATATATGTTTTGTTCAAATATATATGTCGAGATATATGTGATATAATAATGAGTCCAGTCTTTCATAAAGACCAGAAGAAATTGTCAGGGACTCCATAACTCAAACATGGATCACCCTGTATATCTAATTTCCCTCAGAAATTTGACAAATTTACAATTGAAATTGTATAAAAAATTATAAAACTGTGATATATTTTTGCAATCAGTTTCTATGGAGATTCCAAAAATCTAATGATTTATAGGGTGTTTCATTTGAAAAAATTGTCAGACAGTTTTTTCCTAAAAATATGTGAAATTGATAATACAAATTGACCTGTTTCCGGAAAGCTCTCGGAAATGAATAGTTTGGTAAATAATGAATTCAATCAGTACTTTACAAAAGCACTGTATAAATACACTATGAGAACCACATGATTCCATTATTCTATCCATTAGAATACTGCCACATTTCCAAAATGGTAGGACTTCAATGAAAGTAAAAAAAATTGAAAATGAAGTAAAAAACTGATTATTTCTGAACTAACTGGATAAAATTAATCATGCCATTGTTTTTACAAACATTATTTCTTGTTTGCCAATTTACAGTTGTTGATATATTTGGAATGATGATATGTTTACCTATAGGTATATAATTATGTACTTCCTTATACCAGAGCCCATTCTGTCTGGAAGTTATTTGTTCAATGAATAAAATAAATAATTAAATAAACTAAAGTTTTATTCCAGTAAGTTCAAATCTGCTGTATATAATAAATATAAGGCACTACTGCTGTATAGGAATATGCACACTAAAATGAGGCAATATTGTACATGAAAAAAAAATTGAATTCTTCCTTCAATTTTGAGCTACACTGGCATATAAAGCTTTTCAATATACTACCCAATGAATTCTAGACATCATCATGTAACTACTCCCATAAAGATTATTTAACATAAGGATGCAATAATATTTTACTGTTAAGTTTTCTTGACCATTCCTATATGGTTTTTGTAACTATCATAAGAAAAATGAAGTTTATTATTATTATTTAGAAATATGGCAATTTTGTATTTTTTCTTCATCACTAACTTTGCTAGTATGGAGCAGTGTAACACTGAGAAAAACATCTTTTTCTTGAATTTGATGTATTTAGATACCTATGTTACAGTATTGCATATAATTTATTTCTGGTATAATTGCAACATGCCAGTAAAATGCAACATTGCTATATCTAAAATCAGAACAGTGCATAATTAATAATCAGATTTATGATATTGGGTAGAATTTTCTGAGCTAGATAACTGGAATTCAAGATTTTGGAAACTTCAATTTTTGAAGTGTGATGTATTGATTTGTTGAAGTAACCCTCTAGAGAACCTAAGTAAGCTGTTATTGCTACCAGAAATCAAAAAGAAAAAACAGTTTAGGTACTAACCTGTGTGTTTTGGAAATAGTGTCTCCATAATGGTCTAATTTTGTCTTGACCACCAACATCCCACACTGTAAAGCTGATGTTTTTATATTCTACAGTTTCCACATTAAACCCTGAAAAAAAAACACAAATTTTACATACTGAAAACTAAAAAAATGAGTAATTCAAGGTCATTGAACTATGAATCATAACAGATTAATCAAATGGGAAATAAATTGAATCATGTGGAATACTAATCACTTGTGAATGGATGAATACACTATTTATGATCTCAAAACAGAAAAATATATGGATATTTTGAATTTTGATGATAATGTGTAGACAAAGGGTGGAATTATCATCAAAATAATCATGTGATAATTTCAGCATTTCATAATTTCTGATTTCTTAACATTTTAACCCAAATAGCAATATCAAGAGCAATCTATATTTTTCATCATTCATGTAGGTGTAGACATGTGTAGATAACTTACCAATTGTGGGTATGGTTGTTACAATTTCTCCTAATTTTAGTTTGTATAAAATAGTAGTTTTACCAGCTGCATCTAATCCTACCATCAATATCCTCATTTCTTTCTTGCCAAAAAGGCCTTTGAATAAGTTTGCAAACATATTCCCCATGGTGATTGCTTCTAAAAATCTGAAAAAAATGATTGAAAAATTAAGCATAAAGGGTTCACTATCTGCAATGTGTGTAGATTTTATACAGAAGAAAGTATGATTGAAAAGTATGGCTAAATTTAGAACAAAGAGGAATTTGCAAAAATAAGGTTATTATCTGCAGAATTTTGACATATTGATTATACTCTTCAGCAAGTATACCTACATAAATAAATCAAAGATCTGAGCCTGACATGAACTCTTCGTAGATTAAAGACATCAAATTGGGTACTTTTCTATTTCTTTTTACAAATTATTACACGAATAAACGTAACAGAATGCCGACTTTTGACTTGTTGTCAGTTCCAGCAACTTCCAACCAAACCCAAGTAATCCAAAAAGTAATCAACAAAAAATCAGATCAATTACAGGAAATACAGTGAAGCAAATATACAGCCATAAAAGAATAATGATGAAATTGTTTTAACACAAACCTTTTCTTTAAAAACACTCTACACCTTTTAAAATCGCTAACACATTCACCTGCACTACCCAAAAAGTTGTCGAATGTCAATATGGCGGACGTGGAAGAGAATCGCAGTTCGTGCCACGTCTTGAGAACCTGCCAATGGCATTGGTCAGCGCTGAGCACGTGATTCAAAGTTGCCAACTTTCTCTGTTCTCTTCTCTTCTAACAAGGATCTTCTAACCTAACTTTCGATGTGTTTGACACGTAATTTGGTTTGATTTTAGCACTTATTGAAAAAAAAATTGTCTCTAAATCGACTTCTAAATTCGACAGCTCAGTGGAATTATGTCTTATCCAATAACTCCATTTCCTGATTCATTTAATTCGAAGATAGTGACTCATTCAGTGGGTGACAAATCTGACATGGTGGTAAGTTCGATTTCTAGAGTATGTTGGTGAACCTGTAGCGAGAAATAATTGAGCGGGCATTTTTCAGATTTCAAATGATGAATTTCAAAACACTTGCAAATGGCTTTGCAGTTTTCCGAAAATCACCACGTATAGAGTGAATACTCTCAAATGCAAAGTAGAAGATGCTAAATATATTATTCGAAAGTACTGTCATGATACATTTGGACACGATTTCGTAAATATAAATATTCATCATCCTTTACTAACCAATGTAATAATCGTTAACAGTAGAGAGAACATGAATTTAAATGAATATGAAAAAGAGATTATTATAGACGTCGATTGTGCAGCTGCCGTTTTGCGAGGGGCCCACATCTACGCTCCAGGTGTAATGGGAATGATGTCAGGTGAGAACCATTTTTTTAAAGTGCATTCAACGTATGTTTACATTTTACATGTATACATATACAGGACGGTACAAAACAACTTTTAGATGAGTCTGTTAATTCCAAAAGTCGTTTATATAATATATACAAAGAGGTTGAATCTGGCAAGTTTAATGTGACTATAGATGGGATATGGAATAAACAGTATTCAATTTTTTGACATGATTCTGGCTGGTATATTCACCCGATAATTATCAACACAAACACGTACAGATACAGAAAATATTAAAATTTAATAGGTATTTTTCCTCAGTCAAGGTTGATCATCAATTCTACCAACCTATGTAGGTCAGTATAGTCCTCTATCGGCATTTGCTTGAACTATTATGAAGTAAACTTTGTAGTTTGTCTGGTACCAGCCTAGTGCTATACTGTCCCTCTACCTGGCGGCAGTAGCTTTACTTCTTCAGCTTTCGAATACCCCGCTAGGTGGCGTACTCTTATTTGTATAAAAAAATTATGCAGGGCCGGATTAACCACAGGGCACGAGGGGCAACTGTCCAGGGGCGAATTCAGAATTAGGGGGCGAAAATTTTGCCAATGTCATAAGTAAAAAACAATGGAATTTTTCAGTAGTAACTAAATTCTGAGATCGATTAGAAATACAGGTTTCGATCGATACTCAGTCATCAGGGCCAAGCAACATTTCCCTCATCATTTGCTGATTCCTGAGACATCCCAGTTAACACAAACATCTATGAGATGTCGCATTCATGGGAGTTGATGTCATAAAAGCGAATCACAATATTACATCGCTGATATCTACACGGAATTCCTCGTGTGACAGATAGTTCGCAAATTCCATCACATTCTGTAGGATCTGAGACCATTATGGATATAATATCGAAGAAGCTCCTTGACATAACAGAGACTATAATTTTGGAATCTAAAATTTCAGTAGTTGAGAGTCGTAATTCGATGTATCTTAATTGACAAACTGCTTCACATTGTGCAGAATGATAAAACAAAAATATGCGTCAATTTGTGAATCTCTCTCACATCTCAAGGAAATTCATTTAATATCGAACAATACTTGGAATTATCGGTCTACTCTCATACTCATGAATGTAGCGCACAATGTGACTTATGATAAGATTCGTACACACTCGGTCGGTGTCGGTCTGACTAATGTACACGTGTCCGTAAATTCTTCAGCAGTGGCATGCTTTCGTATCGTCCATTTCGATGTTCCAGTTCATTCGGTGTTAGTATGCAGTTCGGGTTTGACGTTATTGCTCACATACTGAAGCATGTTTTTCTAATAGTAAATTATGATTGACTAAAGATGCTATGTGCTTCTCATCTAAGTTACAGGGTAAGTACGATTACCTACAACGTTCATAACTTGATACAATACTGGTTGACAATGAGGAAAGGGTAGACGACACGTCGCAATTTCAAGACGATGATGATACTTACAATGTTAGCTTTGAAGATATCATTTTGAGATCAGGGTGTGAGTGAACGTGCAGATTCTGATTGTACCTACATATATATAAGAATTGGTGCTACTCACGGTTGAACTATAAGTGGTGGGACCTAAGGTGGGCCCAAAGTCTGATTAAGAACAAAATTTTAGCAACATGAATGGAACGAAAAAATGCGCCGCAGCTATTCTCTATCTCCGTTGTCACCCGGTATGAAATAGTAGGTATGTAGATATGAAGTGACTCAAACACTTTTCAATATTCTCATTATGGTTATTCTCTACTCACTCTATAAGATAGTATTTCTTATCTATACTTACCCTATTATAGTTGTATAGATGATCAACAGGAAATGGGCAAAGAGAAATCAATTGATTGTTCTTATATTGATTTCCAGATGCCAAATCACAAAAGACATCTGGACCATTACCTTGGAATAATTTGAAATATTGAGCAGGGATTGGTTTCCATATGCTACAACGGAAGGAGCGATGAGGAGCAGATATTGGATGTTCTTGGCTACATGATGTGTTCGCATAGTTGGATTGATCCATTGATCTCATTCAAGTTAATTTCTTCACTATTATACAGGGTATATCTTCAACAGTTAACGCGATCTATATATGGAGAACTAAAAGTAGCACGATTCTTAAAATTTGTAGGGACGATGAAGGAATTATGGGAAATCCTTCTAAAATATTTTCGTTATTGTGAAGCTTCTGATTTTTCCGAAAGTGACTTCATCTTTGTTATTTCCAATGGAACACCCTGTATTATTCAACATTTTTGAATTCCTCTCATAATTTTGATTCAAATTAATGCATCATACCTCATACCCAAAATGGAGCGTTCTTGAGTTATTCGAGTTTTTCTTGAAAAAGTTCGACAAAATTTGTCATTCAATGCAGCCTTTTGAACATAGAAAATTTTTATGGGAATTTAAATTTTAAGTGATATGCATATTGATTAAATCGTGAATATTGATTGATCTGGAACATTGAAAATCTCAATTTTTTTCGAATGAAAACCATATTTTTTTCCATCATAATTCAATTCTATAATAAAAATGAGCCCTAGTTCGAAGTGACTTCCCTATACCCAGAACCAAAAATTTTGGAGATATTCCAAAAATAGTTTTTAATCCTGCATACTTTTTCCCGAGCTTTTTCCAGAAAAACACGAATAAGTCAAGCACGCTTCATTTTAGGTATATATATATACTTAAGTAAAAGTATGCAGGATTAAAAACTATTTATGGAATATCTCCAAAATTTTTGGTTCTGGGTATAGGGAAGTCACTTCGAACTAGGGCTCATTTTTATTATAGAATTGAATTATGATGGGAAAAAATATGGTTTTCATTTGAAAAAAAATGAGATTTTCAATGTTCCAGATCAATCAATATTCACGATTTAATCAATGCATAGCACTAAAAATTTAAATTAGGGTATGATACATAATTTTGAATCAAAATCATGACTTGAAGAGGCCATATTTTGAGGAAAATTACTGTCCGGAGCTTCAATAGTATAGAGGAATACAGAAATGTAAAAAAATTCAGGGTGTAATTTATATTGAAAAAAAAAAGATGCCCTCACTTCTGGAAAAAACGGAAGCTTGACGATAACAAAAATATCTTAGTTGGATGCTTCATGTTTCCTTCACCGTCATTACGAATGTCCAGAATTGTGCCACTTTTAGTTCTCCATATACCGGGTGACACAGACTCATGGTATACGCCCCTTTTCTAATTTTTTTCTTCTAGCTATATTTCTAGAAGTTGAAACATCGAATATGCTCACTAGAGGGCACTTTCTCACATTTTAGGATTTTTTCCACCTTTCCGTTTTCCTGGAAATGACTTCAACTTTCGATTTTCAAACGGAACACCCTGTACTTTATTTCATGATTGGTTGGAGATTATTATAACGAATTCAACGATACCGGGTTTGATTGGGTTATTTCAAACGATCACGAAGATATTTGCGTTCGAAGTTTCGATATTGCGCCGTCACAACCATTGATCATAATATGGATACTTCAAACGTAAATATCTTCGTGATCGTTTGAAATAACCCAATCGAACCCGGTATTGTATTTGTTATTATAGTCTCTAACCAATTGAAGAATAAAATATGGGGTATTCCATTCAAAAATCGAAAGTTGATGTCAATTCCAGAATAACTGGAAGATAAAGAAAGTCATAAAATGTGAGATAGTGCCCTGTATATAGTCAGCATATTCGATGTTCTAAATTTCAGTAATATAGCTAGAAAAACAAAGGAGAAAGAGGGGTAGACCATGAGTATGTGTCACCTGGTAATCCCGGTATAGATATCGCCTTAACTCGTGAAGATATTCCCTGTATAATAATCATTTCAACAATGTCCAGGCTAACGCTGATTCTAAAATTTTAATCATTGTTAGATGTAGCTATAGTTTTGCTCAATATTACATGTACGTACATATTTTGATGTGAAATGAGATTAATTTTCAATAAAATCGAGTAGCCTTGTGAAACGTTTGAGTTATCTATTTGACCAGAGATTCGACACCTATCAGTCCTCTCATTGAATACCTTCATCAATCTACATGTGATTTCACTAGAGAATCAAAACTAAATGTGTATGTGGCATTTTTGAGAAGCACAATATAATTTTCTCAGGGCCGCTATTATATCAGTATAATAATCGAAAAGAACCTCACATTTAGAAATGGTCGATGGTTTACCAAACCTCACATTTTGATTATAATGTAACCTCAATGTGAGTCTAATTTAAACGTGAAATCTAGAGTCACATTCAGCTAACTTTGAGTCCCATTCGGCATCTAAATGTGAATCATAAAATGACCAAAAGGGTCCGGAATAGCAGTCATTGTGATTTCAGTAGGACTCTCAATTCGAGTCACGGATGTGATGTGTGGCATGAATGTGATGCCCTCTAATATCTCTGGGATCAATCTGTGTTAACTGGGATTTATCAAGGCCAGAAAAGGAGCTCAATAATATTTTTCATCCCCATTATATACAAGGTGAATCTGAAAGTGAGGTTTTTTAACAGGATATATATCTCACCAAAATAATGAGTTGTTTGGCAAGAAACTCAAAAATTCCAAAAAATTGCTTATATTAAATATTCAATGTATTCAATGGTTCATAGAACACACACCAACTATGAAACATTCTGTTCAACCTATTATAATAATTATCGTTTTGAAGTGAACCAAAACACTTTAGGAGGGAAATGAACCTTGACATTTTTTCTTGTAGGCTCTCAAATTGGTGACAAAGTGAGTATTTACGCTGACATGTTAAAAAAATGTAAAAGAGGACTTCAGAAACGTCTATCAGGGGATGGAGAAAAATTATTTATTGGAAATGGCGTGGTGAAAATGCAGAGGCATCAACTTTTTGCCGAAAATTTATATATAAGGTAATAACTTTTTTTTTTCATAAACGTGTTTGTTTTATTTACACTTTTCAGGCAGGTGGGTTGGTAGCACAGTCTCTACCGAAAACATCTAATAATGCTATTGAAACAATTATAAATATTCATCAGATTTGCTTAGAGAATTCGAAATCAAAATGGGAAGTTCTCAAAATGATTATTTTCTGTGACGGGAAAAAAGTTCGAAGTTTTATCTGTTGACCGGTTATAAAAATGTCACTCATTATTCATCATAAAACAATTTCAGTATTGGAATAATAATTGATAGTAGTTTGAACAATCACTACCATGATATACCAACATAAATTCCCGAAGATGTTATACATGTTGCTGCTGCTCAGAAACGTTATAGATATTCCTTGAACAGTTGATTTCCTAATTTTTATTAGATATTTTAATTCGTTTGGAAGAAGGTGGATAATTCAATATTTTGTTAGAAATCTCAATTTTGTAAATTCACATTCACAGTTATGTTGTTTGTATTTCGTGTATAAAACTCGTGTTTTCATGCGGCAGATAGAATTTTTGGCCTCGACCTACGCTCATGTGCGATTAAAAAACACTCATTTTACGCACTTAATACAAAATAACTATTTTTAGACTTTTCCGGAACGAATCAACTCTCGTTTTCAACCAAAAACAGAAAATAGATCTTGCTCATCAATTTTTTCTCTGCCTTTGTTGGATTGTTGGTTGACACTTCTCCCTTCTCCGTGACATGTTGACAAAAATTTCGGTTATAGAAACTGTTTTTCATGATTCCAGTGGCGTAGCAATTGAAGTTGTAGAGACAATTTCCGGGTGTCCACCGATAGGAGACAATTTGTTACCTTCAGGATGGGCATTGCTGCAAAATTTACCATCAGTATTATGTGTGCTCGCCTTAAAACCGCAACCAGGCGAGACAATCATAGATCTTTGTGCTTCCCCAGGAAATAAAACCACCCATATCGCTGAGCTCATTCAAAATAAGGTAACAAGTGAAATTTTTTTATTATCTTGCCTCAGTTGAAGAGAATCACAGCTTTGATGAGGCTATGATTATGATACCGTATTTTGAAAGCAATTGATTAGAGGCAAGCCTATAAGGTGAGAGTACACATTTTAAGTGGATACATTGTTTATTTTGATCCCTACCAAGATGCGTCGACAACAGTTACAGACAAACATAAATACATGGAGCGTCAGGTGTTATCCAATATGCAGATGATTTACAAAATATGCCTCACCAGCACTTTCACCTCTTTTTTGACGATTTTCTCACATCTTTGTCACTTCTGGAGCTGAAATCTTGCTAAGCATATTGTGATATACCTATATAATATAAAAATATTTTCAAATCTTCATTTATTTCTCTAATAGTAGCCCTTTACTCTACTGTCCTTTTAAAAGGACCGCTGTTTTTTTCCAAAACTGGAGATCGATTTTTCTTATGATTTTCTTTTTGGACCTTTCATCGATAGATTTCGAGAAAATGATATACAAAATCGGAAAAAATAGTTTCAGGGTCAAATGGGTTAAATTCATTAAAATTAAAATCTGCTATTTTCAAGTCCTTCATGACAAAATGGATAAAACAACAAATTTTGTGTGTATGTAAATTCGAATAAATAAGACAGAAATGAATAATAAATATTGATGTATAGATTATTGTTGTATCATCTGCAAATAATTATAGTTTTCCTTTCAATTTCAAAGTAGATATTGAGATAATGTATATTAAAAATAAAATTGCCCCCAAAACTGACCCTTGTGGTACACCACATGTAATATTCGTCAAGGAACTACAAGTATTATTCACATAAACATACTGTTTTCTATTCTTCAAATAATTTTGAAACCAATCATGAATTTTTCTTCCTACTCACACCTATTGATGATAGTTCAGTCAATAAAATGGGTAAGACTGCATTTATCATACGATATGGGTTCTTTTTCGAAAAATTCTTTTGGTACTAACGTATTTTTGTCTGAAAAACACGAATTTGATAATGAAAATGTGAACAAACCACTATTCATCGATATATTTCAAGAAAAAGTTCGAAAATTCGCCTTTTTCTCCCCTTCTGTTGGATGGATTTATTTATTGTAGAAGAAATACAAATAGGGCCATGAGGCCCTAATTACAGGATTTCTCTTTCTTACAACTAGAAACTAAATCTAAGTGAAACAAAAATACATACATAGCGATGAATATATACCTAGCCAAATATACAAATTTACTCCTTTTGGTCATTCTATGATTCACATTATGATGCCAAATAAAACTCACAGAACGTATTATGCGACTCCTCATTCTACATCAAAATTGATTGATTCGGTTTGTTAGGTGAATGGACAAGAATGTGAGGTTTCTGTATATTCTTTGGTTGTTAGGGAGCCTCACAAAGTCACCTACATTTTGAGTTTCAAATCCAATAAAATATGACGAATATTGCAAATGTTTCATAAAATAAAGTTTTCTTGTAATTTGCATTGTTATACCTATAGCGACACATGAATGTGACATCCCAGGGATATTTGTGTTTACTGGGCAGCTACTCGCTCTTCTTATTTTGTCATTGAACACTTTATATACTCATGATGTTCTTCAATGACACATTTATATAGAAAATTCAACAGGAAATATGATTTTTAAGGCGAGTTTTTCATATTTAGTGAACAAGCATACCAGATGACGGCCATTTAATAAATAGTCAATCCAAATACGAGATGTCAAATGTCTATAGATTGCTTTGGAATGACATTACACACACCATTATTTTAAATTATATTCTTCCTTCTTTTCACTAAATATTGATAAATCTCAAGATTATCATCATATCCATCCAGAAGACATCAGGTGGAAAAGATGATGAAATTTGTAACTTTATAGTCAAATATCTTTGTAAATAATGGTTTGTTCTCATTCTCATTATCAAATTCGTGTTTTTCAGATAAAAATAGTACCAAAAGTAATAAAAAAAATTTTTCGGAAAAAAAACCATCGCATGATAACCGCAGTTCTAATTATGATGAACAGTGTCGAAGGCCTTACATAGATCCAAAGACAGAATGCCGCATTTGTGATTGTCATCTATTCGTAAATGAATATCTGAAACAACATCCATATACGTTATTAATCCTCATGGCTGATATTCGCCATTTTGCGTGCCGAATGATCCTGATCGTATGGAGTCAAATTGAATGTTTGTCTTGTAGGGTCTTCTCGTTGCCATAGATAAAACACCGAATAAAGTAGCCAAATTGCGAGCCAGATGTGACCAGTTTGGTGCTGCAGTGCTCTGTTTCCAAGCAGACTCGACCAAACTGGTCGCGACAGATGCCATACAAGGCAGACCTGTCACGGATGGCCCGCCATTTTTGTCTGGATCTTTCGACAGGGTTTTATTGGACGCACCCTGTAGCGTATTGGGCAAGAGACCGCAGTTAGTGAACAGGCTCAGCGAAAACGAGATAAAATCGTATGTTCCTCTGCAGAGGAAGCTGTTTGAAACGGTAAGCACAGGGTACGAACAGTGCAGATTTCTAGCAAATTCAAGAACATTTTTCTTTATAAAATACGCTTATCTAGTATTTTAGTCCGTCGCTATACGATCTCTCCTGAACTGACTTAATTATTAAAATGACTGATGAATGTGTGGGGTGCATCAACTCATTCTACAAAAATTTTCATTTTACAAAAAAAGTTCTAAGGATAATGGCAGGAGTTTATACAGAACATTGCAAACCATTATTCAAACAATTCAAAATTTTAACACTAGCCTTAGGCTTAGTATACGAATGTCTCATTCACATGAAGAAAGAAATGTCTGAAACTCGATTTGGAATAACTATAGAAATGAAGATATACATAGAGGGAGTTATACTTTGGAATGGTTCGAGTCCTATCTAACTGGGCGTAGTCAAGTCGTTAAAAGCGATACTATATTAAAATATATGAATATTGATTATGGAGTGCCACAAGGATCGGTTTTAGGACCTACTCTTTTTCTTGTATATATAAATGATTTACTGAGTATTCACACTTCGGGAGAAATTACTTTATTTGCAGACGACACCACCATTTTATGGCATAGTAAAACTGTTAACGATTTGAATAATAAGATACTCAGAGACATTAACGCAATCAAATCTTGGTGCGACTCAAATCTCCTTTCATTTAATATAAAAAAAAAAACAAATATATTAACTTTCAAATGAACTACTCTTGGAGATATGCCTCTAGAAAATGAGATGATTGAAAATAAAATTTGTACAAAATTTTTGGGTCTTTACATTGACAACAAATTGAAGTTTGAAGCACACGTGAAACAACTGAAGAATAAAATCTCCTCAGGGTGCTATGCAATGAGAATCATTTCAAGGGAGCTAGGTACTGCTACGGCTATGACCGCATATTATGCATTGATAGAATCTCAACTGAGATATGCTATAACCTTTCTGTGGGGTATGTAACTCCAGTCTGCTGGATTCAGTACTTGAACTGCAAAAGAGAGCCATCAGATATGTGTTCAAACTAGGACCACGCAATTCATGTAGGCAGTTATTTGTAGAGAAGAAGATATTGACAGTTGTGGCTTTATTCGTTATGGAAACTGTATGTCTTATACACAAACATAGTTCAAAATTTGAAAATATTTCATCGTGTCATAATACTCGACAAAAATCTAAAAATAATTTTAAACTACCCTTACCTTCCTCATCCCTGGTAAAGGACTCCATTTTCTATAATGGCGTCAAAATGTATAACCACCTACCATCTCATTCTAGAGAGAGCCATGATAGTAATGAAGGCTTTAGAAAAAATATAAAAAAACTACTCGTAAGCAGACCCTATCATAGTTTGCAAGAATTTTATAATGACAACATTTACTGAAAAATGTGAAATATATTTTCATTTATGATTTTATTGCCTTTATTGCATTGTATACCCGTTTAGAGCGATACCTCATAATATGTCGAGAAATTGACAAAATGTTCAAATAACATTGTTTATATCGCTAGGTTACCAGATCTGGTAACATATCTCAGGTTAGGTTACTAGATCTGGTAACATATCTTAGGTTAGGTTACTAGATCTAGTAACATATCTTAGGTTAGGTTACTAGATCTGGTAACATATCTTAGGTTAGGTTACTAGATCTGGTAACATATTTTAGGTTAGGTTACTAGATCTAGTAACATATCTTAGGTTAGGTTACTAGATCTGGTAACACATCTTAGGTTAGGTTACTAGATCTGGTAACATATCTTAGGTTGGGTTACCAGATCTGGTAACATATCTTAGGTTAGGTTACTAGATCTGGTAACATATCTTAGGTTAGGTTACTAGATCTGGTAACAGATTGCGCCCCTAGCGGTCGTTTTATGAACTTGAAAATATTGTCTATCAATTTTTCTTGGCCTATTTAGTCCTTAATTTTTTTTCCTCGAAGTCCTGAGGTTTATGGATTCCATGATATCGTACCTCGCCGACCTTAGTGGGACACCCTGTATATTGATATGCTGGAATAATAACGAACGTACCTATATATGTTGTTTATCATTGTCAATTATTATAATAAGGAACATTATCAACTCTCTTTCGTACCAAGCCGATAGCTGGGAACTTCTATTTTTACCTAATAAGAGCCAATAGACAATATTTGATATTTGCCAGAATATTCTAGCAAAAATGGTTAGCTTGAGGCTTCCTATATTTTTTATTGCTGTTGTTTTTTCTATTAGTAGTAATGCACATGGACATCTCATTAGGGATATCGAGTTTTTTTTCAAGAAGATTTGGCATTCTGTGTCGTATGTTAACGAACCCATCAATACAACACCAGCTTCAGACTGTACCAAAGAACAATTGAAACAGTGTCCTCGTGAGTATAATAATTAACTATTTTGAATTATTGAAGATAATAGGTAATCTATCTTTGAACAAAATCTATAAAATTTGTCCGAAAATTGGCTTTTATGATTCAAAGTAATGAATTTCCATAGTAGTTTCCAATGAAATTCACGATCACGTAACTGAATGCTGGGGGAATTTACTGGGGGCTTCGTCAATACATTGGAAATGTATTCTGATTTTTTTGCTTTTCGTGCTAAAGTAATGAGAACAGATCGAACTAGTAAATTATTACAGTTTTTCAGTTTCTTTCTAAGTTTTTATCACAGTATCTATCACAGTTTCCATCACAGTTTCAATCAGAGTTTCTATCACATTTTCTATCGCAGTTTTCATCACAGTTTCTATCACGCAGTTTCTACCAAAGTTTCTATTACAGTTTCCATCACATTTTTTATCACAGTTTCTATCATAGTTTCTTTCAAAGTTTTTATCACAGTTTCTATGTCAAAAGCTTCATGATCATTTCAATGTGGAAGAGAATATCAAGTAGAATTTGTTAAGAAAATAGCTAAAAAATGAACAGGGCTACGTACATTGAAATTAAGGAAGTTGCGAGAAGGTGTAAAATGATCTCTCTAAAATATATTTTTTGTTCAGATATAGAATTATCAGGTCACATAGTGATTATATTTGTTATATTACCTATGTTTTATCACATATTTTTTTAAGATGAACCAAAAATGTGTGATGGTCCTGGCAAAATTTGGAGGAAAGGAGGAGAACATTATTGCTGTGACATATGCTATACAGTACTAGGTAAGCGATTGTATTTTTTTCAGAAAATATTAACAAAGTGATTAGGTACATTGTATTATATGATTTGAAAAATTATTTCTCGAAAAATTGAATAGTTGGTCTTTCAATGATCCTTTGGAGCTGAAATTATATTTATTGTTGAGAAAAAATTCTGTCTGAATGGATTATTCAGTTAGTTAACACATTTACATGATTCAGTTACAATGATACGAACTAATGTAGAATCAATATAAAGGACACACATTTTCAGACTAATTTGCTGTGTTATAGTTTTTACCACTTTTTTTAGTATCCAAGTACACACATTTGAAGGGATTTGATACAGTATAAACCTAATTATTTTTAAGATACCGAATAATATCAATGAGTACCAACCAGACTACATTTTGCCATCATTACGGCAATAAAAAAAAACAACAACCAATACTTCCAACTTCAACACCCTGTATCTTAAAAACGGAATAAGTTATGACACATGTTTATACAAACTTTATTTACTGGAAAATCACAAGGAAACACCACTTGAATTGTTTCGGTGTTATTTAGATACACCATATGTATTTATAAACAACATATTTGTCATCGCTACCCCTAATATTTCATGCTTCATAAATATTGTTATGTTTTAATATAGTGTCATACTTTCAGCTACTCCTAAACTATTAGTGCCCATCTGAATATTTTATTACCTCTCGTAAGCCAAGAAAATGGGTGAAATACCATCTCCATGTCGTAACATAGTGGAGGTCCACCCTCTATATGACATGACATGGTGGAAAACACCTATTATGACAATATGTTGTAGCTACGCCACTGAGATTATCATTATGTGTTTTCAATTTATTATTGAATTACGTAAATTGCATTTTACTTGATTTTTTGGGATTTTGTCTCCTCGTTTCTATTAAATAAAAATATGCGTATTATTTCAATTTATTTATAGTGGGACAAATCAGATGATTTGCCCCAGAATGTCACTGCGTTTAACACATTTATCTATTAGGGAGCCTAAAAAAAATCCAGTAGCTTGTCAGTGACAATTTGTTTGAAAAAATGTTTTACTTACCAAAACAATGTTATATCAAGTGTCAGTATTACGTACTCACACATGTTTCGATATTAGGTACGACAAAAATTCTCCTATGTCATTAATTGGGTCGAATGGAACTTTTTAACTATTTCATTTTTTATAAAGAAAGTTTGTATTTCTACATAAAATTTGAGCATAAGCTGAAACTCTTATATTAAAAATGTTATTCCAATATTATGAAGTAGCAACTTGAGAAGCTATCGTGTTGGCGAAACATTTCGTGGAAATCTTATCTTTTGGGAAGTTTTTATATTTATGTAATGTTTGTTATTTGCGGTAACATTAGCATAATAACTGATCAAAACAATAGGATAATCATACGTAATTCCACAACGGTAGAAAGTGAGTATCATGAACATTCCGTTCACTGAGTTTTTTTTTTTTTTCAGAGAAACATCAAAGTTGTAACAACATAGATACTCGTTATGAAGTTTGTGCAGAGGACTATTTTTGTGTGAATGGTGTATGTCAATGAAACAGTATTAATACAAATACATTATTTTTTCAAAACTGAACATTTTTATTCTTTTTCTTCCAGACTGTTTACAGGGTGCTTCCGAAATCGGAGTGATTGATGAATTGAATAACTGAATAAGAAAAATAACAAACATTTTTATGCCGGCGGGAGTAGAAGTTAGTTTCTCTGGTAAAAAAAGAATGGCAGAAGTCTCATATTATTCCCTAGGGAGATAATTTGACATATTTTCTCCCTAGGGAGTTTATACCAACTTTACATTTTCCGCATAGCTCTGCGCTTCCGTTTCGGAACACCCTTCTCTGAAGCGAGTATAAGCTGCATCATACAGATTTCTAGATCTCACTTGGAGCAAGTTAAGAATCACTACAGAAGCAGTATAAATAGTTTCTTGGGGTTTTCCCTCGATTTCTCGTTCCATAAACGTTAACAATTTTCGAAGCTGTGTCATAAATTTCAGTTTGATATTTGCTGTCACCATGGGTTGTCAAGTTGTCAACAAGATGCATGTTGTCTAGATACGAATTCCACAAACTATACTACTACTAATTATGACAAAACACTTCTCCACTTCTTTTCCACAAAACACTACTATTTTGTGGAAAAGAACTCTTTGTCATGGAATTTTTGTGAATCATTGATTATAGATTTTTTTCACGTGACTTTCTATGCTTTGTACGGGACAAGAAGGTAAGGGTGGATCTACAGTAAATGACAAGAAAGTTGCACATTCCTAGGGACATACCAACGGCCTTCACAAATTTTTAAGACTGTTTATCGTTTTTCAGCTATATGGAAAAAAGTTACTTTTTGGAAAATATATTTCATTTTTTTCTTCGTTATTATTCGAGATACCGAAAAACTGAAAATAATTTTCCATGTCAGCTTTTGATGAGATTTTGTAGAGTTATTTGATACTGAAAAGAAAAAAATACAATATTCAATGCAACTTCAAATTGTTTCATGTTGATGGAATCTTACACGAATTACCTTGATAACTAAAGTTATTCTACAGCCCCTAGCCGACGCGATCGTTGAAAACTTTGATTACGCAAATAATTTTGATGAAGAAGGAACAAGGAACTAATAAGGGACAGTGTTATGGAAGCATTTAATAGTATTGCCACATAAATGCTTAGAAATGCCTTAGAAAGAACTGTAACCCGGTATAATATAAGAGGTGCATAATATTATCTTCCTTAAAAAAAGAGAAAACTACCTACGTAATTAATGACGTATTATTCACTTTCTCGTTATAAACAAAAACAAGTTATATTATAATTATTCCGAATAGTTACAATCCATAATATATTCATGCTAAGTAATTATATATAATGTTCCTGATATCTGATATCTTTCTGAATGGCGTTGAAATGTTAATGTCTAACAATTGCCTAGGATTCGATCCCCTTCGACTTCAACTTATAATATTGATTGTAAGTACATTAAATGTAAATCGTAATTCATCGATTGAAAGAGGTCTGGACAGATTTAATTCCTCATTGGTTTTCCCCCTTAATACCTTGAAACAAATCCCCGAAGTCAAAAAACCTGCCCTCTGAGGATGAGCGTTCGTTGACTGTGTTTGCTCTACCTGCTAAACTTGATCTTTTTCTATGACCATCTCTGTTTATATTATGCCATGAACAGATACAACTATGCCAACTATGGGGAAAAAATCAACTCTATCATCTATTATCAACTCTATCAAGTTCAGCAACACGAACTGACCCAACTATACACGATTTTTGTTCTGTTTTTAGGCTGTCAAACTACTCAAAGTCAATGGCACTCTGGTGTATAGCACTTGCACCATAACTTTGTCGGAGAATGAAGGGATAGTAGCGTGGGCGCTGAACAAATTTGATTGTCTGGAATTGGTCAAACCGGATTTGGCTCTTTCTGGACCAGGATGGGTAGGAACGTCTTTGACTGAAGATCAGATAGCCAAAGTTCAAAGATTCGGACCAGACCAAAGTGTGGATTCTGTGGGATTCTTTTTCGCTTGTTTCATCAAAAAACATTGATTTAATTCAAATTCCATGTGTTCCAATTTGGAATTCATTGTATTACTCAATGATACCATAATATCCAAACAGATATATTTTCGGAAGCAATAACCAACGAGAAAAAATATGCTCCGAAGTCGTTTCACTTGAAATACTTGGATTTTTTAATGTCCAATAGAAATGTGACACCCCAGCGAGCACAAAAACATCTCAGAGATGTTAAAAGTACGAGATTTCGAGACATTGAACCTCCACTGCGATGTTCTGTTCACACATGAATAGAACTATTATAGAACAGCCAATGTCCGCCGCAGGTGACAATTATCGAGATGTCCTTGATATGTCACAAAACGACCTTCTCTCTAGTTCTTTTTAAAGCCTTTTCATGGACACGACAGAACATTTTCAACGCGTCTTGCGCTCATTAAATCGCTGTAAAAAAACCATTTTGAGGTACTTTTCTGAAGCCTTTTGTCAAAATGAACTTTTGCATTAGAATTCCATTTCCCTTGAATGGAAAAATGCATTAAAAATAGATTGAACATAAAAATATTTTCTTGATATGAAATTACCTTCTTAATCGGTTTCTGAGTAGTGCTTATTACTCACAGACATATATAATTGGACATAGGTTTCCCAATTTTTGAAATGTTCTCCACAATGCATAATTTTGCAACTGCGGAGAAGCTGTGTGTATTGATAAAATATATTGATTACACTGAGGCACCGAACAATACATCTTGCATCTGATGGTCATTATTACAAACTAAATAGGTCTTCTAACACAATAAACTTCACCAAATTCCTTTCTGTTCGTTAGCAGCGTGATGTAAGCGTGACACGCTGCAAACGCGAATGCCAATTGCGAACAAGAAGAACAAAATCGAAAACAAATCAGAATTCATCGTATTGTGACGTAAGCATGAGACGTTGTGGTGGGGCAAACCAAGAAAGGGCACAAAAGAACAAAAACAATACTTTCAATATCCTTTTAAGACCTCTTTGGGAAGTGCATATTACGCCTCAAAAAAACATCCTCATGCCTACATTTCTAAAACATCCCAAAACATCCCAGGGATACCTCTCAGTAGGCAAACAAAGAAATGCCACAGAAGAACAAAAACAATACTTCAATATCCTTCAAAGACCTTTTTGGTCAGTGCATATTACGTCTCAAAATAACATCTTCATGCCAACATTTTCAAAACATCCCAAAACATCCCAGGGATATGTTTGTGCTCGCTGGGACATGACCTTTACCGTCTTAAGGTGTCAAGAGCTGGTGCCATTACCTTATTCTCAGATTTGAAAACTAAACATGTTTGTTATACGGGATTGACAGTGAAATACTCTTATCAAACTCGTTACGCTATTATTCTGAGTACTTTTCAACTGCATATTTATCATCGAACAAGAACTTGTTGTTCGATGATATTATTCAGGTTGCCTCTTCAATGAATCTTTTGTTCGAAATAGAAGAAATATGCTTTGGAAAATTGAAAATCTAGTGGTATGGGATGATTTTTGTAATATAAAAACTTTATTTCGACTTTTTTATTCATTTCACACTTCAGTGATTATAATGTATAAGTGATTTTGATAGCCAAAAGTCTTCTATACATATATCCTGTGTCACACGGTGATGGGTTCCTGAAAAAAAAAATACATTATGCTACTATTTGGATGAAATAGATACCATAACACGATGAATTGCTGGTTTAGAATTGTCAGTGTTAGACTCAAAGGTGTTAGTATCTCTTCTGCATGAAAAAGGAAAGTACTTTCAACCTAACTTGTCCTAAATTAACATTTTTCCTGAAACGTAAATATTTTGAAAAATTAATTGAGTGAAAAAAATTTAAAAAAAAATTGACGCCTCGCAGGGATTGAACCCCAGTCACCACCGAGGAACTCAGATACACAAACAAATAAGCTATCGCTTGTTCGTAGTTTCTCAATATAAAGAAGTAAGACATATCATGTGTTATGGGGTGACGTCACTTGACCTCGATCTTGCATAAAAAAAGCTGAACTCACATTAGGTATATGGGTGCTTCCTCTATTTTTATCGAAGCATCCCAAGCAACAGTTGCAGAAACCGTAATGTTCGATTACTTGATTCGGTTCACAAAGCAAAACTAGACCTGGACACAATAGTCTAGCATATCGTAGGCACACATCAGGTTCATCACATATTCCATTTTCCTTAGCATAACTGCATGGGAATGATGAGAGAGTGGACAAAACAACGAATAAAATAATTGCAGCTTGTCTCATTTTATAACTCAAATTTCAGAACTATTGTATAACTTTGTTGCTGTTTGTATAGTGAGTTGTGGTCTCTATACTTACTTAAACACTTACGTTATCAATTTCCATATGCAAAAGTGCGATTATTTCAACAAGAATTCTCACTATCTCAGTAAGGATATGTAAAGTGGATACAGGCTGATTCATGGAAATTGTGAGTTTGTCAACTTTTCTCAACCGAATGAACGGGAAACTCGACTGGAATATTTGTGAACTCTTAGGACTTCTACATATAGCGGTAGTGGGCAACAACCGCGTAATTTCAAATATCATCCTGTATTTTTTGACATAATCAAAATAATCACATATCGCTAAAAAGGTATACTTCAGCAATGGTGTTGTCCAAACTAGTCGAATTTACGCCACATAATAAATTTATATTGATCTTCCAATGTATCAATAGTATTTGATACAATTGTTCTTTATCAAAAATAATCAGAAATACCTACTATTTTACAAGATTTAAATTCGACACATTTGATGACGTTATATAAACATCACATATTTCTCATACAAGCAATAGACTTTAGTCAATGAATGCCCAATAAGGGGGTGATAGAGGACATCCTCCGTCTGTTAAGATTGTTATTATGTTCATAATTTCCATTCCCTTTTGATTATTTGGTAGGTTAGCAGGTAGCTTAATCTAATTTTCGGATTTATGGGATCTTGTCGAACAGACGAATTTTGAGTTCGTGGAAGAAGTATAGTATGTAACGTGTTTATAAACTCTTCTAGACATTCGTCTATTAAACACTCGCTGCGCTCGTGCTCAAAATACTCCTCACGAAAAGGACGTTTATAACACTTGTAACATAATATTATACTATTAAATATCAAATACATCATTTGATTCAATCTGATTCAACTTTTCTTGACCTTCCAATAGAAGACACCACAAAAACTGAGTCGTCCTGTGCATTTTCCAAAATAGCTTTATTTCAAAAAACATTAACAGCATAATTATAGTTTTTACATTATAAACTATTTTTCCTATACTGGCTTCAGAACGCATCACTATTATTTATCCTGATTTATACCTGGAAAATTAATACATCTGACAATAATATACTTCTTCTTCGATATAATAATATACATATTACTACCTACCTAAGAATAAAAAATGAAATAATTGACACGTATGCTCTCGTTTCGAAAATGCTAAGCGTTATTAGGTATCAAATATGAACTTTTGTTATTATTGATTCAAAAAGTTGTATATATATACTAGAAAAAAAAACAGTTGCCAGTAGGAGGAAAATAACATAAAAACCACGACATAACGACATAGAAAGACTACCCTCCATTCTGATTATCTTCGCTGCTGAAGTGTTTTGCCTAATTCTTTTATTGGCTATTGTCTTCTATCTGAAATTTTTCTGAAAAAAAAAAAAACATAAAATATAGTATCCTTTAGTGAAAGTACATAATAGCAGATACAGTAAGTATACGGAAAAATATATTTAGCGAGTATATTCCATAACTAAAATCAATTTTTCCTTGAATTTGAAAATATTTAATAATCAAAGACATTTCACAACTTCTACACATTGCTTTTATAGTATTATAGGAATCTTTTGATAACGGATTATTGTAACATGGAGACCTTCTTGGCTGAAAAGACTTTGTATAATCGTATATTTAACAACTGTTCTATACGATTTCAACTGTTTCTTAAGATATGCTGTAGACCTGGTATACTCCCCTTATCTCCGTTAGTTCTCGAGGTAATTGATTGAAATTCGGAATATCCCATGGAATAATAATAATAATTATATTTATTTTATCCTTTGAGACATATTACAAAATGTATAGGACAAGTCACGCGCTTACAAAATGGTATAAAAATAAAATTCATGATGAAATACACAAACACATACATGATGAGGGGCTCTTCCTGACCTACCAATTATATTTTTTTCACTTGCGGTTTCGCAGGAAGTGATATCAACTTTCGATTTTTTGATAGAGAACCCTGTATATTATTACATTTCTGAAATTTGCATAATTTTCTGAATCAAATGATACTACATAAGCGACATTTCAGACGTGAACATGTTTGATAGTTCAATATTTCCAATTTACTCGAACTGACCCGTCTTATGGTAGAAAAATAATTGTAGTTCTGTCAACAATATTTATTGCGTTTTTTATGAGCAAATAGAGTTCATCATAATCGATTTTGGGTTAAAACTCAATTTTTCCAAAAGAAACCATATTGGTACCGTGGTACCATTTATTAGTCCTATTAATAAAGCATCTATTCATGCCTGGTAATAAAATGTGCGATAAATACAATCAGCAATATTACAGCTTAGAAAATTGTGGGCGTGGTCTTGTCAGTTCTCAGCATTCAGCACAATGTTGCCAAGTCTCCTACATTCACATGATATTTTGTTATGGAGTATAAGGAATATTTGGACATGCTGGTTGCTCAAAAAAGTCTATAATTGACTATTCCTATTATGTTTCATTGAACGACAGGACTCTAACAACTTTTTGATAACTTGATAATGATTGGTGACTTGGAATCTTGCTTCATTAGTGGGAAAGAAAGATTATCTGACCAATAGGGTGGCCAGGTAGCCGTGCGGACAGAGTGTCCATATTCTAATCCGCATTCGCTTGCCGGTCGTGGGTTCGAGTCCCGTCGACTGCAGAAATTTTTCTGATGGCCCAAGAAAGTGTTTGGGATCACACGTTAAAAGGTAAGGCCCCCGTCATTCCTTGCTCGCACAAGACTCTCGAAGACTTCTGAGGGTTGCTCGTAAGGGGGCAACCGAATGACGGATAGAACGGATAGAACAATAACGAAACAGCATAAAAACTGACCATTAATTCGACGTATCGCCAAATGGCCATGGCCTGACAGGACTAGAACGATTGAAGATGTGTTTAAAAAACTCTGTTGCCATGGTGATGCTTGAGAAATTGTGTTGCCTTGGTAACGTGTTCAATATTTTGAATAAATAATCACAGATCATCAATCACAATCAGTGATTAATAACCGTAGTAATCAGTAATAAATATCCGTACGCTAAAAGCCATTTTAGTTATGTGAGGAGAACGAAGATGGTATAGCTGCCGTATGTTGGTAGTTTGTGCATGAAGGAGTCCTTGGTGCAATGCTTATAATAATATGAAGTTTGCCATATAATATGGGTGACATAGGCAAGTATAATTTTGTTCAGTAGCTATAATATTAGAAAGCAATTTGTTCCAGGGGAAAATTCAAATATGCAGTACAAACAACAAACCAATTGTAATTTCTATAAGAATTTTTGGAACCTACTTACTTTATAAAATTGTAGTTCTATTACTACTACTACAACCATGACAGCAACTGCAGAAACCACTGTTCACCATATGTTGATTTGGAGCACATTCCGTAACTCTGTTCGGGCAAAATAATTTGTTATAAAAATCACATACCAAGGGCAGTGAACAAAAGAATGTAGCACTGCTATTCTGGATCAGGGTAGCCGTGGACAGAACAACCAGAAGGAAAAAGTGTAGTTTCATTTTTTACTGTTCGTTTAGATGTCGGCTGGTAAGACGAGTATGGAATTATGAAGCTAGAATTTTCCTGTAGAGAATATATTGTGTGATCATCATAGTAAATTTTCATAACTTATCCAATTTTTAAGGTGTGCGATCATTCGGAAAAATTATATAGTTCTCTAAACAAGGCGGTCCAGATAAGATTAATGATGGCGAATACATATTTATTTCTTTCTCTACTGGGAGTTTCCTGAACAGAATCCTGAAAATAATACATGGAAGAGAATATTATCCCTGACTGAGATGGAGTATGATAATTAAATAAAATAATATAATAACAATAAGTTTATCTTCCAAATATTCATTACAGAATTAGAATTATTGATGCCTTACTATGGTGAATAAACAGAGAAAAGTCGCGTGACACGATAAATAAATGATTAAAAGAATTATTAAATAAATATCAGACGGAATAGCCGCGATAAATAATATATCTATATCTATATATTAAAATCGATTAGCAATATAATTATATAAGGTGAAACAAAATGAACGAAAGTAAAATAAGGAACAGATTAAGTAAAATATACAAGTACAGATGTTTTTTTTTATAATTTTTTTCACATACCTACCAGGTTAGTTTATATTCTGCGGATCATTTCCCTAGAATTTTCGAGAATGAAGCTTTTTAAGTAATGTTCGAAGTTTGCCAATTTATTTTCATTTATTCATTAATTTTTTATTTCTATTGCTTTTTCTGTTTCTTTTTTTTTGTAATCCTCATTTTGTTTTGAATTGAAAATAATGTCTAAACGTCTACCTCTATATTTTCTTCCAAATTCTTTCGCTGATAGATACCAATACAGTGAATTTTTGATATTATTAAATAATATCAGTTTATCATTTATAAATCGTCTTCTTTTGATTTGAGTGTTTGTGAAGATACAAGAACTACATGAAAACATTCAGAATATTTTCTTATTCTTGTAAATTTTGGTATCACACAATAACTTGAATAACAGTTCGTGGAATAATAATTGATTCAGATTTTATAGTTCACATAAAACTTTTCGTTGACAGTTCCACTGGCTTTCATTGGAATTTCCATAAAGTAATTAGGGATATTGGTAACGATTCTAATGGATTCTTGATAAGCTTTGCATTCTCTAGAAAATTAAAAGAAGCATTTTAAATATACGGGTGTTTCAATATTGGAGAGGTAAATCAATATGGGTGTTGTATGAGACACACACTGATATAATGAATCGCGAAAAAAATGCTCTCGAAAATTGTTTGAAATATGTACGCTTTCACTAAACTTTAATAGTTTAAATAAATCACAAATATATAAGGCAGACCTCCAAATTCAAAATCCTCGGAGATATTATTAATATGTTATTTTCTTGACAAAAATTAACTTTCATTTCGTTTTGTTTTTTCGTCTTCTATTACCCAAATACCCACTTCATTTACTGCTCAAATTTCGAAAACATCCTGTTTCCATACATTTTGAAACTTCTCAATACTCACGTTGGGGTAAAATAAATGAATATATCAACAAACTGCTTGTTGGTACCAGTGCTTCTAGGAATTTCTGCAAAGTGGGGGGTAACATAGAAAGCCGTGGCGTTGGCAGATTTGTAAATTTCGAATTTTACAGCACAACCTGAAAACAATATATAGTGACATCAATTCAGAAAGAACCAGCTCTGAGAATTCTCTGTTATTTTACCCATATACAGGGTGATTTAGGATTTAAGGCAAAAACTAAAATGAGAGATAGATCTCATCATTTTGATCAAAAAAGTTCATGTAAACATTAGTCCGATCTCGTTCGTAGCGGAGCTACAGGGGGTCAAAGTTAAATTATTTTTTTCTATTAATTGATATATCTCGCTTACTTTTTGAGATATCATTCAGAAATTTGGTGGGTTAAATACTTCCCAGTAGATCATGATTTCAAGCTATTTGTAGATTTTCAAAATCTAAAGTGTGATACGTTTTTGGGGGCTTCTTTATCCTCCCCAAACTTTTTCGTAGTACGCCTCTGGAATCTTTCATTGTCAAATTGTGTGGAAACCACGTGTGGAAACCTTGACTTTCCACCCTCCGTATCCCGTTACTGATCCAGATTGGACTCGTGATTGCAATTTTAGTGAGTACATTTCATTCTATTTTCAACGAATTTTGTCAAAGAATAAAATGTAAGCGAAACATATTATATGCAAAATTAACATCATGTTTTAGAACGTATATGCTTATTTATTTCAAAAACGGTTGTTTTGTCGAAAAAAATTGAAGAGCAAAAAAGCCTCTTAATTAAACGATCCACACAATTTTATCGCTGAAAGATGTCGAAGGCGTACAATAAAAAAGTTTGGGGGGGATGAAGAAGTCTTTTCCCCCAAAAACGTATCACCCTGTAGGTTTCGAGAATCCTCAAATAACTTGGAAGGATGATCTTCTAGGAAGTATTGACCACACCAAATTTCAAAATGATATCGCAAAAAGTAAGCGAGATATTTCAATTAATAGAAAAAAATAATTCGTGCCCTAAAACCTGAATCACACCCTCTGTTTAGTAATCAATCTTAATATTTTATTTATGAAAAATTTTACTGTGTTCTGTGTTACCCGTAGCACTTCTGTTTCAACCTGTCATTATTGAAGAATATTAGAAACTGCGGCTGTAACAGGTAGCGGAATTTTTCATTTTTTCGACTTGTAGCCATCTGATTTATTTCTCCTAAGTGATGCTCATCTATTTGATAGAGCAGTCATTGCTTGAAATATGACATTTCAAGGAAGATGAGATTTTGTTAAATAATAACACAATGAAATCATTGTGATATCAGATACAGAAATGACATTGATGACATACAAAGTACCTTATGGTTTTATCGAACACAGTAAAACAAGAGCAACTTTGTGTTATAGCCGTAGAACATATAGTATATTGTTCAACGAGCACGGAATGATAGTCATTTCCCACGAGAATGAAGTTTGCAGCATGAGCCGTAGGCTCCAAGAAATTTGTTTCCACGAGGCGAAAGTAATTTCAAGCATTTCTTTCAATATCTCTTTCATGTTGTCAGAATGTTTGTTTGTTTCGAATCTGTGATTATTGAAACAATTCTGTGTCCTTGGCAAAGACTGATATTATGAAAAACCTTGTATAATAGAAAGATATAAATACATCATTTTAAATGATTTGAATATTTTCCATATTCAAAAAGTACATATTTTTCACACAGAGGTACTTTCCTATACTAATGAATAAGATATAATTTGGAACGGTGTGATTACTTGATGGATGAATAAATAAGTGAGTATATTTTTACATACACAACTTACCTACAGGACGAATTTTTATATTCTCGCCATTTTTGAAGTTAATTGAAATATTGAGATTTGATCATTCGTGAGATACTTTTCAATTACCATGAATCAAGTAACAGCCAAGTAATCGAAATCTGAATGCAACTTAGTAATTATTGTAAAATAGCTATATCTCTTAAATGTTTGCCATATTGTATATTCATAGCCAATTAAGCATCAAACAATTATTGAATCCATGACCATCAATCTATAGACTTATTTCATTTCAAGGCGATATAGATAGGCCAAAGAAGTTGAATTGATTTTTTCTATTATTCTGCAGTTACATACTTTTTTTTATCGCTTGGAGCGCACGAAAGGGAATCCCTATAATGTAAACATAACCAAGATTATGAATGATAGGGCACGGCTCTTGCGCAGAGCAAATTAGACATAAGTTTTAATTCTTAATTCGTAAGAGATGAATGTAGGCCAATTTATCTTACGACTTGAAACTTATGACTGTTTATGAAACGTGTATGAACGTTTATATTGAAAAGCAATGACTGAACTTCCTATAAGACTTATGACCTACCATGATATTGAAGATGTCGTTGCTTACCTGTCAAATTGTAAACAGAAATCACTGTTTTTCTTGTTGTATTCAGCAATACACTACCAAATTTAACATTCGCTGGCTTGACCTTAATATTTGGGAAGTATATGAACATTTCGATGGGTATAATCTGAAAAAATAGAATTCACATTGAGAAAATTTTGAATTTTTCGATTGGTTGACTTCTTTACCCCAAGAAACATATTTTTAATAGGGGTGCATGAACAAATATTAATGAACAATAAAATAAATATAATAAGAAGTTAGCTAATAAATTCCATTTCTTCAGATTGTTACATTTCAATTCAGAGTAATCAAATCATGCCACATATTATTTCAATCAAGTTATCCTGGCCAGGTATTGTTTTAGATTGATATTAAATCATCTTGCATCATAGTACACATATTTCACAACTCATTCATTAGTTGCATACATACTGTCAAGAAGTATACAAATGCCTATGGAATAACATCACTCAAACAGTGTAGTTTCGATCAGGTAAGCCGGAGTTCATAGACGTCCAGTTCCTGTAGAATTTGCAAAAACCGCTTACCGTGCGATATTACCTATGTGAGCAATATCGAAAGGTAATCACAAGGAATCACCCCTTGGATTTTTCGGTGTTTATTATACACGAAATATTTTAGAAAATTTCCTTTTCCCCATATTTAAGTGCCTCACCTCTTCCAATTTACCGAATTGCATAATGTGCAAGCGCTTTTTGATATGCAACACCTTATTTTCCTTATCTGTGCAATATATTTCACGACCGCGTGGTTCTGCCTTTGTCGTTTTTTTACTGGTTAGGTTGGTTAGCTCATTTGGAGCGTCTTCGTAAACCAATTCGCTCAATTCCAAGATTTTTTGGTAGTCCACGAAGCAAGCGATAGTAACCTTCAAAAATTGAGTTCCTTTAGTATAAAATCAGATGAACTAATCGAAAAAATCTCAAAATATTTTTGAACGCTAACGACAAAATTTAAATTTTATAAAAATATAACAATACTCACTTCCTGACATTCAAGCCCTTTCACTACAACGTGTGCCTCTCTAGAGGCCTTTTCACCCTTGGAAACCCTTACAGAAAACGGGTCTTCGACTCTCATCACAGCTTCGCAGACTGACATGCTCTCATTTCGAAAAACTAAGCGAGCATAGTGATTGAATATTTTTTTGAAAATCACGTCGTTAGCGTATACAATCAGTTTCGTTTCGCCGCACATGGAGTCTAAGGTTAGAATCGGAAGTTCCAAAGTTGCCGAAACTTCGATTTTGACTTTGTTGATACTTGGATCTGTTGGTCTGTAGAAATAGTTGATTTTACTCCTGAAAAGTATTATCCTTAGTATCGTCTGTACTAGTAAAATCTTATTCCAGATTTTTTTGGGATTTTCTTTCCTCGTCTCTATAAAATGAAAACATGAATACTATTTCAATATACGTGTAATGAGGACAAATCAGATGATTTGCCCCAAAATGTCACTGCGTTTAAAGAATTTTCCTGACATACTGTCAAATGAATTCCAAATCATTATTTTATGATTATTTTATACCGACCTGTGGATTTCTTGGAGATAAATATGCCCCATTATATGACATTTGACGTGAGTATGCTGGAACTTCTTGAGGAAACATTTCGGGTCCAGAAATATATTGACCATACCATCAGAATGTTTTTCCATATCCATGTATTGTGGTTCAATCTAGAAAGTAAGCAGACGGTCAAGTTAACTTCTATAGAGGGTAGCCCAATGAAATCTTTCCACCTGATTTCCTTTGTAGTTTGTAATGACGAATTATTTTCGAAAACACTGAAGCACATTGATTCTTTATAATAATTGCGAGAGAGTGACGTTCTGATTTCGAATCCGAAGTGATTTTCAACCAATCTTGCCTCCTGATATTAATTTTACGGAAATGTGGGTGGTTCCATGGCTGTTGGCGAGCCGTGTATATCCGAGGCCAGCAGACTCTGACGTAAACAGCTCGTGACGTCACCAAGAGAGGCCAGTGTTTTATTTTATCGCTTGTCGACTAACGCGTCAGTTCGTGTTAATTCATCGGTGATTCACGTATGTTTTTGAAACGGTCCCGAATTATTTTGTTGTTTATTCATCAAAATAATTGGCGGAAAAATTACTGTTTTGTGAAATATTTTGTGTTGTGATCGGCGAAATAACAATGCCTTTCAAGTGTTGTGTTCCCTTTTGTTCGGGGAATTATGTGGGTGGTTCAAAAGTTCATGCTTTTAGTTTCCCGTTGGACGAGGAGCTATCGAAAATGTGGGTATATGCAATTCACCGCGAGGATTTTACTCCATCTAAGTTCAGTAGTAAACAGAGCTTAATTTATAATGATGAATTAATAATAGAAGACAATTACTCTCTCATAAAAAGTATAAGTAGAAGAAAAATAGAAAAGCTTTGATTGTGCAGTTAGTTTTGTATTCGTATATTATAGTCAACAAAATCATCTCTGAATTCGAGGAAATTTTCTTGAATGTTCATAATAAACGGGCATTTTTAATTCTCATTCTCAAATTTCTTTCTGAAAACGGTCATTTGCCTCGTGGCAATGAATGCAGAATTCATTCCAATGATCAAATTGCAACTATCATATTAACATGAACTACAAACACTCTACTTAAAAAGGTAAAACTGCATTTATCATGATATTTATCATGAAGATATTTGACTAAAAAGTTCCAAATTTCACCTTGTTTTTCACCTGTCTTCTGGATGGCATTTAGAACAAATTTCCCTTCTTTTCTCATCATATTGGACTATTTATATATAATTCAACTATAAATATTGATTGATCCATATTTAGTGAAAAGAAGGAAGAATATCATTCAAAATAATGGCGTGTGTAATGTCATTCGAAAGCAATCTATTGACATTTGACATCTCGTATTTTGATTGACTATTGATTAAATGGTCGTCATCTGGAATGCTTGTTCACTAAATATGAAAAACTCGCCATAAAAATCATATTTCCTGTTGAATTTTCTATATAAAAATGTGCCATCGAATTACATCATGAGTATATAAAGTGTCCAATGACAAAATAAGAGCAAGTAGCTTCAAATGCCCCCAACACAAGGGGAGAAAGAAGGCGAAATTTCGAACTTTTTCTTGAAATATCTCAATAAATAGTGGTTTGTTCACATTTTCATTATAAAATTCGGTTTATCAGACAAAAATACGTGATTACCGAAAAAAATTTTCAAAAAAAAAACCATCGCATGATAAATGCAGTTTTAGCCTTAAAACTTACGGTTTCAAGTGTAACGATCCACTTGGATGAAAAATCCAACAACAGGAAATTGAAAACACTCACTGATTATTCTTCAGGTAATAGGAATTCTCCAAGATAAATATAGGTAATTGTAACAAACGGCATGTCAATCAAAATAAAATACATTTTCCACAATTTTCTTTCGATCAATCTCACGATAAGTTTATGTTCTGCGGGCCCTGTATAAGTAGGTGTGAAGTTTACCTTCACCACAATTTTTGCCAATATATTTAATTCGAATGGGTTGCTGTAGGTGGATATTTGTGTTTTATCCTGGTTTTTGCTTTAAAACTTCGTTTTTCCATAATAAAATCGAATGGGGTGCGAAGAAGGGCTCAGTTGACGACTGGCATCCTTTTTTAACCGGAAGCCCTTCAAAAAACAGCAAAATCGGCTCAATGATGATCTAAAACTGAAATCGAAATACGCGGTCGCCTTATAGCGCTATAAGCGCTTGTCGTTTCGAGCCGCTGGTTAGGCCTCACTAAGTGACGTCACCCACGGAGCATGCAGGCCTTGTTGTATCACGGTAGAAGCCGCTGGTGTATATATGAATCAGATGGCAGAAGTGACAGTAAGAAACTACTTGATTAATACTCATTGACAGTCCCCATAAACACGATCCAATGGATTGAGTTCTGGTGATCTAGCTGGCCACTTATAGGGACTCATCGTGTGAATATCCAAAATCTGTATTTTTCATCTGAATCGATGAAAATATTTCTAACCTTAGGAGGTTTCAATGATGGTCTCAATACACTTCAGTTTTCAGGTAAGATGTTAGTTGCGTGTTATTCGTGACAAGTGTTTTGGTCATTTTCAAGAAAGAAAGACAGTTTTCGTTGGTCACCCTATATGATTTTGTTTTACTTTACCCCACATAATTGATTTGTATTCTGTCCTAGATACTCATCGAACATAAGCATCCTTCCTTTATCAGAGTGGAAATTCTCATCCACTATATCAAAGGCTAAGCTGAATTTAGGTTCGTTTCCTTCTTCTTCTGAGAATTTAACGAAAGTTTGCCAAACGATATGTAGTGGAATACAGCTGGAATTCCTTATTTTTATCTGCCTGCTTATCTTAGGGTCATTGTAAGGAATACATCCGATTCTTGAAGAAATAAGTGAGTATAAGAAATTACGTACATAGAGATTGAAAACATAACCCAAACGTGATACAGAGAATCAGGTTCATTTTTCTTCAACAACTATCGAATATTAACATAACATAGCAAACGGTATACCCTCTCGTTTCAAATAATTCAATAGTCATATCGAAGGAACCATCCATAGTTCTCAAAGTGGTCCAATTGATTTTTAGAAGAAAAAGCAAGAAAAATCCCAAAGTCTGTCAACTACGAAAAATTGTTTAATAAGTAGTGTAACTAGTTTTAGTTTTGGCCACACACACACACAATGTTCTTCTTCAATAATATATTGCTGATCTGGTTTTACTGGACTCTCTCCAGATTTAAACATATTTCAAATTCAGAACTGATATTGTGAAATTTGACCTAGGCTTTTGATTACATTTTTAAATATTCTCCTCTTATTATCTATTGCTGAGGTATAAGTATATCGATTCTTTGACTATTTTTTGACTTTAATAATTTCCATAATCATCTTTGAGATACTTGTGTCTCGTGTCTGATGATGGCCTGTGGTATAAACTAGTTACACTACTTATTAAACAACTTTTTGTAGTCGACAGACTTTGGACTTTCATAGCATTTTCTTCTGAAAATTTAATAGTCATTTACTGTTTTTTTGGGTGCTGAATTTGAAAATTTCCTGGTTTGTTTCGTGACATTCGCAAAATATAACTCAATTTTAATCTCCATGAAGGGAAGTTTTGGGACAATAAGCCAAATTTTGGAAAAATTGCTATTCCAGCTTTGATTCAATCAGTGGCGGTTCATGAGAAGAGGCAACGGAGAGATTAGAGTACCAAATTTTTGCCATTTGTGGAACCCAGTTCTTCAACAATATATTGTAATAACATCTTGTATATATATTTTGTTTTGAGGTTTTTCCTTGACGATAAAAAACTTTGAGAATATAATTAATAAAATATTGTTATAAGAAGATCACCTTCCTTAATATAATTGTGATCTTGTATATATATTTTGTTTTGAGGTTTTTCCTTGACGATAAAAAACTTTGAGAATATAATTAATAAAATATTGTTATAAGAAGATCACCTTCCTTAATATAATTGTGATATTCATTACATATATTATGAAAAAAAAATTGAGGATGAGTCATTTGAGCATATACATAACTCAAACCTCCATCGACTTATTGAAAAAAATGTAGGGTGATTGAGGCATGATGATATTGAAACTTGACTAGCACGGATTGTTAATAATGCTATAGATTCTTTTTTTTTTGTTTTTTTTTAATCGACTTGGCCGTTACTTGATGGAAATCCATAGCAAATGTAAAAACTTCACAAAAGATTTCCACAAAATTCAGTAGCTTCGTCAGGTGATATGCTAGTACATTGAACTAAACCAACGTTGGCTTTGCTTAACTTTTATACATCTATCTATACTATATATATCTTATATATATTATCCCAACTTGATTAGGATTAGTTACCTGTGGACAGATTCGATAAACCTTCATTTTGGGAAATTATAGGCACAATATCTACATTAAAATACGGTGTACCGGATTAACTTGAAAGGATTGATAGCAAATACATATTTTTATCCACTAAGAAAACAGATTCAACAGTGGTGAAATATTGAGGTCTAATTGATCGTTAAGTAAAATGTCAAACTTTTTGAGTTTCAATCCTTTATTTTCTACTTGTAGAATATCGAAATTATCAAAACTGAGGTTTTCTTTTGATATATGGTTGGCGTATGTTGAATTTTTTTTCTATTTCAAAAAATTAATCTTATGTTCATGAATGCGCTGATTAAACGTGCGACCTGTCTGACCTATATATACCTTAGGACAAGATCCACAGTTGAGTTTGTATACCCCTGTTTTTCGAATTAAGAAGTTTTGTCTCTATTATTTTTGATAAACCTTCTCAACGTGTTACTTGTTCTATATGCTACTTTTAAGTCCTGCTTATGTAGAAATGAAGCTAATTTTTCAGTTGATGATTCAAAATAAACTGGGCTTCAATTGAAACGTTAATAGTGAAATTTGGCATTGGGCATTTAAAAAAAATGCAAAAAAAAAATTTTTTTTCGGAAACCACAGTAGTTTTTGCCAGAAACTCGAAAACGTCCCGAGGTATGGTTGCTATTTATGAAATGCCCGAATAAAATATTAGCATTGTGGTCTTCTGACAAAATGGGGGGGCGGAGACATTTTTTTCAAAATGCACGAAACTTTGTTTCACCCTGTATCACGGGTCCTGATCAATTTAGAAGAAGCTGTAAGGAACGGTTCGAAAGACGATGAAAAAGGCATTCAGAATCTGGGCGGCAATTCAAAATTCGTTCAATATTTTAGAAATTACGAGAAGTCAAACTTGATGCCAAATTTCACTATTAACGTTTCAATTGACGCCCAGTTTAGATTAAAGTTCTATAATTTTGATTATCATTCTTGATGGTAGGATAGACTTCTTGAATAGCTTTATTATGAAGCTTTTTAGAAAGAGTACTGTCTATCGAATGAACGTTGTATTCGTTGTTGACTGCAATCTGTTTTATGATATTGAGTTCTTTATTGAAATTTTCTTCCGAAAGAGGGACATTCACTAGTCTGTGTATCATACTTATTATATGCTGCAATTTTATGTTGATAAGGGTGTGTTGCATCATTATGAAAAGTGATATCAGTGTGGGAAGGTTTATGAAAAATCACACCTGCCATGGATTTCCATCAAATAACGACCGAGTCAATTGAAAAAAAAAAAAAATTATTTTTGTATCTAGAGCGCAAAATGCTACTTTGGTAATCGAGATTTGATTTTTTCAACCAGGCGTAGACGAGTTAAAAAAATAGTCGAGATGACGAAAGTGTTTCGCGCTCGAGTTGCAAACAACATTTTTTCTACAAACATCAAAAGATTTAGTTCTGAAGTAAAAATATGCTCAGCTTGATATAAAAAATAGTGTTGAACTGGCTTGAAAGGCCTCCCCCTATCCCTATAGGTACCCACGATGTTCCACGAACATATTAGGAATTTCCTTTCCTTCGCTCCAAGAGAAAAAACAAAGTGATTGTTGAACATTCCGAAATAAATGATTTCGTGGATGTTTTCTCGATTGATGACCATAAAGTTGAAATATAAATATCTCATATACTCATAAACTGTCACTTCGCAATTTGTTATCAATGCGCGAACCTTGTCATTTTTTGACGTTTGTAGAAAATAGTTATTTGTTTAACTAGGCAGCAAAGTAGTAGATTGACTGCCGAGGCTGAATTCATAGCCGAGCGTAGCGAGGCTAGGAATCCAGCTAAGGCAGTCAATCTACATTGCTGCCGAGTTGAACATATAATTTTTTCTCCGATTGTTCATAATGATATATATCTCTTTATTTTTCCTGTAGTGTACAATTAAAATAAAATTTGATAGAAATCGCAGTTGTTGGAATGGTTCGTTTCTATGGAAATGTCTATAATAATTATAGTTTGACAATTCATGAAATTTCTGACAGTTGTGGAAAAAATATCGGTATATTTGAATTCTTATATAATGGACAGTGATAGCGACCTGGAAGTACTTAAACCTCCAGAAATAAGGGAGGTGGCAAAAAATATAGAGTTGAATTTGTTGCCAGAGAAGTCTCGGATGAAGAAATATGAAGGAAATTATAAACGATTTATGGATTATTAATTTTGCTGATACATATCAATCAGCAAAGGAACCACTTTGCTGCCTAGGCAGGAAAAGTAATACTTTGCTGATTGATATGTGTCAGCAAAATTAATTTTTGCTGCCAATCGGAGAAAAACAGTATTTATTAATAATGTACCCATAGCTAGAATAACAGCAAGTATTTTACCTTATAATGGGATGATCTATCAGACAATTGAGTGTCATTGGAAAAACTACTGGATTACCGATGACTTCCATCAACAGAGTGAAACTGAATGTTGGTATATCGGGGATATCGATACTTATTTCTTCAGAGTATATTCCGTAAGTGTTGGCGAATATCCAAATATTTATTTCAGCCAATCCATACGGTGCTAGACTGCCTTTTTCAACCTGAGGCAGTACCAGTATCCCAAATTCGGTGCCAATTAAGTCATTCCAAATCGTCACTGAAAACATGTGCTTCTAAAAATCAAAATAAGTGCATATTTTTCACGATGCTGAATAATAATATCAACTGCTTGACAAATGAAGTGGACAACTCACTCAATTTCAGATATATATCATTGACACATTACAAAAATGAATATTTTCGAAATAATCTCAATCATATGGAAAAATTTTTGGATTTTTCTCTAGGACGTAATATTATGATTGCTTGATGTGTTTCATCGAAACGATTTCAATTTTTTTTCGCTAGCAGACTTGACTTGAAGAGATGACGTTTCTTTGAAATGTGATCAATTTCAGCTGAACTGTTCACAAAATAAGAGAGTTCAAAGTTTCTTCATGGAATACATACAGGGAGGAAGTAGAAGTAATCACTTCAATTTCTATGATATCGAGCGAATATCGATCCACATCCAATATTGACGTAGAATGATTTTATCATTCCTGATCTCCTGATGACAAATCTAATACGGATCAATTTATTCTAAATACCATAATATACTGGGTGTTTATTTTGATTTCTTCTATCTCTTGGAGCGCACGAAAGGAAATTCCTATAATTTTCGAAGAACATCCTATCAATATACTTGTGAGCTTCTTTTAATACAGCCGTACGTACAATCACAGTTTAAGGAATGGGTATTTCCTTAACAGGGTGTTCTATTTAAAAAAACATAACTTTGGGTTATATCTAAATAACGACAGCTCATTTAAAAAATCTGACTACGCCACTGGATTCTACGTGAAAAATTGTGAAAGAAACAGTTCTTACTTTTCCTCTAAGTTGAAAGATAGCTGAGATACAGGGGGGTCCCAAAATGCAATATTTTCAATTTCGCCCTGTATCTCAGGAACGAAGCGGGCTATGGAAATTTTGTTCACGGTTTCATAAAAAAGAAGCCAACGTTCGCGAAAACCGCAAATCTCTATTTTCAAAATTAAGCGAGATATCCCGTAAGGACATCGAAAATGGGACAGCCTGTACAGTGTACAGTGTACATGCATGCTCCAAAATTCAAATAATGGCGAATGCTCTATCGCCGCCAAAATTTTAAGCTGTAAACAGAAATTTTACGACTGAAAACTGTATTTAATAGTTTTCCTCTGTTTCGACTCTGATTTCGTTAGTTGTAGTTTTTGAAGTCCTCAGTACCTCATTCTAGAGTATACTTATCATAATAAATATAGGTCATTTCATATGGAATATTCACCTGTGTTTTTTTTCATTATGCATTTCTCTACCATCGGATCTAAATTTTTGTTACCGTAGAAATTCTGAACTTCTATAGTGAAAGTTGCGTCCACAGGGGTTATATTTTTCAGATAAATTGTAGTTTTTGTAGCTGAAAGAATAGAACTGATGAGGCTGCGCTAATGAAGGTTGGATTGCTCACGAGTGTCCACTGGAATATTTCTAATTTCCACTTTCTCTTCTAACATGAATGGCTCGTCTTCAAAAGTTTCCCTAAATATATCTTCAAGGCTCTTTGGTTCACATATTTTGTGCTCATTACTTTCCTGAGAAATGGTTTTGCTGCAGCAAACACTTTCTCGTGAATTATTCAGCAACATATTGTTTCTCGATTCTTGTGTTAGAGAGCTAATTTCAGATTTTGAATTTTCTTGATGATGGAAACTATTTTCATTAAACTCCCAGCATTCTTCCTAAATAGAAAACTGTATGTTGAAGTTGATAATACTATAGTGCATGACACTTGTGGTGTACCACAAGGAACAGTTCTGGGACCAACTTAATATTCAATATACATGGTGTTCAAAATGAATAGGTACATCAAATTTGAACCCTGAGCAGACTCAAGGGTGTACTATCGAATGGCACCATTGAAAATAACACAGGGTGGCATTGAAATAAGTGTAAATGTTTCAAACACTGAGAAAGCTCGACGTGTACTAATAAAAAAAATTCAGGGATTAAAATAAAATTTGAGGTCAGACCCCTTTTTCTACCCAAAGTTCTACACTTTCCACCCTGTATCTCAAGAGTTAGGACGTTTGGGTCATACGTTAATATAAAACTTTCTTCTTATAATGGACCCAAGAATCGTCTCCCCAAATATTCCAATTATGAAACACCCTGTATAATGAGAATAAATTGAGAAAAATAAAAATTGATTTGATTGAAAAAGATCATCGTTTTCTTTCGCATTTTCTATATGCCAAGTATGATATTAAGGCGTTTTAATTTTGATGGTATACATAAATTGTAGATCCAATAAAACTGGAATGTTTTTCTGAAATTCCAAGCTTATGTTCTTCAAGTCGTACATTGTTGATTTTGTTTCTTGTATCATAACTATGGTTGATTTCATTGGTTATTGCCATATATATAGTATTTTCGAAAATAATAATGCTGATAGATAATCGAATGATTTATGACATATTATTTTCAAAACATATTTTTGAATACATGATGAAGATTTTAGGTGAGTTTCATACATACCACCGCATCCAACTATTCCATACGATAATATAGATTGGAAGAGAGTGTGATAAAACATGATTATCAAACGTCTACTGACAATGTTTCGCAAAATTCGGAATTTTGGAAGGGTTCTTCTGAGTTCCTTTTTTAGTTATTCTGAGACATGATAATTCCACTTATAATCTTGATCAATGTATATGCCAAGATATTTGATTGTATTCATTTTAGATATTTTATTAGTACACTAACAAATTACTGGTATTTTGGATACATTTCCAGGGCAACTCTGATCGTGAATTGTAAATTCTGTTATATATTTTGGTTGTGAATCATCATAACAGGGAAAAGTCAAGGATTTTGTTTTTTGTTTTATTCAAATTTAGAGTTAACAAGTCAAAATCAAGATTATTTTTTGCTATTCCTATTCTGCATTAGATACAGCTTGCGACCAAGAATTGTCATTAACAATTATCAATGTATCATCAGCATATGAGAAAATATGTCCATCATTAAAATTTATCAACAGCGTAAATTTGAGTAGACAGGTGGAACACCTGGTATACATTTCAGAATGACCTACGTCAGTGCATTGACAACAACTCCAATCATTGTCAAACTCATACACGATTCTCGGTGGCCACACGACTTGTTTGTAATTCTCCGCTCCACCCTGTAGATAAAAACACACGTGCAAACTGTCTACTCCGCAGAGGACTCTCATCTCCACAGGTTTCCTTCCTAATCCTACGGAACAGGGTACTGTCAAATTGTCGAATATGCCCACTTCAGAGCAGACGATTTTAGCTGAGACGGTCCTGGTTTCCATTGGTTTCAAAATCGATGATTGTGGGTGGAATTTGATGGAAACTTTGTCCGAGTCTTTGCCATACGGTTTCAAAAAATAAAAACCACCTAAAAATAATTTTAATATCTAAGATCATCCCTGTTAGGCGTGTACCAAATTTTATGTTTTATTTTTTGATTTATTGAAATTGTGACTTCCAGTCAGAATCAAGTACTGGTATAAGGAAGTATAGTTGACAATAATACCTGAAACTATACAATTATAATAAACTCATGAATAATATAATATTCGAATACTTTAAATCAATGGTATTACATTTTCACATATCATTTCATATTGGTGAGCAACAATCAAATTGAATATGAATGAAAAGTCGAAAAAAAGTTATTTGCATTTTATCGTATTTCTGCAGTTTTTTAATTTATTTGGTAATTTGTTATATTCTGAAAGAGCAGCATGGATGAATCTTTTTTGGCCTATAGAAGAATCAGCAAAATCAAGATGAAATAAAAAACCATGCTGTCTAGTTTGGTAATCATGAATTTCATTGTTTCGTGTTAAAATAAAATTGGATTTTAATCTTTCATTCATGATATTGTCCTTGATTATATACTCAATGATATTGTATGCTATTTTCATATTTTCAATTTTGAACATTTCTTCTGATGAGAATGATTCAGTTATTTTATATCATTGATTTGTTGGTGTATCATATGGTAAATGGTACAGTACTTTCAATGTCTTTTTATATAATGCAGATATTTTATTAAAATTGTTTTTTGAACAGTATCCCCAAACATTTATCAAATAGTTAATACGACTGAGTATATGAGAATATAGAATTATATTTGCAACTTTTTTATCCAGCTTGGGACATCTTCTCAGGGCTCCAATAATATGAGATATTTTTTACGTCAAAACATTTATACAGGGTGAGTCAATTTTTTGCAGCAGGACTTCATCAGCTTAGAGAAGACATTATTATAGATAGATAAGATAAAAATATTTTATTTTAACACGAAACAATGAAATTGATGATTACCAAAGTAGACAACATGGTTTATTTCATCTTGATATCGCTAACTCTTCTATAGGTCAAAAAAGATTCACCCACGCTGCTCTTTTCGAATATAACAAATTACCAGATAATATAAAAAATTGCAGAAATACAATAAAATTTAAATATCAACTCAAAAAATCTATCATTTCTGAACGAAATAGATGACCTATTTAATTTTTTCAACTTTTGATTCATATTGAAATTGATTGTTGCTCACCAACATGAAATGATTTGTCAAAATTTAATACTTAATGTTCTCAAATATTATATTACTCATGAGTTTATTTTAATTGAATAGTTTTAGGTATTATTGTTAACTATACTACCTCACACCAGAACTTGATTCTGACTGGAAGTAAAATTTTCAATGAATAAACAAATAAAATTAAAAATAACATTACCATGTTTTGATTCTAAAGTACACAAGTATGCAATCATAATATGCCTAACCTGCTATCGGGCTATGATTTTCAATTTTGAACTCGAGTTCAACTGGAACGTCCACGTAAAGCAAGTTCAATGGGCACAAAATCGGGCCCGTAGAATGGCCTGTATTGATAACAATGTCGTAGTCGATTATCTCGTATGTGATTATGCATATGGATTGAATTTCCAGTTCCTTTTCCTCGTTCGTTGTCAGCAGAACAAGAACTGTTACACTACTCATGGGTTTCTGAAATTATCATCATCAATCAAAATTGACGTATATGTTTATAACAGGAAACATTGAAAAATAAACCATAATATAATACATTACATTCAAAAAGGCAGTAGGTATAGGTATAATAATTATTCTAGTAATTCTCAGAGTTTGAGCTGATTCTTGTTTGAGTGAATGAATGATTAAAATAATTGATATGATGATCTCTATATGGATGACATAAAAAACTTCAGGTACTGAAATTTTTTTTAGCCTCGTATTTTGATAGTCCTCAATCTTTCTCATCTTTTAGAGGCTAGGCAGGTCATGATACTTCGAAATGATATTACTCTACTGAAAATTCCATATCAGTCATTTTCAACCAATCAGATGCTTTATTTCGACATTGTTTCTATGGTTACCCGCAAATTTTTTGGAAATTTTTCATCCACATGAGCATGTAGACGTAATATTGATAAGTGTAAATTTTGTAGCACATGCCAGCTATCATATAATTGGACAAAATTTAAATAATTTTTGACAATATTTTTTATTTTTCGGAAACCTAGTGAGAGAATCATATGAAATCAATTATTTTTATATAATAATGTATCTGATACTATAAATTTTATTTTACTAGGGTACAGTGAGACTAAATTAATATTCACTCAATGTTTTCTTTTTAAATATAATTCCGGTATAATATTTTCTTACCGAGTTTCTGAAGAATTCTCAAAAGATGCATGTACTCAAACAATTTCCGGCAATAATTCATCTCCTAGGGGAATTATAAGTCAAAATTTCAATAGGTATTATCATAATTATGCTTGGATCGATCACTTAGAATTAAATTATTGGATAATATAACTTTGGATTTTTTTTTCTTGATGCAAAATAAGATGTTATTTTCTCTCTTTATCCATCTTGTATATTTGGAGGCAATCATCATTTGAAACCGATATTTCATTTAACTTTGTGTAAAACTTGGTGTAATTTTGAAACTCGTTCTTTGGGTCGCTCTATATTTTTTTACGTATAGGATTCTGATACATATGCCAACGAATAGCTGTTATAATCATTATATGATAAAGATAGTATGATTTTACAAATCGATTCATGTTCTCCTGGTACCTTCTTTCGTCATTTTCGAGAATTCGAAATCAAAATTTCAGAGTTTTCTCAACGACCCAATGTACAGTGTGACACACGTAAAATCAAGACATCCCTTTATATTTTTTAAAGCAGAAATATGATTTTTGGTACAGACATTTCCTACCTCTTGATAGAGAAGAAACTTAAGTGTCATCGATATCATCCACTTGAGAAACTCTAGCACTAGTAAGGTTGAAGCCAGTAGGAGGTAATGTCAGGTATCAATTTACATTCATTTATTCTCAGATCATCTGACCAATAACGGAACAGCATAAAAACTGTAATTAGCTCACAAATTCAACAATTTTGAACAACGCATGGACTCATTATTTACAGAACAAAAGCGTCAGTCCACTCGCCCATTGGGCCCATTGGTATCTTTTCGCGAGATCTTATAGTAGGCTGGGTCACTCGGTCTGAGTATTATGCGAAATGTGCAGCCCATGAAGGGGTATCTTCATCTTGAGTGTGTCACACTGTATTTGGGCAGAATATCTGTTGGTACCCTATCAATAATATTGTAGGAGATTTCTTGCATTTGTCCCCTCCATTGAAAAGTTCCAGAGCTACAGCTCAAATTGTCTTCACTCAGAACTTCTGAGTGCGGCATCGAATCGATGTTGTATCTTATCTCAGCAATCCTCCAGTCGACTTTCTGCTGCACTAAGCATTGGACTTGGAGGTTTTTTTGAACGTTCATACCGAATGGTAATATTCCGAAATTCAGAAATGGTTCGGAGAAAGTTAACTTTGAAATCGGGTGATTCGGAACAGCACAAGTTCTACAATCGCATCTGAAAAAAACAATATAACATCGATTAGAATTATGAAAACGTCGTCTGTATGATTCATTGTACCTATTTTCAGAACAATACAGGTTGACTGACAAAAAACGCCCCTATATAAGCATTAACTATCCGATTTTGTAAAACGAATAGCTAATAAAATCAGACTAAAAATTTCTTTTTCCAATTTCAACTCTAAATACAGCGATTGTCAACTTCCATTTCTCAAATGGCATTGTATATTCTTTAATTTTTTTCTGAAAGAGATTTATTTTCTGGAAGCAATGATGCATATAAAGTTGAATTTCGCGCAAAATTTTTAAAAAAATGTATGCTCCGTCTTCAAGAAATGGATAATTCATTATGTTTTTTCTAGTTTGTTGTTTAGTCAGTTGTTTTCAATAATCATTTTCTCAACATTATAATGTCTTTTTTTATAAGGAACGGACTCAATCTCCAATGACTCAATAGAAAATTTGATAGAAAGATCCATTTCTTGTGGACGGGGCATACTTTTTTTTCAACTACTTGTTAAACATCATTGCATGCAGAAAAATAATATCTCTCCGAAAAACGATAGAAAAATTTACAATGTCATTTGGAAAAAAAAGTCAACAACTGCTGTAGTTGAAGTTGGGATTGGAAAATGAAATTGTTAGTGTCACCTTATAGTATCTGATGAATTATTTCATTTGCTGATTTGAATGATCCACTTCTTTGTAGATGAAAAAAATGATTTCGACTAGAAATACAATATCCGGATTCTCGGTTTTATCCGTTTTTGGTCATAAGAAACATCAGTTTCCATCATTTGACGTAAAACTTGTTCAATTCTATTATTATCATTGAACTTTTTGAAATTACTGAAAACTTCCCTTATTAGATTTCATGGAAAAAGTACAACTTTGTACTTATAAGATTCTAGTAATTTCTTTAGCATTATCTATAGTCTGATGATTTCATGATGGACGTTGTTAGATTTATTCATATTAAAAATATTGATACGTAAACTGCAAACTCGATTGAAAAAGTAATCGAAAATATCAGTCGGCTTAAAACTTACAATTCTTACAAAGTTAGTATTATGTATAATAACTTACTCCTCAACTGGTGGTGTCTCCTTTGGTAAGACGTCTACTACACATACTACTTCGAACTCACATATTTGAAGATCAGCTGCCTATGAATATTAAAATTTAAATAGGAAAATGAACTTCTGAAGCATCGAAGTTGTATCACGAAGAGCACAATTTTGATATAATAATATGGTATAATGATTTTTAAGATCTAAGAAACTAACCTGACCTCAGATGGCTTGACTTTTCGTATTTATCATGCAGGGCCTCATTTTACCTGATGAAAACATACTATCACTGTAGAAGTTAATAACTAACAGTATTCCAGAATGTGTCCAGCGAACAACAAAATAAATTCGACCCTGTGTCACGGCTAATATTTCTGTTGCTTTATCGCATGTCATTATCCCATCTCAGGTCAGGTCAGTTGCTTAGGTCTTGAAAAGAACTATACCTCCGCTACATGTCGGGAGACAACACAACCTGGAGCTGAAATCTACTACTTTTTTCACTTGTATGATAAATAACTCTATTTGTATGCATATAATAATACATTTTTGGAACAACAAAAAATGACAAGAGTTTTCAAAATTCCCCCTGTCCGGATGTTGTCCGGATCCTGGTTACAATGCAAGAGCAATGGATTTCCATCGCCTGCAGATCTGTACGCAGTGTTGCCAGAAAAAAGCTAATTGTACTGAAATCACTATTTACTAAAACCATGTGAAATGTACCAGACATGGAATTTTGAAGAAATAGATGAGAAAATTGACGAATATTTTTTTATTTTTCATTGTCAGATCATAAATATATAAAGAAAAAGAAAAAAAAAAGAGAATAAAAAATGTCCTATCACTGGTAGCCAAGAAGATACAAAACATATACAGTCATCACTGTCATCCATAAAAATGACTATATTCGTATTAAGAAAAATCAGAAGGAAAAATAATAATACCGGGTGACCAGTTATATTCTGACCCATTTCAAATGCTCATATCTCTGAAACCATTTAAGTTATCGCTGTGCGGTTTGGACTAGTCTATTTTGATGTTTTTCAAGTTTTTTTTGACGTGTTCATCTTCTCACTTGAACTTCCGGTTCTACCGGAAACAAACAAACAATAATCCAGGTATAGGGCAACTTTTTTATTTCATTGAATCACCCTGTATATTTTTGCACATTCAGAAAGACTGGTCTCTTCTCTATCTAACAATGTATTACAAGTTATGTTCTCCTAGAAAACTATTAGAGTTATAACTCGAAACAACTACTGCTTGTGGAATGGTTTAATGAGATTATGCAATTTTATCAAAGTTGCCCTATACCTGAATAAGGGCTTGTTAGTTTCCGGTAGAACCGGAAGTTCAGGTGAAAAGGTGAACCAGTCAAAAAACTTGAAGAATATCAAAATAGAGAAGTCCAAACCGTACAACGATAATTTGAATAGTTTCGGAGATATGCGCAGTTGAAATGGGTCAGAATATAACTGGTCACCCGGTATAAAATATCCCATTCGTGATATCCCCACATAAAAGCTAAAAAGGGTAGTAAAAAGATACAAAATATATACAGCATCATCCATAAAAGAAGACTGTACATCAAATATTTGAAAAAACATCAGGAAACAGTACAGTACTGACAGGATAGTGACAGTTGAAGTTGATGATGTCTCTCATTACGGTCTGCCATCTGGTTGGCAGTTAGCTATAAGCATCAAATTTGTCAGGTCAACTGAAGAGATAATAATAAGCTTCGTGTAATAAATGTTCAATTGTACTAAATTTGAGATGAATGTACTGCCCAAAACATGAAACTGTACCAGAATTGGGTGGAATATGTACTAATGTACTACTTAAAGGGTGTAAATTGTACTGAATCTATACAAATGTACCATAAGATGGCAAAACATACAATAATTCACTTTTATTCAAAAGTATGAGTAATGTTGTGTTTTATATCCTTATTAGTATAGCTAGGTTTCTCTCGTACCATGAACATGTGATGATATTATGGGATAGTAGAGACAAACAATAATCACCTCGGTCAGAGTTTTTCCTTCAATAGTGTCTCGTTGAATAATCAGAAATTCTTTGTTTTCATCTAGACAAGCCATAGGTATGTTGAGGATCAAAAATCTGGAACAGAATTATGATAATCTATCTATGGAAATGAAGAATAGAATGTATTATGATTCTGCACATTGCTATAGGTGTAGGTGTATTTATTTATTTATTTATTTATTGAACAAATAACTTCCAGACAGAATCGGCTCTGGTATAAGGAAGTACATAATTATATACCTATAGGTAAACATATCGTCATTCAAAATATATCAACAACTGTAAATTGACAAAGAATAATATTTAAAAAAAAAATATCATGATTAATTTTACCCAGTTCGCTCAGATTTCTGAATTAACCTATATTTCTGCGATTTTTTATATTGTCAGGTAGTTTATTGAATTGAATGAGTGAATATTTTTTGTCCAATTATGGAGCTAGCGGCGTCAAGATGAAACAAGTTATATTGTCTAGTTTCATGATTATTTATTTATTTATTTATTTATTCATTTATTTATTTCAGGTATTGCATTACATTATCTTCTCCATTGATACATTTCATACAAATAATATATAAAGTATAATTAATTTTCTAGTAGGAATGACATGAATGATCAGACAGTAATTTCTGGTATAAGATCATTCATGAAGTATTATCGACTGTTGTATAATTGAAATTACAAATAGTGAACAAAACTTACATATCATTAAGATATCTCAAAATAACAGTCATATAATATTGAACAAGAATGGGAAAAAAAGTGAAAAAAAAAAAGGAAATTCATAGTCTTTCAACTTTGATCATTCCTTTGCATATAAATATATTTCTTCACTTTATTTTTGAAATGCATAATATTTGGGCTGTTTTTGATATCATCTAGTAATTTATTGAATTTCGAAATCGCCTCATGTGTAAACTTTTTTGCCCAAGTTTAGAATTTGCAGCTTCAAGATGAAACAAGTTATATTGTCTAGTGTGATGATCATGAATTTCGGAATTCCTGATTAATATAAAATTTGATTTAAGCTTTTTGTTGATGATATAATAGGAAATTTTTAGAGCATTGATTAAAAAGTGCTCTCCCAAAGAAAATGTGTTTGTTTTCTTATACAGTTGATTCGTTGGAGTATCATATGGAAGACGATACAATACTTTCAAACATGTTCAGATTTCCGCCGTATCAAAATAATATTCGACTTCAATTTTTTATTTATGATATTTCAATTCTATATATTTCATCTAAAGAATACGTATGATGACTAGTTCACCTGAAATCGGTACTATGATATCCACTTTCTTGAGCGTCAAGAAAAATGTCGAATTTAAAAGAAGTAGTGCTGTATGGGACCAAATATTTCTTTCCAGGTTGTTCACACTTTATCCACTCTTCTTTCAGTTCGTGAACTTCAGGTTGCGGGACGTATTGAAATTCCCAATTGCAGTTCAAACAAAGTGAACTGAAAACAAACTTATCGAAAACAGAAAGTATGTCCCGAAATTACATGGAAAGGTTTCAACTGCAGATTCTAGGAACAAAAAAGTTATACCGAGAGAAATATCTATTAGCTGTTATACGAAACTGTATAACCTTCAAAAGATTACTGAATTGAATAGGCGCCAGCATAGTTCCCTTTTCACTGTATTCAAGTCCATCATTTCAAAAAAATGAATGAAATGACGGTCATATATAGGGGTCAAATGATCAGCATTTCAATATAAAATAGTGATATTATAATAATGAAATTATTTGCAGATGACACGACATTGATTTATTTCTCTAAAGATTCAAATAATATTATCATGGACATGAAAAGTGATTTAGAGAAAATATCCTCTTGGTTTCAAGTTCATAAACTATCTCTCAATTATAACAAATCCTCATATATGTACATAGCAAAAAGAACATTGAACATTTCAAATAGAATACTATCCTTCAACAATAAACTCATCAAATATACAGATGTTACAAAATTTTTAGTTCTTTATATTGATGAACGACTATTGTGGAATAAACATATAGATCATTTGAGGAACAAACTCTATCCTATTACAGGCATTTTATTCAAAATACCAAATTTCATTTCTACCAGATACTTGAAGAGTATTTATTTTTCTCTTATTTACTCAAAATTTCAATACCTAATATCTATATGGGGAAGTACCTATATTTCACGTTTGAGTCCACTAATGAAATTACAAAATAAAACATTGAAGTGTATTTTCAATTTAAATTTTCTCGAACCAACCATGAATTTATACAAACCTAGAGATTTATTAGATCTGACATCACTATATAAACTTAAAATATGTTGTTTTATTCAATTTGTTCTATATAAATTGAAAATTTCGAATTTACATTTCAATGAAATCAATTCATTACATAATCATGGAACAAGACAATCAAATTTACTAATAGCAAATACGTTCAAGTCAAATATCGGCAAACAATCAATTTTTCACACAGGAATCGTTCTATACAACTCATTACCAAGTCAATTGAGGAATATACAGGAAGCAACTAGATTCAAAATTAACTTAAAAAAATATCTGCTTCAGAGACTTTGATAATTCCATTTCCAATTTGAATACCTACTTATAAAAGACTAGGTTGATATTGTATGATTATTTGCATATTTTTTTTTTACTTGTTATATCTTGATATAATTTCATAATTGTATGTATAACACTATGTATATTGTTTATGTATCCCTATTATAAACAACTATGTTTCTTGGGGTAATAAAGACAATCAAATAATACTCATACAGTGTGACCCACTTCTAATGGAACCACCCCTGTATCTTACGTAATCGTTGGGTAAGGATCCTGAAATTTGCTGGAGCGAGAGATATACCAAAAATGCACTCTATGACCAAGTGGGGTCATCTTCAGTGATATACACTGCTCGTCAACAGCCATGAAACTACCCCAATTTCCGGAAAATGATATTAGGAGTCAAAATAGGTCGAAAATCACTTCAGATTTGGAATCATGACGCCCAATTTACTAACTATTCAAATTTTTCCTGGAAAATTTTCAGTTCGGAAAAATGAAATTTTGTCGCATTTTTTATGGAAGCACCCCCGTATCTCACGTAATTGGCTTTATCTTTGGACTTTCTCTTCCTCCGGCAAATTTCAGAACCCTACCTCAATAATTACGTGAAAAACGGGGTGCTTCCATAAAAACTGCGACAAAATTTCATTTTTCCGAACTGAAAATATTCCAGGAAAAATTTGAATAGTTAGTAAATTGGGCGTCATGATTCCAAATCTGAAGTGATTTTCGACCTATATCATTTTCCGGAAATTGGGGTAGTTTCATGGCTGTTGGCGAGCAGTGTATATCAGTGAAGATGACCCCACTTGGTCATAGAGTGCATTTTTGGTATATCTCTCGCTCCAGCAAATTTCAGGATCCTTACCCAACGATTACGTAAGATACAGGGGTGGTTCCATTAGAAGTGGGTCACACTGTATAAATATAATTCGCTTTCAATTTAATAGTCGATTGATTGGCATTTCAGTATTAGGGTGATTCATTTTTTTTTTAGGAAAATGAAGTGGGTTGAAGATCGTCGAGAAATATTGAAGACATATCTACTTAGTATATGTACTTACCCCCAAGTAGAGTTTTGTTTTGAAACTACAGGGCATTGAAGTGCATCACAAGGGCGAGACACTCAGTACACAATATCTCAATTTGCCAACGATAAAAATGCTTCCAATTCGTAGTATTTGTTCTTTTCGTCACTACCTTGGATTATTAGTTAACATAGTTGCCAAAAATTTTCACGGTGGCGTCAGTAAATAAGGGTTCACCAATCACGAAACGAAAACGAAAAACCTTTATTTCTTCTTATGAATTGTTGGCTAGAATTCTTGTGAATGTTGGAACAGCAAATAAAATAACAGGATTCATACGAATACATATATACAACCGTGTCCCAAGATGAGGATAGAAAGTCATCCATATCTTGGATATACTGTATACGCAATACAAGCTGAATCCAAGCTTTTGCGACTATAGTGAATAGTGAGGTAGTTAAAAAATACAGAATTTCATCAAAATTGTAGGAATTTCCGATACATTACCGATTTATCGCAGAAACCCTATTACGTCCTGATCCAGCCCAACTTCCCGTAGTTCCTCAACAAATCCTATACTTGGATATACGGATATACCCATATATGAACAAATATATCCCAAGAATTGCTTGAAGAACTTTCAACCACTTCACTTTTCCGAAAAAAAAATATCATCCTGTAAGAATGGTTCACGATCTACTGCGGGCTTACTTACATACCAGGTATCCGTAGACGACTCACGATTCTGATATGGAGCAAGTGTTCATCAGTAAGTGAGATGACTCATTGTGGTAAACGAGTATGACAAAGATGGTAAATGATGAAGTAGGGATGGAACTCAAATGATACTTGTATCACTCTGAAATGACATATCTTGGGATTTAAATGATTATCTTTAAAATTCCATCTTTTCACTATAATCTTGTTCCATTTCAAATCTATAAGGTACCCTTTTTGAAACAAAAAGTGTGATTTGAAAAGATGACCTGTTTTACGTTGAAAACGTTGACTTTTCACGTTCATCAGATGACATTTCGTGGTCAAAATGTTTCTTTCAGCGGTTATAGGATGTTTTTGAATAGATACTTTTATAACTGGATTTTTCTCGGTGTAGTATGTATGATAGGTTATCTATATTATAAATTTTCCTAAAAATTAGGCTTTCTTTGAAAATACCTTCCCTTCTAATATCTCTGTTGTTTTGATTCAAAATATCTGGGGTGCAATGAAAAAATCGATTCAAGAATAATTAAGCTAGTTGTTACTTATCTACGTAGCAGAATTTCGATTCAAAAACTAATCATTAATATTATTTGTATAGGTAAAAATCGAGGTAAAAATAGACTTTCATAATTTCCTGATCACACTGCCGGAGATTGAATAAACAACAAAGTACCCAGACAGCACTGGATATTCATAGAATATTCTCTAAATATGCTAAAAAGGAGGAGTATATTCCGAATATTCATCGATTATTCCTAGAATATATACATGCCTCTAGAACATCTAAAAGGAATATTCCAAAGTGAATAGTCGGACATGTTCAGGGAATATTCAGGTATGAATCTTCCAGGAATATTCCCAACTGAATATTCTCTGTTGTATATTCATGAAATATACCCAACTGAATATTCTGTGCGGTATATTCATGAAATATACCCAACTGAATATTCTAAGCGGTATATTCATGAAATATTCTCAACTGAATATTCTGTGGTGTATATTCATGAAATATTCCATGAATATTCCTATGTTTCTCAACACATAAATACCATTTATTATTTCAGAGATGTGAGTATCGAACATCAATTAGATGTAAGGGGATTTTGAAACAAAAAAGTGTTTATGATTCGATTTCGAACAATGCTCTCACAAGAACTTGATATGTATAACATTATTCAATTCGATTACTGGCCTAGTGGTCAAGGCGTTGCTCTGAGAGTCTTGAGGTCACGAGTTCGATCCCTACTTGGGTCACTTTTTTTATTTTAGAATATGTTTATTAGAATATTCCAGGAACATTCAACATAGAATATTCTTTTCGGTATATTCTATGATTATCTGAGGAATTCCCATTCGCATATTTAGAGAATATTCCACAGATATTCCGGAATATTCCAGATTATTCCTAGAATATTCCAATATTCCAAAAGGAATATGATAGGGAGATTCATGGAATATCTGGTGCTGTCTGGGTAAAGGAATAAAGTGCACTTAGACCCTCCTATTTCCCATTTCCCTGAACAAAATATCAAAAATACTATCAACATGTTTAAAATGTGCATGAAAAATGGGTACATGTATGTACCTACAAAATTCGATTATTTCAATACAAAGAGTTTGTTCCTACAATCTGCAGTTAAAATCATTCTATGTAATTTCCGGACACTCTCAGTGAATTTTCGCATCGGGGTTAGAAGCGCCACTTTAGTCCTTCAGGGTTTATAAACACTGAATACCAATCCACCTTTTGTTTTCCACAGTAACAATCAGTTCTTGAGACGTATTATTGTCAATATATCCCAAATGAATACAATAATCTGGTGTATTTGAGATATCTGGTTGATTATAGTTCACCTGAAATAAACATGAAACAAATATAGTTATTTGTTTAACTAGGCAGAAATAATGCCGCGGCTGGCGTTTCATCATAGCCTAGGCGTTGCCGAGGCTAGAAAACCAGCCAAGGCATTACATCTTCTTTTCTGCCATGTGAAACATATAATTTTTTCTCCAGTTCTTCTCAATTTCACGCAAAGTCCAAATAATCCATCATTTTTTGTTCACACAAAGTCATTGTCAATTTTGATTACCAATTTGATTCAAACTACTTGGAACGTTGCATAGAAACAAACTTTTCCTACCTAGACAGTAAAAGTACACCTTTTCTGCCTGTTGAGTGTCATTAAAAATCTATTTTTAATGTCATTTGGAGAAAATAGTAGATTGTTTTATTAGGATCAAAAGTGACACTTTGTTTGACAAGCAAAATTTGCGAGTCGAACAAAGTCACTTTGGTGAGCAATCAAAATTAATGTCGTTATAACTATGTTGCCAATTGAAATTTTTCAATGAAATTTTGCGCTCAACCTAATCAAAGGATGCTGAATTCAATGGTGGGGTCGATTTTTTTTTGAAAAAAATCGCTAATGATATTTCGAAAATTTTAACATGAAAAAAATAACCCTGTAGATTGAAATTTTACTATGCAAATTTGTGTAGATCTCCGGATAGTCCTTCTACTGAAACGAAAAAAAAAAGAAATCGGTCAAAAACTATAGATTTTATGAGGGTGCTCCGGTCTTAAGTGGGTCACACTGTATTATAACGTTTGCATGATTCCTGATATTCTTACGCTAATTTCAATCATGGACTTGGAAAACTCCAAAGCATCTCCCATAACCTCCAGTTCTTCGTACGAATTATTATCACAGATCATGTACAGGGTCTCCAAATGTAGGCCACGTCTATTGGGTTCGAATATAATACTCAGTTCTATGGTCTCATTCGTAGAAATCTCGAAGAAGGTAGGATAAATCCAAAAACCGTTTTTGTACATTTCCATGCAGGTGGAAACAGACTAGAATACAAATTCAACAAATACACAAATACTTCTCTATACATGTGGCCATTTAAGTGTGCAACATATGGGAATCTTTTTAATTAATTGCACAACCAAAATACAGATAGTGTCGAAAGTTGGTGCATGTTCAGTGATCATTTAAGGTGCACATAAAATAGTTGCAAATTAAACAGCATACAGGGTACGTCAAAAATTATAAAAATTGTTCACGAGTAAAGTGCCCTCATTTCAGAAAATTCAGCAAAATGTTAATGAAAAAAGTTGTTTGCAATTGAAAGTTATGCCAAAATACCAAAACATGATGGCCTCCTAAGACATATTTGAGTTTTTAAATTATTTTCCCTAATAATATTCCAATTTGTAATTTTTTTATATCCACCCTAAAAACTTCCATAGGTTAATCATAACAAAAACAGTTGATCATACCTTTGTTCAAATTCAAGCATATTTGTGCAATTAACTTGAATTTCAATTCTTCTAGGGAATCACAAACTTTATGTTTGTTTCAACGATATTTAGCTTAACTTTAAAATTTCGCAAACCTTATTTTTAAATGTTTTTGAAAAATCTGTACAAATCAATCGATCAATATCATTTGAAATAATCACGAATACTCAAGGAACAAAACAAATGAGGGTTGACAATAAACATTAAGACAGTTTGGTGATTAACTTCTCATCTAATGATGTTTTACCTTGTTAAAAATATGGTTTGCGAAATTTTAAAGTTAAGCTGAATATCTTCAACATAAAGTTTGTGATTCCTTACAAAAGTTAAAATCCAAGTTGATTGCACAAATATTCTTGAATTTGAACAAAAGTATTCTCAATTGATGTAGTTGATTACCTCATGAAAGTGTTTAGGGTGAATATATTATTAACGGAAAGAATTGAGAAACTAAAAAATGTCTTAGGAGGCCATGCTTTGGTATTTAGGTATATCTTTCAATTGTTAACAACTTTCTTGATAACATTTGACTGAATTTTCCGAAATAACATAATACTCTTGAACAATTTAAAAATTTTTTGACCTCCCCTGTATGCTGTTTGACTTGCAACCATTCTAAGTGCACCTAAAATGATTACCGAACATGCACCAACTTTCGGTACTATCTGTATTTTGATTGTGCAATTCATTAAAAAGATTCCCTTATGTTGCACACTCAAAGGACCACACTGTACGAATATGAAGCATAGCTGTCTTCAAAATTGCTAGTGATTGAAATTCGAATATTTGCGTTTTTAGTTGTACAATTCTTTAGTGTTTGCGGAGTAAAGAATAGACAGGAATCCTCTTTTCATAAGTAAGTCACAATCCAGTGTATAGGAAAACAAGAACAAGTGCATTTTGAAAAGTTCACCTCAGTTCATCCATGATATTGTTGAAATCAGTTAAATATTGAGAGCGAGAAATGTTTAAATACCCAGAGACGTAAAGAATCGGTTGAAACGGCAATGCTTTCATCTCACTGAATAGTGAATTATCATTTGTTTCCCGCAATGAACTCAATACAACCCGACTATCAATAGACGGTCACGAGATGTAAGCCAGGGCCTACTCTATCTTACCGATAGAGTAGGCCCTGTGTAAGCAGACTTGACGATTTTCCGTCGTGTCCTAACGGGATCATTTTTTCGGGTATTAATTTTGATAAATTGAGAAGGAATAAGAAATTTCCAAAAATTCTTTATGCATTTTCTCATCTCGATGAACGTAATAGTATTTTCCCTAGAAAGTATTCTTGCCTATTCTACCAACCTTGATGGCGAAATTGTTATACATAACCGTCTATGTATAACTAGAGAAGTATGCGTATTTTGTATTGGTCGATTGTCACCTAGTGCAGCTTAGAGTTTTCCTCAAGATAATCAAGGGGAAAATACTATTTCCCTGACTCGCTCCTGACTCAATTTTTACCTCTACATCTTGAGAGAACCAATCTTCTTCAGTGATGATGAAAAATTTCGATGGCATTCCTCTGTTTTCCAGTAAAACCGACATCAAAACGTACTGACCAACCAGACAGCTTCCACAATCTATGGAAGAATTCAAGGCTTCTCTCCTTGCATCGGAAAAAGTTTTGGTTCCGGGGTCTGAGATATTCAGAAGGTTGCAGGTGGATTTGAAGAGGCAGGATATCAATTCGGGTAGGTCACGTGATGCCTTCAGAGGTATGTCAACTGTGTAACCTGGAAAATCACATCCATGCGGGCGTTCCGGATTCAACTCTGAGAATCGATTAGGAAAATATCAAGGGTATACAAGATTTTATATAGGGTACGTAGGGTTGTCGTATTTGTAAAATCCGAAAGCGAAAGGTAAGCATGTTAGCATTTTTAGCAAAACTCAACGCTCAATACGAATTTCGAAATAAATTATTATTAGAAGTATTTCTCATACGATGCCGACTTCATGAATGAGACTGTATACAGTGAGCATCACGTAATGGTCGGAATCAATTCATTGTTAGCTTGTTATGGCCATTGAAAATAAAAATCCGACACGTCCATTGTCCTTTTCAGATGAAAATTTGTTAGTCTACTAATATTTTCTGATGGCGGTATCATCATAAATTACATTATTATGAATGAAATTTCTTTAATTTCTAAAAAATGCGGTCATATAACTTGATAAAAAATTAAGAAAAAATATGACGTCCAGTGCCATAAAAAAGATAATGACGTCATAATTCGAACAGTGATGACGTCCTCGAAAACATGAGTAGACCAAATAAGGCCCAACTGAAAGAGAAAATCGATGTGTCTGACCTTTTTTCCCTACTGGCCATATCAAGCTGTTAATGAATTTATTCCAACCTTCACGTATGATGATCACTGTATAAATAAGTAGGTCTGAAATCTTTTAATCTCGGGATCTCCACTTCAATGAGTTTCAGGCAAACTTCAAAGTTTGATATTTTCCAAAATTATTGTTTATTTAGACAAAACTTCATTTTATTTAATCCAATTACGAAAACATCCTGAATATCTATCTTGACCCTCATACACTATTTTTTTTATCGATTTAGTATATTCTCAGTGGATATGTGATTACCATTGTTGTTTTTGAAAATAACCTGATCCTCCAAAGTCCTATAAACCTCTGGTTGAAATATCACAGTTGCTGTGACACTCATTCCTGGAGCCAATTTGGAGTTCGTATCAAGATGAACGAAAAAAATTGAATTTTTCGGAAGTTTCCTAATTGAAATTGATTGAGTTGTTCGACTGGTATTGACAATTCTCATAGTTTTCTGAAATAAATAAACAATTATTTTCATCACCGTGTACCATGGACAGCTCAGAACTTTAATATTTCTGTGGTACCGTTAATAATAGTTATTAGTTGCGTTTTATTTGTTCCATTCTGGCAACGGTGGTATGAACAGAATGACGTTCACAAATAAAACGACAAGATTATCTTGCAAGAGATCTAGAATTCATTCATATATTGGGGATAGATTGGGGCTCCAAATAATTTCAAAATCATAATACTAGAGTTGAAAATCAAGCAAATCAATCGAAGCATATTTGGAGCAGTGTGGATGAAGTTCTCCGAGATCGATGAAATTGATTTTATCCGGGAATTGGTGTATTAAACTGTTCCACTTGAAAGAATCATAAGCTTGGGAACCTCATGATAGAATTGTCTTCTATACCTTCAAAAAATTTCGTTTTTATTCAATCCAATTTGATTTTTTCACAACTTTGAACAGTCACTCCACATCATTCCTTGTAGGAGACGGAATGAAAAGTAGCAACCGGAAAGTTTGTAACCACAATCACTACTCCAAATATGCGCTGAATCATATTCTAGATTCTTAACTCTAGTATTATGATTATGAATTTGAAATCATTCGGAGCCCCAATATATAAAAATTACCTATATCATCTATAATAATAATATGTCAATTCTCTCGTGCAAGGTCATGAAGTTTGTCGTTTTATTTGTAAACGTCATTCTGTTCCCACCACCGCTACCAGAATGAAACAAATAAAACGCAACTAATATTATGGTGCAATTTACATGGAGATTTATATTATTATATTATTACCTTATACGTTTGTCCATAAATGTAGTTATGAAAGGTTATGAAATTAGGTGTCACCTTGAACGCCTCTTCTTTTTTCACCCTTTCTGTTTTCATTATTTTACAAGGAATACAAGAGGATCGTTTTCTTTCGTCTCTGAAATCCATAAAAGAGCTAAAGACTCGAGAATATTCAGTAGCCTTATAGACAAATACTTATTTTTCCTCACTTTTCCATCATCCTTAGTGCAGTTTGCACAAACATGAAAAATATTGGAGTATCTGAAATCTTCATAAAGAATCATCTGATAAGTCCTGCAGTAACTAAACTGCTGATCAATCGAATCGCATCAAGCACATTTTTGCTCTAAATTCAACATTAAAACATTGAATATTTTCGCGAAAATTCCACTTATTCGGATGCGATTGATTGGGTACCCATATGACAGATAGACCGCTGATGATATACAGGGTGACAAAAAAACCTCTGCAAAATATTGAAATTTTCTGCATACTCCAATTTGATGGAAAATTTTCTAGATTTTTTTCAAGCATATTTTCATAATTCTCAAGCATATTTCTCGAAATAGTTTCGCAATTTTTCCATTATCTTTTCAGATTTTCAAGAAAAAGATTTGTTTTTCAAAAAATGTGATAATTTGCACTACTGTCCAGAAATATTCTTATTTGTAGCTCAAATATCACAGATTTCCTCTTGGATGAGCTATTGTGTCCTTTATTGTATCTGAAACCTTATATTGTTGATGTACAGAGTGTTCGTCAGCAATATTTGATATATATTATTACAGGAAGACCTAGCATAACACATTGATCAACTTGTATAGTGTTCGAGATTGGATGATAGCAACTTTCCTTGAAGTTGCAGAAAAAAAAACAGGAGAAAGAATGTACAGGGTAATATACCAAGATTGATGAATGGAAGTTTTATACAATGAAACTTTGAGAGTTCAAAAATGTATGTGACATATCGATGAATTCTTACTCATCTCTCTTACTCTCACTCATCATTGGAATGTTGCTCAGTGTAGAATATACGAGGTGATTCACAATAACCTGCTTATTCCTCTGAATAGAAATTTTGAAGAAGTTGACTTTGTTTACTCAAAATGTGAAACACGGCAAGAACTGAGATGTTGAGTTGCTATCATTCAATCTCAAACACTATACAAGTTGATCAATGTGTTGTGCTCGGTCTTCCTGTAATGATATCTATCAAATATTGTTGCCAAACACTCTGTATATAAACAATATAAGATTTTATACAATAAAGGTCACAATAGCTCATCAAAGAGAAAATCTGTGATATTTGAGCAACAAATAAGAATATTTCTGGTCAGTAGTACAATTTTTCGAAAAAAAAATCTTTTTCTCGAAATTCTGAAAATATAAGAGAAAAACTGCGAAACTATTTGGAGTGATACGCTTGAGAATTAGGAAAATATGCTTGAAAAAACCCAAAAAAATGTATTCAGTGTTGAATTTAGAGCAAAAATGTGGTTGATGCGGTTCGATTGATCAGCAGTTTATATCTATTTTATGCTGTTAGTATTTGCAAGTGTTTTCGTGAATATCTCTGATTTTTGATCTTATTGCTATACTCGTCAATTTACAGATCACTCTTAGCACTGCTCAAGTATGAGTAGTTCAGTGAACGAAAAAAAAAAAATGGAGAAATCATGTATGAGTTGAACCATAGTAGGAGTGGAAAACACTTCAAATATACAAGAATGCCGACAAAAAATGTCAATTAGAGACCTCTAATAACGGGTACCTAAATATCTATTGATAATGTCTGGCAACAGATCATTAGGCTCTATTAGACCAAATTCCTGAACGAAATCCTTCTCCAATATTTTCAACAAATTGCATCGTTTCAGTTTCAAATGTTCTTTGAGTGCAAAGCACTTATCAATTTTCTCTTTTCCACTGAGATATTGTATTTGTTGTTCGATAATTTGTTTTCCTGCATCATTGATTTTTTTGATTGACCGATCGAAATCGTTACTAATCTGAAAAATAGAAATTCTAAATAATTATAAGCAACCTATACTACGAATGAAAATTCTCCGTTTTCTGTTACATTATAAGAACGCTTTAAATGATATTTGGGTAAAACTGCATTTAGCATGCGATGGGTTTTTTTTCGAAAATTTTTTTGGTACTTTCGTATTTTTGTCTGAAAAACACGAATTTGATAATGAAAATGTGGACAAACCACTATTTATCGGGATATCTCAAAAAAAAGTTCGATATTTCGACTCCTTTTGCCCCTTGCGTTGGATGCATTTACAGGTACTTGCTCTTCTTATTTTGTCATTGGACACTTTATATACTCATGATGTACTTTACTGACACATTTTTATACAGAAAATTCAACAGGATATATGATTTTTATGGTGAGTTTTTCCTATTTAGTGAGCAAGCATACCAGATGACGGCCATTTAATCCATAGTAGGCAATCCAAATACGAGATGTCAAATGTCAATAGATTGCTTTGGAATGACATTACACACGCCCACACACGCCATTATTTCAAATGATATTCTTCCTTCTTTTCACTAAATATGGATAAATCACAAGAAAATCATATTTCTAGTGAATCAATAATGGAAAAAAATGTGGCTTACATTGTGATATATAAATTGTCCAATGATGAAAAAAGAAGGGTAAATTGTTTTAAATTCAATCCAGAAGACAGGCGGAAAAGTAGGTGAAATTTGTAACTTTATAGTGAAATATCTTGATAAATAATGGTTTGTTCACATTTTCATTATCAAATTCGTGTTTTTCAGACAAAAATACGTAAGTACCAGAAAAAATTTTCGAAAAAAAACCCATCGCATGCTAAATGCAGTTTTACCGATATTTGTTTTCATTAAACTTACTTCTAAGACTTCCTTAGCAGTTTTCTTGGTGCCTAAGTATTCATCAACATCATTTTTAATTATAGTTTTTGCATCATCTATTTGGTAAGTGTGTCCATCGAGAGTCTCTTGTAAGGCCCTTCTTAAAGAATATGTAACGTCTGCATTCGAAAAATCTGCTTTAACTAAAGGAAGAGGATCCATCACAGATTCACTACGAAACTGACAAACTGGCAAGACCGGTTTGTTGACAAAATGTCAAATATACAGGGTGAGTCAAAAATGTGTATCGAGCTTCCTGGGGGTGGATAGTACATTGAAAAATAAGAATGAACTAATCAATCAATCAAATTAAAATATTTTTTCCGCATAACTTCTGAACGATAAAAGCCACCAGATTGAAATTTCCTGCATGAATGTAGGTTGATGAGATACATTTTTCTGATACACTTTTACATTTTTAATATTTTTGTAAAGGGTGTATTTAGAAGGTGGGTCATGATTTTTCGAAGACGACTTTTTCCTTGCATTCTTTTTGGCGAAAAACAGAAACATTTGATAATGCGAAAAAAATTACATCACAATGGCAATTTTATCAAAATACCAAAAATGTGACCGTCTTCGACATATATGATCAATAACTCAACTATTTTTCATCCGAATATGCAACTCATATACAGGGTGTTTCATTACTAATTGGAAATATTTCAACCATAGAATTCCGAACTCAAAATATGAAGATTTAACCCAAATCACCTAGATAAAATATGTCTCCTATATTATACACCCAACTGAATTATGTGAAATGAACTTTTCTAGCTATTACCAGAGGCGTACGACAGGGGCAAGTGACTGGTTGATCCTTCCCAAATTCTACGCCACTGGCGGAATTGCAATTTTATCAGAATTTTTCGATTCTTCAATACCTCCTTCGTAAATATTATACTCTTTCTTCATAGCGATGAAGTCATTATTTTTCGAGATATTTCAAGTTAAACATGAAGCAGCAGAATTATTTTGATTTCAATGTGTATCGATAATGACGATATTTTGGATCAATGGACTGCATTCATCAATCAAATGAAACCTCAATCCATATCAACATAAAAACATAACAGACTGGAGCTGTTACAGGGCGTTTTCAATTTTTTAATATATTACATAATTAACTGTAACAGCTCCTGTATGTAATTATGTTTTTACTGCTAATGTGGATTGAAGTTTCATTTTACTGATGAATACAATCCATTGATTCAAAATATTGACAATATTAATGCACATTGAAATCAAAATGATTGTGCATATTTATGTTTAACTTGAAATATCTCGAAAAATAATGACTTTATCGCCATGGAGAAAGAGTACAATATCTACGTCAAAATTGTTGGAGAATCGAAAATTTGTAATTGAATTGCAAATCCGCCAGTGGCGTTGAATTTGGAAGGGATCAACTAGTTAATTGCCCCTGTCGTACGCCTCTGGTAATAGCTAGAAAAGTTCATTTCACATAATTCAGTTGGGTGTATAATATACTATAACCTACACTTCCCTCCAAATACGAAAGTGATACGTCAAATAGTTTTGAAGAACTGGACAAAAACATTTCAAAATTTTTGAATAAAACACCCTGTAACTCAGACAGGTGACATATTTTATCTAGTTGACTTGAGTTAAATCTTCATATTTTGAGTTCGGGATTCTATGGTTGAAATATTTCCAATTAGTAATGAAACACCCTGTATATTGTGGAAATCAGAAAAAAAGGCTCTATGGACATGTCAAAAATTATATAGGGTGTTCCATTGAAAAAATCAAAGTTGATGTCCTTTCTGGAAAAAAGAATGACCCTGTATATGAAACAACTTCACGAAATAAAAGTTTGGGTCATTTCACACAACTTTTTCATTTAACAATTTTTCATTTCTCTGAAAACGAAAGAGTTACGGGGGGATTACATTTCAAGAGGCGCACCCTGTATATGGTTTTGAATAGTATAATATCCACCAAAAACAAAACAGCACGACAATTATTGAATTATTGTTTCGTTAACTGTTGAACATTGACTTGAAGAAACGGAATTATAATTTGTCTTTTCCATTGTTGTGAAAAATCATGTCGAGCAAACCTAATAAAAAAATTTGTCATTTCTCAAGTCGTGATTGTTTTTTAATTCACTCAGTATACTTATAAACCATCCTTACCATCTTTCGGACTGAATTTTGCGAATCATAAAAATACGTTTCCCTTTTTTTATTATTTTATAACTCCTTGCAGACTTTTTTATGTAAAGGCTATAACATTTTTACCCCAATCTTTGTCGGAGTGGTACCTTTTTATAGTTTTTTACTATATAGGGTTTCGATTTTTAACCGATCATGGCATATTCTGAGAGATAATGTTTTTATTGGTTTCTACTAATCAGTTACTGGACGTGGCAACTCACCAATAAAATGTAAATTTTGTAAGTGAAGCTCAGAATGTACATCAGGTATGGCAAATAATTCATGCTAACAAAAGAGAGAAATAGTTCACTATAGAAATATCATCTAGGAACATAAATACAAAAATGGGTAGGTATCTAGTAGATGTAAGATTTATATAAAATACGTAAACAATTCAAATCACCATCAGAACATAACCGCTGATATGTCAAAATTTCCGTTTGGCTCGTCACAGTTGTTTTTTCAAGATCAAGTGCCTTCAGATTGAAAATTATCGAAAAAAAAAACAAACACCCAGAATCATGATGAAGAACGATGCATGGATTGATCACATAATAATTATAATCAATTTAATAACAAGAGTTAATTATGGTTATGAGTTTTGTGATGAAAATGATATAATGAGAATATCCCGAAAGATAACTACACGGAAAAAAAGTTTTGTTGCACCAACAAAATTATTTTGCTAAATTTCTTCATGTTAAATCAAACACAATTTTACGGAATCAACAAAGTATATGTTTATTCCATAAAAGCGACTTATTCGAAGAGACAACATATTTTTATTGGAATACTTGCTTACTTGAATACAATTTCATTCCATCAACAAAAATTTGTTGATATAACTATCATCTCATTGTTCAATCAATCATATATGCATCTTGTTCATTTGACAAAATTAGATTAATTATAACACAAGATTTAACGAAGTACAACATCATATTTTGTTGATATAATATATCATTATTAATAAATATGTTGTTATTTGAAACAGATTTTTTTGTTGAACAGAATCAACAGATACATTATATCAAATAAATATTTGGTTGAATGATCATCTAGTTGCATCGGAAGCTGAATTAAAAACTATATAACACATAGGGTTTTTATACAGTGCTCCTTCCAATTTTGTGTTTTTATTTTATTTTTTTATTTTTTTATTTTTATTGTTTATACATCCAACAGGCCTAATGCCCAATTACAGGAGTACATTATACTATGTTCTCCGCAAATGGGGTTGATATATACCTACTAGAAACAATGCCCGAATGAAAATATAATTCGTCGTTGAGCATTTTCAAAAATTATATTTTTGAATTCAGAATTCCATGCATATTCCAAAAATGTAATAATATAGGTATATATAGGGTGTTCTATTTGAAAAAATATTGCGTGCGTCATTATACTCAAACGTGGATCTTTAATTTTCCCGTATTGATTATGCAAATTGGATAGTTTGGGTAATCTATTCAAACTCCATGGAAGCACTATAATATGTCATATTATATACTTTTCATATTTTTTCAACAGATGCATCAGGAACCCTGAGCACGAATATGTTAAATACTGTCTGTAGGTAAGTGAAAATTCGATATTTCTTCAATATATCTATATTTATTTTCTTCAAACATTTTTCGAAACAAAGTGTCTCTGACCAACGATTGAATTATTCTTTTAGGCTTCCTGATTGAAAAAAATTGTGAACGCAGTGACATTTTGGGAGATCATCTGATTGGTCCAACTACAATTAGGTATATTGAAATAATACTCATATTTTTATTTTATAGACACGAGGAAAGAAAATTCCAAATAATCAAGAAAAACGAATATGTTGTTCAAAATTTCCAAAATGAACAAATTTGCATAGTTGCCGATACACTGCCAACCTGATCCTCCTTCCACTTTTCGATTTGAAACGACTCTGTATGACAATTTTAAAGGTGCAACACCTGGAATAAATCCTGTATAAGGTATGAGTAGCTGTTCTCATCATCTGAACATATTTTTCATTGACAATGACAATATAGGTGTATAGATGTACTTCTCATTCCAATATTGAAGTATTAGGAAATAATCCCGATATCAACAATGTCACTTCGGCTCTTCTCAAGCGAAGATAAATATCACAAAAATGACCGACATCAGGTGCGAAATTTTGGAAAATCCTTTCGGATATTCACACCGAAGAAGAAAAAAAGAGCGTCGGCTCGTGTAGAACAATTTCAGAGCGATTAGGCAGAGATGAAAAGAGACCATCAGGGATTAGCTGTATCATCCTCACCGAAGGCGGTCTTATCCCAGAGATAGCCCAGTCCAATATCGAAAATTCTGAGTTCATGGTTTGTTCTGATGTACAAGGTGTCCCAGAACAACGTACCATCATTTTTTGAATTGACACACAACAAGTTTCGCTAACACAGTAGCTTCGTCAGGTGATATACTAGTACAATGAACTAAACCACTTAGGCTTGCTTAGAACAGAAACAGGAAAGTAAATTGATTTCTTAGATTTGACAATAAGTAAAATTAATGATAAACATGATTTTTCAATTTTCCATAAACCTTCCCACACTGATATCACTATTCATAATAATTCAACACACCCTTATCAACATAAAATTGCAGCATCTAATAGTATGATACACAGGCTATACAGGGTGTTTCAGACTTAAATGTACATACGATACTGGTAGATAGAGGACAAGTTGACGATTTCAAATCACCCCCATTGATATGTTTATCGTCTTTTATAACTGAGATACAGGACGTTATCTTGATTTTGGCAAAATCTTCATCTGGTCATAATTTTCGAACCACGTTGTATAATCTATTCATACTTGGTAGAAATATTTCACTTATATTGCACATCAAAACTAAATAAAAATTGAGATCAGAATCCAGGTCCGTCTTAAGGAAAACAGAAAACTTGTTTATTTCAAAAACAACACTCTGTGTGGCAAAATTTTGTGGATCTGTTTTGATTTTTGGAAAGAGCAGGAAAAAATGTATGTAGTGACCTACTTATAACAAGCGCGCATCCAATTAGAC